TGCATTATGGTTTTAAACTACCGACAAACCCACAGCATATGATATGACGTCCGTGATATCAATCCAGGTAAATATTATGGATAGCAGGTACTTGCAAGACCATTATATTATTACTAGAGTGTTTGTTGGGAGCAGACTCAGAGTAAAACACAACCGTGAAAGAAGAAAAAAACAAATGTTAAACAATCAAGTTAAAAGATTAAACTGATTTTGGAGACTAAATATACAAAGCAACGGGTCCTGCTAAACGACGACTTGCCAATCGCATTAGATCCTAAACTATTGTTTAAGGCAAGGCATCGACCTCAGGATATCCCACGCGTGCGTCCTGGTAGAGTAGCAGAACAGATCAGGTTACCGGGACCTCGGCGACGCCCGGCCAATCAGAGAGCTCGGATGCAACACAGGGCTAGTCTGGCTAAAAGGACCAGTGGAATAATACAACCGTCATACCGGTTGTGGATCCTTTATTTGGTCACAAACGACAACTCTCTGGTTCTTCTAATTAAACTAATATTTTTAGACAAATACATATTGTTTGAGCACTAGGTCAAATGTTTGAAATATGTACAGCTTAAACGTATTTTAATTTTAACAAAATGTTCCAATGAGGCCCCCATGAGGTAGGATGAAGTCTGAAAAGGATTATAATATATAAAAAAGGGCTTGTCTTGATATATTTTGAATGTATAATCATCTTCATGGCAACAGAAACTCAACCTCACTGATCGTTTAGACTACAGCATTAAAGAAGTTAAATATACGAATAACAGAAAGCATCCATTGGGACTTTTAATGTTCTGTATGACTAACATGTGGAGTCATTGAAGTCGGTAGAATTTTACAGTCGGCTATGGCAACACCCAGTGAAATGTGATCTACAGCGGGGGGGGTGAGACAAAAACACAGGCCACATGTGAATGCCGCCGGACTGGACGCAGGATGCAAGCGGCTGCCTGTGTGTGTTGGTGAGAGCGTTAAGCTGATTAGTTATCGGACGGGGCTAAAGCTGTATGAGTAATATGTCTGAAGCACACAGGAGAAACGTGAGGATGGAAATACGACTCAGCAGTTTTGATATCATGCCCTCAGGTGCATGGCTGGAAAATACTAATGCACAGCACTATTCATCACAAACCATATGTTTAGATTTATTTAATTAAATAAAAAGCTTTTTTGGAAAGTTACAAAGGCCTATGGAGTCATTTATAATAACAATAAACAAGGGCATGTTATAGATAAGAGGCTTTATCTATAATTCCTAGACTTTATGTGGACAATTTCTTTTCCTGCAACTTCACAATATCAGATTTAAAAGCCTGAATTCTTTAATGATCCTTGCTTTTTTTGCGAGGCCATTAACCCATAAAGTAAACAACAAAATCTCTGTTTTGGACTTAAAGTGAAAGAAAGGGGTGCTTGAAACATGTATGAATTAAAACAATGGCAGTTATTTCTGCCTAAAATAATATAAATAAAATGGAAATCATAGGTATTCTGATCTACCAATAACACTGTTCCCTACTTATTACAACAAAAGGGCTGTGACTGATGACAGCAGCGAAAAGCTCTATCAATCCTCTCTTGCCAATTTAAGCAGCGACTTTAAAGCATCATGTGACGGTAGGCCTGAGAATCAAAAGGCATTCTAGACTTGGGATGAAACGATATCAGTCCATTCAATAAACAATGACAAAAATACAGAAAACACACACGCATACGTCATAATACAGCGAGCAGTACAAGTGCAGAGTGCTGCTCTTTCAGCTTAGCGCCTGTGTTAATTGCCCAGATTGCTTGAAATCAACCTCCCCCACCGGCTTCTGCTCATCGAGCTCACACCAAAAGAAAGCGTCTTAGCGGGTAATTAGATGTATTCATTCCTCGCCAGGGCTGTGAGCTGTTGGTTATCCCTGTGGCTGCACAATTAGGACCACTAAATGAGAAACAACCCTACAAGACCTGCACAAGACCTTAAGTCAAGCAGTACCACCTACAGAGAAGGAATAGAGGATCAGTGAATTAAATCCATTGAAGCCATCAGCTGCTCAGTAACGTGGAACAATTGGACAGAACAAACAACTGTATGAATTTGATAAATGTGTAATCCTAGAAGAGTTGGATGATTGTCTAACAGTCTGACCCAATCAGGATTTCAAGTAAGTATCGGATCTTATAATGAGAATTTATATTACCAGCCAGTTATGTAGAAATACTTCAGTGAAACTACTTTCCTACAAAATCAAACTATAATATAAATATCATGAATGAAACAATTTGCTTCCGGTGGCCAAGCAAATGTACAAATATTGCAAATTTGCATCACATGGAGTTTAACTTAATAAACTTGTTTATACTGCAGTTGACCCTACTCGGCACTGCCCACATTTGCATATGCATTAGTGCGTGTGTGAGATCTTGTTTCATTGGCATCACAACGTCAACTTGTGCAATAAACATTACGCAAAAGACTGGGATTATGTCCGAACAGGTCAGCGCTTAAAAAAGTTACTACTTCTGTCTTTGCGCAAGTAGAGTGTCCATTGTTGCATATTTTCCTCATACCGTGTGGCCCTAATGAGCCGTTGAGCCTGAGGAACGCACACAGCCGAGACTGAAAATATGCTTCAGAGTGCCCCATAATCAGCGGGAACAATGCGGCTGCCACCTGTCCGTCAACATGCGGGGGATGACGTGCAGCTCGTAAGAGGATTGTGGCCCGAGGGGGTGTGGCTGAGACGCACGTGTGGGCCAGACCGGCTGATCCGTACTCACATGGTAGTCGGGAGAACGGTTTCATCCTCAAGCGATCGGTGGTTTGCCGGCGTTCACCAGAAACCTCATGCAGCTTCAAAGCTTCTCTATCTTGTGAGCCCCTTTTGTCAGGCATCTTTTACCCGGTGCTTTGACTATGTAACCGCTTCAAATCCTCGGAGCCGAGAGCTAGCTCCTCCTGACGGCATGTTTGTGCTGTTCCAAAGGTTAATAAAAAACATCTTTCAATAAAATCAAATGTTATCTTAAAGCCACTTATTCAATGAGCAGTGTATTTTTTTTTTTTTAATCACCGTTTACATTTAGTTTTGATAAACAAAACCGTGTAAACCTGAAACGTGTGTCATTGGTTAGTGAATTGGGCTTCTCCCATAAGAAACAATGGACATTCAATAGGTGACAGGAAGCATGAAGAGGTCCTGACGGCCCTGACACAAAAAGGAGTGTTGTCATGACAACAATTTTCTATACTTTGTTGCCAGGATTGTGTTTAAAACAACGGACATTATGATATAATGACACTGTGTTATGATCGGTTCTCGTTCAAATTTGTGAGGATTCATGAAAATACAATTATTATCAAATATATTTTGAAATGTCTTACAGACCGGGGCAGATCTATCTCAGTCTCTATCACTGTGGTCGTGGGTTTGCTTGAGCCAGTCGAGGGCAAGTTGCCACGTTATGCACACATGATCAGAATTTCAACCATTGCCAACACAACCGCAAAATAAATATAACTGTGGTGTGGTTGCTTTAAGAATGAGGAATAGCATGACAGGATTTTATTACTTTATGAGGATTGCAGCAAACTCCATAAATCTATGTAAGATATTACTGTGGAAAAATAAAACTGAACTCATCTTGAATTCCATATTCTTGCAACGGATGACTTATCTTTGCAACAGATCCCATCCACATATTGCAGTATAATTACAGACGCAGTTGAAGAGGGAGGAGATTCGAGGGGTAATGTTTGTGTCTTAAACAGCCATGTGATCAATTACTGGAACGATAACATTTGGTTTGAAATCTGCAGCTAGCATTCGCAAACTAATGGCTTTTCCTGGAAACCAGTCTCCAGAGTCATCGCATAACGACCTGAGATGCAGTTCGCTATAAAACTGTCAAGTGGTTACATATCGCAATGTTGCCAGGCCAAGGAGCTGCATAACTGAGCGTTTTTAATTGTTATTATAGGAGAACCTAGTAAAAAAATAAGAGTACCATATGTTTTTGTTGTTGTTACTAAAATAGAAGTTAAGATTAAATGAAAATAAAAACATGTATGTGTGTTAAAAAAGGAAAATAAATAAATGAATAGGCATTTTTGTGTATTTATTGTACTTAAGTCAATAAATTAGCAGCAGCCACACCTGCGCCAACATAAGTCTGCTGTAACAACATGTGTTCTAATTGAGCATGTGTAAAAACTAGAGTAGAGGGTAAAATAGATTGCTTTAATGGTGAAGTCTACAACTAAAAGTGAATAATTTAACTTGACCAAACATTGTACACTGAAAAGACAGAGCTAGCTTAACCACTGACAACTCCAGAATCTTTATCATTTATCATAATCATCATTATCAACATGATATAGAAAAGTATTTTCACTTTTATATAATTAATACTGTTAAATTACACAGATAACTAATAACATGTATGGAACTTGATGGATGGTTTATTAGTAAATCCGATGAAACACTACAGAAAATACGAATGACTGCTGCTTGGTAAATGAAATATGAAGTGTTCTTCTCATTTAGGAAACCAAAAGGTGGTTCATTAAAGCAAATATTGAGAACAGACATATTCAACTCTAAATAATCTATAATAAATTCTAAACATTAGATGTTTGTGTGAGAAGAGTCTGCTTAACCTTATACCCTAAAGTCACTGCCACGCTGCCGGGGGCGTTTTGATGTCTAGGAGACGGCTTCTTATGACAGAAAGCTGTACTGATGGCGTGATCTCTAGCCTGGGGGAGGGTCATCGCAGGGGGAGGAGGAAGATGGGGATACGGAGAGAGGGGAGGGGGATTAAGGGAGGAAATAAAGACAGCAGGGGATGGAGGAAGAAAAGCCCTGCAGCCTGGCAAGCCTTTCTGTCCCGCTACCTCCAGATGCTCCATGTGTCTTAACCTCAATCAGGCCATTTTCAAACAGGAAGTCTTTCCACTACCAAAGGGCATGTGAGGGGTGATTTGAAGAGAATCACTTACTTACCCACAATGTTTGAGTTCATGAAAGGTGTTGGGGGCAATCCTTCGTGGGACAGTAATCGACTGTCACTCAAATGATCGCCGTAATGAGGGCTGTCAGTCAAACCCTGGGGGAAGAGATCAGAATATCAAGCACATTATTGGACTACTTTGCTAATTGAGTGAGATGGCATTCCACTAATGAGAAAGAGGACAGCACGACTGATTATTTATTCTAATAGACTTTTTTGCTTAAATAGTGACATTTTTGTTAAATAGTGAAAAGCCAGGAGATGAGAACAGATCTTTAAATCTCTTAAATTTGCATTGTTGGTTCACATATATGTTTATGACCCCATCATGTAGATACAAATATTCAGTGAGTTTCTATTATATCTGTTTCTATTATAACTTTTAGTTGTCTACTTGATTCTACTATTTTATCTCCACAATAACAGGTTCATATATATCACCTCACAGGTGAGATCTGAATGTGTTGTTACATAGAGAACTTACAAGGAGAAAGAAACCGATCGCAATCGCATATCATTCCCAGGTACCTGCAGCTTGAAAAAAACATGAGTCTTTTCATGACAGTTATCAGCTCCGGGGGCTTAGGTCTAAATATGGGTCGCAGTATGGTTTTTGAAGCTCGGGGTGCTATGTAATAAAGGACACTCTGGTACAGTGCTAATCCCAAACCCTGTGAAAATACTTGTGTGCTTCAGTCAAATACATTTCCCCAAACTACATTAACTCCCAGCAGTGGGATCGAGTCGCAGTGGCCTTGCATTTCCATAGAGCCATTTTCACCACATCGCCCCCTTTGCATTCAATATATAATAAAAAAAAAAAAAAGAAATCTTATTATCCAATCTTTTTTTGTGAGTGGATGATGATGGAGTAATTCCAAAGGCACTGGAGTGTTGTGCTGTGTCGAGGGAATCCTCAGAGATTCTCTATTGTGCTCCTGCCAGGTCGCACACACTGTGAATCACACCAGGAACAGACAACAAATAACAACAACAGCCCTGTGAGAGAGGCTGCAGCGAACTAACACACACCGACTAACACAGCTAACGCAAGCAGGCAGAAAACATCTCCTCTGTCCTGCAGCTCAACTAGGAAAATGCTTTAAATCACAGACTTAAAGGAACAGTTCAACATTTTAGGAAAATACACTTTCTGACAGTCAACTAGATGAGAATATTGAAACCCCGTTATATTTTTCCATTAATGATTAGGCTTCAGACGGCATCCAGTCAGCTTAGCTTAGCTTAAGGGAACAAGGGAATCGGCTGGTTCTCTCCCATGATTAACAAAAACTGCACTGAATAAATATTAGAAAGCGCTTTGTTGTTGTTGTTGTTGTTATTACCACCATGGTCAGAAGCCTTGTGTCTGTATGTGTGTGTGTGTCAATGCAAACATTTGGGACTGTTGGATCATCATTCACAGACCCCTAATCATTCCCAAAAACTAGTGGCCTACATCTCTGTGAGACACTAACACTCGCTGTCATCGCTGCCACGGGCTGATGCCGCCACTACTGGCTGAATAACTGTCAAATCACTGTGGCAGCATGCGGGGCCTTTTTCCCCCCAATCACAGCATCTGAAAAAGTCCTCTCTTTGGCACTGTGCGTCCCGGGTGAGCATGTGGCTGCACGTGGCGGCTCAGGAAGCGATGATATGGTCGTGATGGATGCGCGTGGGGTCTGGCTTCGAGTCGGGGCAGGGCACTGGGGAAGGGGGGGGGGGGTTAGGCAAGGCCTCAACTGTCAGACCGCCAGCCCACAGCTGCCCGGGGTACGGCGGCTGGCCGGGAGCCAAGGTCAGCGCGGCGGCGCTCGGGACTGTTCACGGTTGACTGATCACACACTCGTAGCTCACCAGCTCAAACAAGCTCAGGGACAGGAGTGAATTCCCTCCGTAACGGACTGAGAGATGAAGCTGTGATTTTCTTCCGGGAGCCTTGGACAGACTGCGAACGGAGCTCATTTTGTGAAATACAGTAGCTCTCGTTACTTTAATCAATCACTTGATTCTCATTTAAGAGAGTAGTAGAAGGAAACCAGTCAATCCTAAAAACATTTTAAACTTATTTCTATTATCACTGAGTGCAATTCACTTTCCACATACAAAAGAATGGATCCAATGTTCAGAACTTCATACATTCTCAACTAATCCAGTCACTCTCATCCTCATCAATTCAGTCAGCGGAGAAACCACAAAATTTGGGGTTGTATTGAATCTTTTAAAATGTTAAGATCCTTGAAGCTTCATAAAAACAATCCTAGTTTAAGTCTGTTGGTGTGGGATGGAATGTTTCAAAAAAGGGACGTGGCTCTCATTCCTGAAATGTTTACTCTTCACACATAATGTAAGCTTCAAAACGATGCAGCTACGCAAGCAAACAGACTTACATACTATGAGCACTCATGTGACAGGTGTGCCGGGGATATGACCCAGGCGTCACTTAGCTGTTACAATCACCATGGCAACGATTAATTGCAGCTGATGGAGTTGAGATAATTAGTGCTGTTTGACAAACACACACAAACTCTCACAAACACACACACACACACACAAATACAGGTCATCGATAGTCAAACTTTTACAGGCATTTTCTTTTCAAATTTACCCTTTCAGCTTGACCCTCTATTTAAACACATTATTCAACATCTTTCAAACGTTATGAGCTTCTTATTCATCTACCCAGCCGTTCAGATTAGCATCAGTTTTTCAACAAACCTTAAAATATTACAGATCTTATATTCCAGGCATTGTTCAACTTTTGAAGTCTTCAATTCACCGCCAGTTTTCCGTTCAAAATTCAGCATTCACAGCACAATTTCATAGAACTTTCTCAAGTTTAAGTGTAGTTCATTAAAATGTATCTGAAATGGCAATTAATGATTGTGATTTAAAATCTAAAATGGGTGTAAATCTGGAAGAGCACTGTTGTATCCGTTTCATAAAAATGCATCTTTCATTGAAATAGCTGAAATAGTTAAAACTGCTTCCCGAGGTTCATGAGAAATGGAGCTTCCTAATTGCAGAACACTCAGTATGTAACATTGTACAGGCTATATAAATCAAGTCTATATCAATATAACGTGTGAGTGTGTGTGTGTGAGTGTGGAGAGTGTGGCATGTGCTTGTTTAAGTGCATCCCTTATGGTGGTGCAAACAGCTGTCTGCTGGCTGATGTCAGAAACACTCATTCATATGCACCTGGAGCACACATATCTGAAGCGTCTCTGTCTTATAACTCAAATCAAGCTGCCTTTGTTACCATAGCCTGTAGATGTTCATTCGGGAAGGGCACCGAGAAATAAACAAGGTAACGCGGTACGAGTGGCTCTGACATTTAACCGAAATCTAATCGAAAGTGACAGGAGATTGACATTAAATGAAATTCATACAGGGCATCTGGAACGACCAATGTGTGAGGGACAAACAAACAGGGAGAGAGCTGTTCACACTTGCTCACACAGTGAGATTTTCTCACTTTGAAAGAACAACAGAGATTTAATATGCACAGTTTCTTCATCACTTTTAATCGACATTATTATTATTACACCAATGCATTACACATGTATTGCACTTTTTTGTGTGCAATAATTGTATTCTACTTTGTCACTATTAAATACAATTTAGAATTCTTTAAGTGAATGGCAACACTGCAAATTGCATCATACGAACTGTAGTCAATGTATTTAACACTTAAAATTCTCTTTTTCTTTCTTTTGAGTAAAGTAGGTAAAGACCTTTCAGCCATCCGGTGTTTTAGTTGGCGACGGTTTACTACTGGTGGCATTTACAACTACGGTGGAGGAGCAAAGATCTGATACGGAGGTCAGTGAATCCCATTTAAACCTGCTTGAAACCACGTATCTCCTGCAGTTGGCTTGTTTGACCAACATTTTTCAAAAGCACAAACAGCTTATTATTTTTTAACAAGGTTATTCCCTGAATGAAATATTTTAACAGACCTCCAAGACTAATAGGAAGCTGGATCCCACAATAATATCAGATCAGTAAGGGTGTCACATGTTTTGACTAACAATAACAAAAATCGAATTCACCCGGCATGACAACGTTAACATGTCCTTTATGTCTCAGATAAATGTGTCCAGTGGAGGTCAAACAACATGACTGGCAGTCTACGGTGAGACTAAAACATTGTGAATGTAACGGTTTGATGTAATGAGTGTTAAACGATGTGCTGTGAAGCAGAAGCCATTCAGAGGCGTTAAGGTGGGGGTCATCTTACCCGGGGAGACTCATAGGAGGGACTGGACTCGCCACCTGGGGCCCAAGACGCTTGGTTGGTCCGCTCGTCCATACCTGTCAGGGAGAGATGCACGACGCAGACGGCAAGTAAAGGTTACTCACACAGCGCAATGAACATGCAGTTTATCTACATTCTCCGCTTTGGTCTCCGTAGTAGAGAATTCTGCGTCACCGTGTCATTTACAATGCTAGTCATTAAATACATGAATACATTAAATAATGTTTGTACGGTGTCCCTGTGATTTGAGTTCCATATGTTTATAGACAATCCTACGGTAGATACAAAGACAGCTTAACGATAAGGAGCCAGAAAAGACCCTTTTAACAATACAAACCGTTTTTAAATTAGTGAAATCATTTGGTTATTAATTGATTTTAAATTACTTTGCAATTATATTGGTAATTGAGGAGTCTGTAGGAGCTTGTGAAGCAAATATACCTAACATGCATTTTATATGATTGAAGATTAGATGGGATTGTTGGTTGGGCAAAAACAAATGTGTATTTTGTGACATTAAAAACAAATGGATTAATAAAGGACATTTTTGTCAGATTAATTGATAAAGACGTCCATGAAAATAATCATTACTTGGCAAACAAACCAAATCAGGCTTATTTTACCTAGAGTTTATCTAGAGTTTGATGAACATCTCACTTAAATACAACATCTTATATACATATGATCTTAAGGGTGGGATTTTACAACCTCAGTATGTTTTGTCTAGTTTATAAATGTTTCTTCAATAGTTACATTTTTTCCATTGTGTGATTAAGTTTGCTTCACATAAATCATGACAAACAATGGGTTCTGTTTAATGTGCTTCGATGTACCAAAAACGAAGTTACAAATGCATGATTTGGCATTGATGCATGCCAGCGTACTGCCAGACGGCTGAGCACAAAAACTTGATAAAAATATTTCTAAATGAAAGAAAATCTGTGCCTCAAAAGTCAAACAGATATAAACAAATAAAATGATTAGCTCCAGCCAACAGCAAAGAACATCTGGCATATATTGAAAAATATAACATCTGTTCTTTGGAATCTGATTCATGAGGTATAGTCAGTAAAGATATTTGATGCTTCAATTGTTGTTGCAATATTGCAATATTGCATACCAGTATTACTAGTTATTGATTGTCACTGTTCCATCTGCCTCACTGAAACGCCCCGTTCATGTTCATTTTTAAATTCAAATAAAAACTATATCAGATTTGAAGAAATTGCGTATGCTCTGAAATATAATAATGCAGCAAACAACAAACGTTTTTAATATCAAGTAAAATATATATATCTCAAAATCATATGCACTAAACTGGCTTCATTTTGGGGACACAATCCAAGGAACCCAACTGGGAAAAAAACACAAAAAATGATCTAAAAGCAGAAGTAGAATCTGCACAGAAAAACGCCCGTGATTACAGATAAAAACACGTGGACCTGTTGTCTGACTCAAGTCGAAAGTACAGCGCAGCTTAACAGAGACGATAGCGATCGATTCCTCTTCACCAGGTTCAATGCAGCTTAACCGGAGCTTCCAATGCGAGCACCTCAACACCAGAGGCCTGATCCCAACACCCAGTCTGAGATGTGATTAATGTAATGTGGGTGACAGTTCAACTGTCAAGATGCCAATCAATTCTTACTCAGAAATCTAAATATATACTTAACCATAGAGCCTGTAACATTTCTGGAACCAGAAACCACACTCTAGTGAGCCGAGTTACTGATAACAAACACAGCAGTCATTTCCTCCTTCAAAGGCATTCTGAACGGAAAATAATAAAACTTGTACTTGTTTTACTAAGAGCACACGGGTCTAAATATTGGGGCTGTGACAACAGCAATGTGACATATTGTTGCCCAACTGAGGTCTTTTTACACGCTGAATGTAACAATGGTCCGACTTTGCTCTCTGGGCCACCGGCTGTCATCTCGTCTGATTACCATCTCCCACCACAGCTCAAGGGTCCCCTCTCTTCTCCGCGAGCGCAGACAGGCAGCACAATAAGATCACTCACAAGAGGCCAAAGGGAGAAACACAAACACGAAAGTCTGTAATTTTGTTCTCATGAATCAGGAGAACCACTGCTGCTCTGCTGCTAAGTAGCGTGTGCTACAGATGTTCAGAAAGAGGAAACATTTAATCTATTCCTTTCTCACACATGATCCTCAAAGCTATAATCACTATATATATATATATATATATATATATATATATATATATATACACACACACACACACACACACATAGTTTATGTTGAACAACATTATGTTGAAATCTAACTTGATGGTGAGTTGAAATCACATATTAATGAATAAATATTAGAAACATTATGCTACTTTTTTTTTTAAATGAACACCTGATGGGTGCTTTTGATATAAGAAATAAGAGAATTTGAGGAAAGAACTGTACCCCTGAAGGATACGGTTGGTATGTGCATGTTTGCATACACACATTTCTGGTGAACTACTGAGTGTAACAACGAGCGAGACACCTGAGGGACTTTTTCTCAACGGGGCCCGGCCAACTACCAACACAACTTCTCCTTTCATGCCACCAGGTTTGTGGCAAAACTTACAACTGGACGTGCAGAGTGCATGCATGTTAAAACAGAGAAAACATGTTATCAGCCATATGCTCCACCACACTGGGTACATTTTGTATACCTGAAAGTACCTTGATCGTCTAGCATACATTACCCAAAGTTATTCTACTGCTGGAATGTCAGAATTCAGCACACTACTTTTAATCTCATTCATTTATTAACACTTGTTTACTTGTTGTGCCACAATTTAAACCAGTTTAACATGTGCACAGACATGATTTACTATGCAGGAGAGACATCACACTGCTATGCGGAGTATTGTCATGTGACGGAGAGAAGAAATATATCTGGCAACTTGTGTGGTAGATTTCAAAAGGTTAAGATGAATAAAACGGGACCTAATGAATTGGTTTGAGTGACAGGAGTCGGCTCAAAGCTTTGCATTTATGACTTTTCCATTCTCACCGTCGCTGCTGGCTCTTTCATAAAAAACGGTTCTCTGCCCAATTCAGCAAAACGTCTTCAAACAGAAAGACTGATTCATGCAACATGGCTGAGCACTGCAAAGCTTACTAGTATATGGCAAAATAAGATAACACCGAGTTACGTGTCAGTCTGCGCCCGTTTGTAAAATGTCCGGCAGAATTTGCAGAGGAGACGTGAACTTAAGTGCAACAGTGCGCATTTTTTCCCTCTTTGGTCCAGACTTAATGACCCAAACTACAAAGTGTGAAAGCAGCCCTTTTCTTTTTTGCACATATCTTTTTTATTTTATATCCTTTCATATTTTTATTGTGAATTCAATTGCACAGTATTATCCCTTGTTCCATTTATGCATCACCCACCATGACAATTTCCTCGTATGTTCGGCATACAAGGCTAATAAATGTTTCTGATTTTGGATTAATCACATCATTGTGTATCAAATAATCAACTTACCAGTGTCTTTGTCAATTAATACAAACATATTTTTTTTGACAGGAGCATCTCATTTGTTTATGATTTGCCAGAGAAATACCTAAGAACACATATTTGGTTTTATTCATATGTCATTTGAATGGTATGTTTTATCTTCAGGAGACACAGACAGAAATTACAGATGAAACCAAATTGTTTTGGGATGATACATAAAATCATAATAAAACAAATCATAAAGTCAAAAGCCCCCCCAAAAATATCAATCCTTTTAAATATACATATTTACAATAAACTGGCCAAACAATCTCTCGGGACAAACAGTTAAATAGAACAAAAACTTGACATGCTTCCCATGAACTATAAAACAGTTAAATACATTCAGAATCACAGATAAACACTTCTGAGATCTCACACTTCCCATCACTCAAAAACAGCCAGCAGTAAAACTATACGGCTGAAAAATGAAAGAAAGAAAAGCTTCTGGTCCGGACGGCATCTTGAATAAAATGAGAAATGAGAAATGTCAGACATTTAAAAACTAGTTGACCTAATTCGCAGAACAACTTTCCCACCACACAGAATAAATAAACAATAATCTGGTGCAAATGAACTGATGGAGGGTATTTGTTGGATGGGACTATGAAAACGTGTTTGTAACGACTAAGGTGATGTAATTAGTGTAAGACCTGCCTTCTGGCCACCTCAGCGCACAACACAGCGCACAACACAGTCGCCTGTTGAACCGTCCACGTTAATGCAAACAAATCCAAAATAAACTCCTGCCTTCCTGACTTTCGAGACCCTTTGACCTCATTCGGTATCCTGTATAAATGAACTTAAAGCATCTCTTATGGTAAGAAAATAAGCAATGACCCCAGCAAGCTATTTTTATTCTACAGGACACACAGCGTTGATGTCTCAGTCCTCCATTAAAGCGTATAGAGTCCACTAAGTTGTCTTTCAGTGAAATGTTCTGCAACAGAAGCAGACAGAGGAAGCCCACTGGTTTTGTTGACATCTGTCATCTGCACGTCAAAAGGAAACTGGGGTTCAATTCATTAATTTTACTTAATTTTATTACTTGTGCACTGCTGTCTTGTCTATTGTCACATTGTCTACTGTCGCGCACCAACCGCCAAGACAAATTCCTTGTATGTTTGGCATATTATGGTAATAAATGTTTCCTGATTCCTGATCCTGATTCAGGATATAAGAAACACCCCCCCAAAAAAACAGATAAAGACAAAAAAAGGTATTTCAATAATAGAAAATAAGAGTCACTGTAACTGTGTAGTGTGTCTTTTTTATGGTCTGAAATCCTCTCTACATAAAAAAAATCTAGTTAACAATTTCTAACCAGCTTCCCAAGCACTTCTGACCTTTGGTTTTCCCCAGAAAGCTTTTCATTTTTGGCATTCGACGGAGTGACAAAACAACACACTAGCTGCTCGTCACTGCCAACCGACGTTCCCCTGCGTGCCACTAAATGAAAATGACCGATTCAACAGCAGCCGTCCGCTACGGCGTATCAGTCAATGGCCTCATCAAATATGCCCCATCAACACAGCTGGAAGGGCGAAATGATGAATCTCTGGTTTTCCAGTCCATCTCTTGCTGGCACACTTTTGAAGGGTCTAGCCGGTCGCCTCAATTATAAGGCGATGCCCAGCTGAGAGGCAGTAATCCAAACCCTCATTCCCCGCAATTTCCACACTCTGGTCTGCACACTCACTTCCCTGATGTTCACAATCACTTATGTGGGGATTTTTCCCTTTCCTTGAGGATCAGAGACACAGGAGCGCATATCGGGGATGGAGGACGGAGGGACTTTAGCCACTAAAGGTACGATACACGGCCGAGGGGAAGAACTTCATTTGCACATCATTATTTCTGACATGATAATAGTAATATTTCGCATCATTCCATTTTTGCAGAAATAGAAAAATGACATTTACCAAACATTCCCGTTATTGAGCCAGCAGCTGTTAGGCAATACCAAATTAAGTTTGAGGTTTTTTAGGAAGAGTGTCACCGCTAAATAATTCAACTTAAACGTCAACTTCATGCCAATCCTCGTTTACATAAATTACATTTTAAGAAAAATGACTAGCAGCTGATGAATGGATTTCCAGAATACACAATACAAGATGAGCATGAGAATCAATAGCCAGTATTGGTCAGAACATGTTATCAAGCTCCTGAAATTATAATCTAGTAAATCATTGGAATACTGGATCACGATTGACCACGAAATCCAACCACTTGGAAACAATTATTTACATGCGAGCTCATCTTTGATACACTGTAATATTTGGGGTTTCAATAGGTTCTTAATTAAGGACCCATAACAATGAAGATCCTATTTACCACTTAATTCAGATATTCATTCATAAAGGCTGAAAAGCTGAGAACGCACATGTCGAAGCATTAAACTGCCTAACTGTGTTCATCAGTGTTTCCTTTATAACAAAATCCACCCACCAACGTGCTAACCATCGTAATACGGATAAAATATCAAATCACCCAAAGTTGGCTTGGTTACGGCTTTTACCAATGAGTTTAAATTCCTAATAATTCAGCCTGAAAGGTTCTGTTTTATAGACCATTACGTAGCTTTTATGGGGAAGAAAGAAAGAAAGAACTATATATTAACTTATATTTTACAGACCATATGTTTAAAGTTAACAGTAACAAGTACTGTCAATTGTTTGCATAATCTTAATAGGAAATGAAACTTGTAAATATAAAAAAGTATAAATAAAACCTTTAGCTTAAATATTATGTTTCCAATCATGTGCAATCTTTTTCCGATATGTCATATATTAGTGTTGGCGGAGAACAAAGGCCCACACTTAAGAGCGTGTTACGCTCGTGAAGAACAAAGCCGGTGAGCTCACAACCCTCTTTGGCTGCGACACATTTCTCCTCACAGATCCTTTTCTGTCCCGGACCTGAAAGCAGCGCGCTGCTGATGGAGTCTTTTAGGCGCAGCCGGAGGGCGGCTGTCCACATGATGTCAACGTCTTACTGGATCAAATCATGAAGCGCACGCAGCAATGCTTTCTAAATAAAGTACGTGGAATACATTCTGGTGTGGAGTCATTTAACGCAGCGTGGTTACCAATCAAGTTTCACTGTGTGTCATCAGCGTGTTTTGCACACCAACTGACTGGATTTGTGGAAACGTTTCATTATCTACTATTCTAAAAATGTACAATGACTTACCAGCTTATTTGATAAGCCTCGACAATTTTATGCAAAGACCTTGACTTTGGCCCTTTTTGTTGACGTTGTTTCAGAAAGGAGTTGTTTTTTTTATCTTTGAGGCTGCAGTGACAGAGCGGTTGTTCTACTGGACTGCAACATATTAAAAAGTGGATATTTTTTTGCCAACAGGTCGACAAGAAACCTCCATTCTAAAAAAAACAACTACTAAACATCAGGAAGGTGTGACATTATAGTAGATCTGGCCTAGTTGTACTCTAGAGAGTACACACACACACACACACACACACACACATTCTCCCCAGTTGCATGATAAGGAATGGTAAAATTAATCCTCACAACTGCTGGTTCATGTGAGACAGCTCTGTTCTAGTTTCTTTGTCTTTCAGTTTAGTTTCCACTACGTGTGTGTGTGTGTGTGTGTGTGTGTGTCTTTAGTTTCCCAGATAACTGACTACAATGAGGCTTTGTGGATTACACACAAACATGCTTTCAGAAAACATAATGCTTGATTGTTGATTTTCTCCCGTGGCACATAAGACAATAGATTTGCTTCGGATTAATGTCCTGTAGCTTTTATAGCTGGGAAACGGCCAGAAACAGGGAAACTGAACTCTTGTTTTTACAACCAAACCATCCATCATCAAGATGCTTCACAGATAGATCAGTAATTAGAGAAGACGATAATACAATCTGTGTGTGTGTGTGTGTGTGTGTGTGTGTGTGTGTGTATCAGAGGGACTTGCCAATTATCAGACTAGCTTCTTCGAAAGGAAAAAGCACTACAGGATAACTCAATGAGGATGTCTCACAAACACATTAAACAGCTCACAAGCGGCTCTGCTGTATTAATTAAACTGATTAAAAATGTGCCTCCAACAAACCCTGATAAGGACAGTATTGTTTCTCTGAACACTTGCTTCACTCAGAGCTGATGTAGCGATATGACCACAATATTTTACCCTTGATATTAAGTCATTTCAAATCTATATATATATATATATATATATATATATATATATAAACCTATATATGTTTTCTGGCCTATTTTCGTATACTCCTGTAGGAATACTTGACAAATGAAAAGTGCGTATTTTCTAATTGTATTAAGAACTTTAGTGCAAAACGAAATCTTACATGAAGGATATAATAAATATTCTTATCTTACCATGTTCACATTCATGAGACAAATACAGAGTAATCAGTATAAAACATTAGTTTTGTTTTACACATTGAGATCAGAATGATACATTTAAGTAAGTATGTATTATTATATTGATTTATTGCCTAGCTGAACTCTTTATGAGACGCCTTGATGAAAGGAGCCAAAGCTGCAGGTATCTATGCACCTGACAGTACAGCGAGACATGATTCCCTGTATGATGATCTTCAGATCAACAAAACATTCACAAATGTGCATGAACTTGAGCGTGCTTTGTTCTTCATCGTCCCGGTACTCTAATTCAAGGTGGAGGGTTTTAACCCCCAGAGCGGACACAGGAGCAAAAAGCATCACATGCAAAGCCAGACTAGGACCTTATCAGAGGTGTCACTGCAGCAGCTTCGATGGGTCCTACCTGGTGCGGTGAACTGACTGCTTCCCAGTGTGGTGGGCCTGTTCTTTGCTCCGCTTACAGGTGGGGAGAACATCTGGAATGAAGAATATGGACATACAATTAGACCAAAGTCTAAACAGCGTAGAAGAATTTCACATTACGTGCTTGGGATTTTTCTAAGAAAAAAATACAAAATAAATCAAGTCACGAATGTGAGCTGATCAATTAGTCACGCTTTGATTTGCCTGATTCGGTCATCACACCTTTAAAATGCGCTCAGAGAGAGGTAAGGTCAAAAGTCCTCCTACCGCACTGAAATCCAGCAGGTCACTTAATTCCTTGTCGGTTCCGAGAGCGGCGATCCGCTGCTGAGGATTCATCCTGGAGATCTAGAGACCTGGAGACAACACAGTCCATCAGGTGGAGACAACACTGTCCATCATGTGGCACGCTGCTCGATTCTGCTCTATTCTGCAGCGCGGAGCGGCAGAGAAATGTCTGCGACGAGAGGTGATCGTTACGAACACGAGATATGCCCCCCGACCCCCCCAAACCAACCACCCCCAACACAACCTGCCCCCCGCGGAGAAGTTCAATCTCCTCTGGCATCGCACTTCGGTCACATCGTGATGGATTAAATAAAACAGTGCAAAACATTTCGCCCGCACCTGAAGTTTGTTGCTAATGATTAGAAACAGAAAGAGGAGACCTGCTGCATCGCACTGCTGCAGGTAACAATGTTTCTACTCCTGCAACACTGGACGTGACGCTCAGGCGACGTGGATAATGTCAGAGGTTTGCGTGGCGGACTCGGCGATGGTTCCAGTTTACCCAGACGCGTCACGTCCCCGCTGCTAGCCGGCTGAGGCTAGCTGCGCTTTCTGGTTCGTTTGTATTGAAAAAAAGCTAACGTGTTAGCATTGCCCTGCGAGCGGGTTAAAGACAATGGCACAGCAGAATACTTGCGTCTCTAACGAGGTGAAACGTGAATTACATACTGGCTCAAAATAAGTGACTCGTATTTCAAATGACAGTCTGAATATGCAGCTCCAGAATGTACAAAACGCAGTGATGGTCTTTTCTCAACTCCCAACTTCTTTCACTGGTCCCACAGCTTGAGGTAAACTCCCACTGATATTTTACCTTTTGTTCCGATGAAAATCCCGACTAGGGTGATCTGGTGAAGATGCGCTTTCTTGCAGTATGCCTCAGGGCAAAAATTCGGGTTTGAGCGGCAGTACGTGGTTAAAATATCCACCTTTATATTATGTCAGTTACGAGTTTCGCTTAGGCAGACATTTTTGGTTTGCAAAAGCCTCAGCACTACGATTGGCTATGTATCCCTCCGCCTGGTACGGTCCCTCACGGCAGGAGATGCTGCAGGAGTCCGCGCACCACACGTCTACCTATGGCTTATTAAAAGAGTATCTGAGGGATTCTAGAGGTCTTGCACAGGTCTTCCAGGATTTGCACTTTAGAGGCAAATACATCCATTACATTCAGAACTTTTCCACGTTGTTTTGTATGCGCACATACACACATTGCACAAAAGGCAGGGGTGTCAACAACTAGATTGTCAACCTCCTCCTCTGACGCCATTCCTGCAGCCATGCAGCCCAGTTCTTTGAATGAGTTCATTTCCCATTAATGGACATTACTAATACTCTTTTCTTACCGAATATGTGTGCTTTCTTGCCTCACAGGTTATCGTGGATTGTGGTTACTTGGACTGTTGTGGGTCCAGTTGTGGCCTTGACACTAACTGTTGCATCAGTTTAATTATTATTAGGATCTTTATCTTACTCAAAAACGATTTCTTACTTATTCTTATGTCTGCAATCCCGGTATAGGTTATTGCTGACTGCTTTGTCTTGCATGCACAAAATAAAAATACAACAGTACACCACTTCACTGGATGATTATATGCATATACTAAACATTATGTCATACAGAAACCAGTGGCTGATCAATTTTATTGGACTATTACTTTAGTGGCATGATTGAAAGAATGGATTTTGTTATTTAAAACACCATTTATAGCACAGAATCATTCCCTGTCCTCGGTGTCTGCATAGAGTGGTCGTTACTTCTTGAACGTGTCACTTTACTCCTCATGTTTGTCTTTATTCCCCAGGTTTGTCCTTGTCTTTAAGTAGAATACTTGGTACTTTATCCAAAGATGAAGAAATGTTTCATAACTGTGCGCCAACATAGTGTGGATCGATTTATACTTCACTGCAGGCCCAAACATGGTGAGTAATGGAACAGGCAACAAAATAATGATTCAGTACTTACGTGACGTAACAAAAAAATAAGAAATGAGATCACAGCTGACTTGTTAATGTTTGTAGCGACTATGCTTTTATTCTGAAGGGCTGGAAATGGTTGGCGGATATCAGGCAGGTATTTGAAAACAATCCAGGTGTAACTTGTTGTTATTTAGACCAGCATCCTTTTATTAAACAAACACACAAACGAGGAGCGGCTGCCTACATGGCTAAACAGCGGCGGAAAGCAACAAACCCCTTCAACAAAAACATTCATCACACTTCCGCCCCGGAGGCGAGAAAATCGAAACCAGCACGACGATCCGAAGAAGGTTTGCGAGCCAGAAAGGAAAGCGACCGCCTGCGAGTGAAAACGAGGATAAACATCTCCTACAGCTTCACCAGGTGGAGGCGATTCAAAGAGGAAAAGAAACTACGATGCGACGCAGACGTCGCGAACTAGCTCTTGAACTAGTGAGTTTTGGCTGAAAGCCACAGCTGTCAAACGTATGATTGGGATTAAAGCACCTCGGTTTTGATATTAAGTATTTTTGTAACAAACTCAAATGGTCATCAAAGCTCGTGAAGCAGTTTATTCTAAAATGGTTTTCCTCTGCAGGTCTGCAGTAACACGCTTCTTCTTAATGCCGCATCTGACAGCTCGACTTAGCGATGCTGCAATGTTGTGGTGCCTAAAAAGTGCAAACTAAAATGTGTATTTGAGACCGTAAATACGGCAGCATAGATGACCTAAACATTTCCCTTTGTCGCCAAATGTTGTTAAAGACCCCCAGTCCGTAAAACCGAAAACTACACAGCCTAAAATCCCAGGGCAGCGTGGGGACTACTTTTTCCTCCGCGCTGTCGAGAAACCAGACCAGAGAACCCAGTGTTAGTTGGATTCATGTTGGCCATGCCTGTGGATTGGACACTTGAAACATGTTTGATTAAAATATCAGTTTTTTTAGAGGTCTGGTAAGACAACTCCCTTGTAGATTCATTGTTTCAAATGCAACTGTAAGAGCGTTAAATACATCTGCTCAAATGTTCTTATTTGTAGGTATTCTGAACCTATTTGGTTTGTCATTGGCTCCAGTTTAAGTGATATACGACTGCAGTTGCTGGAAGTGAAAGGGGAGGCAGACCATGACGGAAACGTATGACTAATAATGGAAAATGAGTGTGTGGACTGTGAAGCAGCCACAGTGGGGGATGAGTTTTGAAATGTAACCGCAAACAACATGTTATCTTAACACCCCACAAGATTATTCAATTTCAATACAAGAGAAATGTCTTCGTTTTCAGATCCTCAAGTAGCTGAAAACAGTCCCAGGATCACCAACACCTTTAGCTTTATTTAATCCCTCACATCCACACTTTTTTGTTTCAATCATTAGTTTCAAGATGAGTCTCAAACTCAATAAAAGCTGTGAGCTGTACGATTGCAATAAGCATAAGTGAATAGGACATATTTATGAATCGCTGGGCACAGACAAAAGTCTCAAAATACATTATGGGTATTTCAAAGAAAAAAAGTATAAATAAAACAATGTGGCCTTACAAAGCCCCCTACTTTTTAAGAACAGTTTTTAAAGTGAACATCAAACGGCGTCCTAACAAAAATATATATGTCTGAATATCTCTGTGTGCAAACTCTTTTTATTTTACTTGAACAAATGTGAGTTAAACAGGTGAAGACCGGTGCAGTGCGTTGATAAAGGTTGTGTATTTCAACCTGTTTCCTTTAAAAGTTTGGTTGGTCGGTTGTGGGAGTTGTTTCTGAGAAAAAAAGGAACTTACACACACACACACACACTTTTGTTGTTGTTGTGTGTGAGAGAGAGAGAGAAACACAACTGAAAAACAAAATATTTTGTGTCAAAATCCCATCACTCTTTATCTTTATCTTTTAAGTACATTTTCTTGAACCAAGTCTTTTAACGCTACTTTCATTTTGAGTTGCTTTTCGTGTACTGTAGACAGTCTTCTCCTCTTAGTCCTGATTCTGGTTCCGCGGGCCTTCCTCCCCTTCAGCCTGGTCAGCTATACAGCCTGGGTCACTTGAAGAAATAGAGAGCCTTTGGGCAATCCAACAACTTAACCATGTGGAGTTTCTTTGTCATGCAACTCAATGCCATTAAAATCTTTAAACAACAAAGATGCCTTTTGAAGATTATTTCTAGAAGTATAGTAACTAACCAGCTCATTTAGACCAAAAACGTAAACTTTTACACAAATATCTGTAAGGCGTGCAGGAGGAGAGGATTTGTAATATAAAACAAATGATCTCATTTCCTGAAACATGGTCACACAGCAGCACCACTGCCCTGTGTTGTTAACTCCAGACTGCCACCTGCTGGACAAACATCACACAAAGTTTACCTGAACTTCTTCATTGATGAAAATATCCAAACAAGCAAATTGTTTTGACACATACTGCATATTTGTTATTTATTTCCAAGATTTCAGGAATTGGACATATTTCAGTTGGTAAACAAGAGAAAAGACCAACATTTAGTTTTAGAATAATTTAAAATGTACATTGGTTAAATATTTTTTGTTCTTTGAGGCTCTAAGGTTGCCATTGGCTACCATTTTGAGAAACTGCAAACTAAATATGAACCTCATGGACAAAACATAACCCAATGTGTAAATCTGTAGTTCTGAATGCATCCAACGATGGCAGGCATAGATTTCTTAGACTAGCTCTTTTTAACAATACATTAAAATATAAACTCAGGGTTTACATGTATCCTGCAAAAACAGTTTAGTCCCATTGTCCAATCATGGAAAATGAGTTTGAAAAGTTAATTGTCCCGGAAAACTTTCGATTTCGTGAAAAAGATTCCTTCATTCTTCTATTTTCCTTTTGCTGAGAATGAATTTCTAGCCTCATTATCAGATGAGGTCCACGAAACAAATAACATTGAATGTTACCAGAGACCCCGATAGATGCAGAAAGTGGTTAAAGACCACACAAAACACAAAAACCCAAATTTGATGAAAAAAAACGTAGGCAAATACGGCAACATCAGAGTGTGCAGCCAACTTTTCAAGAACCGAACATACAAGCAGAACTTATGAAAACAACGCCCTGAAAAAAAGAAGGCTCATGTTAGAATACAATTGAAGTAAAAAAGGAAAGAGAAGGGGGGCGTAATGATATTAACATGATGTCACCCCTGACCCCTCCCAAAAGGCCTGAGGTAATGGAGGTAAAAGTGATGGAGTTAAAAATGTCTGTACGTTATATATTTGGTATTAAGAGGAATCCTTACATCTCTTTCATGCCTGTTGTATGCGATTTCTTGTCTGTTTTTCGCCATGTGTCCTACCGTGTATCCTCATCGGTTATTTTGAAGTGAAAAGAAAAATAAAGGCATTTCAACACAAAACAGTGTACCTTAATTTCCTAAACTCCAAAAGTCATAATTGTCCCAGTGTTGAATGTTTTTGCGATGGTAAGTATGAGCCTGTTCATTTCACAAGGATCCATAACTATTACCTTCAAATGATTCCGGATCATTTAAAAGTTGCTTAAGATGACTAAGAGCAGAAGGGGAAAATCAAGAAGTAAAAGAGCTGTAAAGAATTCAAAGCACTTTCTCTTTTTTGGCTACTGACCAGAATAGTATTCTCTTAAAGCTCAATGGTGGTTGAAAGCCATCATCACGTTTCAGGTCACAGGTCAAGATGTGGTTAAAAATGCAAGCTGGTAATTTTAGCTTTGACAATATCCTGTTCAAGAAATGTCAATAAAACAAACATACAAGTTGTGATTCTTTTTTACACTATTAACTGAATCTCAACTTGGTTTTAAACAACTTATAACTATGTATCGTTTCAGCTCTGAGTAAACCTTTTAGATTGTGTATCTTTATTTCACTCTAAACATCAGGTTTCATAGTAAACATATGTTTAAAATATTTACTATTGTTTGAAGACTCATAGTTGGGCGCAGATAGACTTAAAACAAGGTGACCTGTAACTCCGGTGTGCCAATAAAGTTTGCATTCATAGCATTTCCAGATACGTTTTTTTTTGCCTGATGCTGGTTGGGTTTTTATTTTTTTACAGTTATAAAAAAAAATCCTCGATATTGATGACCTCCACCGGAACGTGTATGCCAGAGCCGTCGCACTTTGGGTGTGTATCGACCTCTGAAAGGTAATCTGTCACAACCTTCCCCTTTTCAAATTAATGAATTGCAGTGGGACTTCTGTCATCGTCAGCAGCCACAAAAAATGTCTAGACCACCTTTTTTTTCATCATAAAAATGCTTGACGACCAATAAAGTAAATTTTTGCTGCATAAACCTTTAAGATTTAAATGAGATAAAACACGTTTATAAACCGTTCATAGAGTACTTAAACGTTATCTCATTGTTTTTTATTTAACATTTTGTTAAATAGTTGGAAAAAAAAATAGAAGTTGAAAAAAAAATCAACGGGATGGTTTGTTTAATCCGTATTCATTTGTATGTGTTTGTTGCAAAGGACTGCAAGTATTGTACTGAATCGACTTGACACCTGCAGATGAGTCCAGGAAGTGGTGCGAACACACGGAGGAAGTGATCTCACAGAAATGCGGTGCTCTGATTGGTCGAGACAGTCCCAGCATCTCCATCGCGGGCACAGCCCATGCTAGCGGATCAATTTCCTCCCTCCTGTGTGAGGTTGACCCGCACTATCGGAACGATATCTTCCACAGAACTGACGTGCATCGGTAGCGCTCCAGTTGGTTTCTAGACACGGCCTCTTCTTAAGACTCAGAGGCGGCCGTGAGACAGAGAGAGAGAGGTAGGCAGAAACGAGAACATGTGACACCGAACTCCGAGCGCTGTCTTTGTCCCGACGTCCTGCTCTCAGATAACGTGACCGCGCTAGCGGAGCTAATTGTTATGGTGCCCTGATCGATAGCCGATAACTCACGCAGACTACCGATAACATGAATTGGATGTAGAACGTTTTCATCTTGAACGGACCGTGTCTCGTGTTGAAGAGCAGGAGCATTGGACATCTTAAAGGTTAGCTTGTTAGCATTAGCTACCTGGATGCTGTAAAGGACTGAGGCTAACAACACAGGTAATAAATGTGAGCTAGCTACGCTCCGGTAACATTTTCTAATAACACGTTAAATAGTGTACCTACCTGCTTTTAGGGAAGCTAATCACAAATCAAGAATTTACGTTAAAAGATGTACGTTTGGTTGAGGATTGGATTGTAAACAATGAAACGGCATCAAGGATCCTCAGATGTCACTTGTCACAAATTTGACGTTCCTTCTTTGTATTTGAGCAAATGTGCGACCACAGCCATTTCTATAGCAGTCAATACTTTCGCCATCTTTGAAGGAAGGTGATGATATGTTAATAACCATGACAACGGGCCCCAAATGCCACTGATCTAATCGGAGTACACATGCTTTCTTTTTCACATGAAGGCCTATTTAAAATAATGGGCACATATTGTTGTAGTGGGTGAACTGGTTGTCTGTCAAAGATGACAGACATACAGTCAGTGGCTGGGTGGTGTATTCAGTGGAGAATCTACTAATCTCTAATAAAGAAAATTGGATTTATAGTTGAGAGGTGGACAGAAACACCACTCCGATTGAATGGCAATTATATATATATATAAAAAAGCTTACATTTATTCCAGACTAACTCACGAATACGTACTAATATTACTGTATCTGTTGGAAGTGTAAATAAGTATTTGCTCCAGCATACACAATACCAGACACCAGGGAAGGAACATATAATTCAGACATGGTTAATTCCATTGTTTACCCATGAGCTTTTCAAGGTGTGTCTGGTCACAATGTCAAAAATGTACTTTGTGTCGTTGCCATGGGCCTGTACTAAAAGCTGAAAACGTTGAGAAAGATGGTGTGTCTTTACAATTTAAAAGCACACCATTCCCTGATCATTGATTTACAAAACAACTATACATTTTAGTATTACGATTGTATTCTTGAGGTCATCAAATCGTTAGCCTCTGTGTTTTTTGGATCAATTAAATTTGTGATGTACGATCTATGAGATATACGATCAATGCTTTGCATTATTAGTGTACAGGAAGTAGTAGGTTGGCTGAATATTATTTTTCTGCTGCAGGTCCATGATGTCGGAGCTTTTTATGGAGTGTGTTGAGGAGGAGCTGGAGCCATGGCAGAAACAAGTTCCCGAGGTTCAATTGATTGATGATGATGACGACGACGACGAACCCATCTTCGTTGGAGTGCTCTGTATGACGTAGCACTTAAAACAACACATTTCTTTATGTTTACGCTCCACATAGAAATAATTGTACAATTAAATGACATATGTCAACGTTTAGTTTATTCACCATCTGCCTATTGAAAATGTACTATTAAATATTAGTTCAGTATTGAAAATCTAATGATTTTGTTTGCTTTTTGTTGCACATAATCTTTGTTTTGAGTTTACTTGCATTTAAAGACAAGACAAGACAAGGCGTGTTATATGTACTTACAGCTAACAAGGATGGTAAGCCTAACCCTCCAGCACCTCCTCAGAGGAGCATTGCAGTGAAACAAGAAAAAAATCTCCTTGCTCCAAAGTCTGCCGTTGGTCCCCAGCCAGTAATGCTGCCGTTGAGTGTGACTGCAAAGGCAGTGAATACTGCAGCATCCAATCTGACAACAGGGACCCCACAGCCTGTTATTGTCAATAATCAGGTATGTTGGGTGATAAAATATATTTTGCAAATTATTTTCAATAGAAACGAACGACTGTTGAGTTACTTTTTGTCTTTTTTGGTCTATAGGGCTTTATTGTAACTTCCCCCCAATTAGCGAACAACAGTGAGTTTATTGCCTCTCTTGGGAGCCATTACCCTCCCGGGACTTCATTTACAATCGTACCAGGTAAATCTGAGTATGATATGAGGAGGAAACCTTTCTGCTGATTTTGTTCTTTGTTCTTTGTTGTCTGGTCATGCCAAGTATGTCTGAAGAGTTTGTGTCTTTTTAGCTGGTCAGCAGCATCTTTTTCAGCAGGTCACCTCAGCGGCAGTAATGCCTCGTGCCGTCCACAGGCCTCAGGTGCAGCAAATCAGCAACAATGTTGTGACGTTGTCCAACGTGCAGAGTCCTGCTGTGTACTCGGCGCAGTCTCACCTCAAGATTCACCTCAACCCCTCCATCCCACAATCTCTGTCCACTAACAACAACAACGGTAATTGTGTTTTCTAACATAATGTTTAATGTATAATCATTTTTACCGCATTGGCAGCAATAAAATGTTTTTTTCCATACAGACCAAAGCTCAGTGAAACGGGTGTTACTGCCACAGCAAATAGACAGCGCAACAAAAAGAGCCAAGATTGATCCGGGTGGGTTTTGTTACTGCAGTAATTTCAAAAGAAAAAATTCCTCTCCTTTTATGTTGATGTTGAATCAGTGCTGATGGTAAATGCTGTCAATTGCAGAAATAAATAATAATCATTCTACCCCTGTAATAGGGTGCATTACACAGCTAAATATCCAAAGTAGACTCACAAAATGTTAAAGAAGGAAATAATTCACCTAACCCGAAAAATAAAACCGCACACGTTCCTGCCGAACTAAGATGAGCTTTATTACCATGGTAACTCATCGTACAACCCAGTTTCTATCATTTAAACTTTGAAATGAAAATGTCCCTAAAACCGCCTGCAGGTTTCTATATCTCTTTCCCAGTTTGTCTTTGGTGTCCTTACGGTCGCCAACTCGACTATGGAGGAAAACATCCATGTATAGTAACACACACAGACAAATTCTTGTGTGTCGTTGTTGACAAATCCAACAAAACATTGCTTACAACAGAGAACAGCAAGAGAATTACAGTTTTACACACCATCCACCGAACTAGGAGAGTTAAAGAATGTTCCTTCTTGTTGATGCAGTTTTGTAGTCCATGCTTATTCAAGCACTTTCAATTCTGACCTAACGTTTTTTCTGTAGGGACGCAAAAAGTAACCGTTTCAGTGGAAAACGGGATCTTAAAGAAAAAGTGCCTTAAGTGTCAAGAAGAATTCCTCACACAAGAAGCCCTGAAATTCCACACGGTGGTGAGTATTGCGTCCTTGAGTGCAGATCGACATTAAAATGTGTTTAAGTATACACCAAAATAAGCTCTTACTGGGACACAGTCTGATCCCAAGGCAGATGAATATTGAAAAGTTTGTTAGATAATCAAATGTTTAGTTACATAATACTAGGATGCACTGATCTAACCTTTTCAGTTAAGATATAGATCCGTTCTTTTGCCAATTTGATACCAGTGTTTAATTAACAATGGAAATGACAATGATCTTTCTTTTTCTATCTAAATATATATACATTTGTAAAAACATTATTAAAGTATATAATGCATCTACTTTTTTAAATTTTATTGGATAAATTAGACAGATTTTCATTGATATATCTGATCCAGCTATTTAGGTTAATAATGCTCAATATACTATCTCAGCATCCTGATTATCAGAGCCATCAGATGTCTTTTTCCAGATTGCATATTTACTTACTTGTTTTGTTGGGTGTTATTGATAAACAATTATTTGATGATAAAACAGTCCAGCCATCAGTTCTTGGACTCTTGGCGTGTCCGTATCTTTGCCTTAACGAATCAGCTATCATCACAAAGTTTGCTTTTTCTTGTCGACAACATTTCTTTATTTCAGAGCTGCTGTGCAGTTGTGGAAAGTACAGCTCGATCATCCGTGAACACTGGCGCAAACAAGCGCATCATGCTGGTCTCAGAGTTCTACTACGGACGCTTTGAGGGAGATGGGAACAAAAACAACCTGCAAAAGCCCAACACCACCTTCAAGTGCCAGAGTTGTTTGAAGGTTCTCAAGAACAACATCAGGTATGATCATTGGGTTTCTTGCCCCCATCAATCCGTCTGGTTCCTTCTTGCTAAATATCTCATCAAGGGTGTGAATCGGCACTAAATAACAATAAAATATAAGTTTAGGTAGACTGTGTTTATTTCATTTAACTGCAGAGAGGTTTTATAATACTTCTGTATTAGAGTTACTTCTGCAAATTATGTAAAAATCAATCCGAGAATCATGGTTAATACAAAGCTTTGTTGAAGCTTAATGTTGAACTGCTGAACTACTGATGTGCGTCCGGTTTTAAACACAACGTTTAGAGGCAGTTGTTAAACAGTTGCTATGATGGTCTCAAAAAGCAAACTGGGACTCACTGGCTTGACAAAAAGCTATCTGCTCCATGCCAATTAAAAGTGTGGATATCTGCCCTGATCTTTACTGCAGTTTTCCTCTCATGATCACATCATCAGAGCATTTTCCCTCATGGGCCTAAAAAAAAAGAGAAATGGCACCGAAAGAACTGTTCCTTTGACTAAATAAGTTTGCTTTAGAGCAAACAGTTGCAAAAATAAAGCTTCTGTAAGCTGGTTTTAATGTGAAAAGACATTTGTACTCCAACCACACACTTTGTTAAGGTCATGCACATAAAAAATGTCTGTTAGGGGAGCTGAGGAAGCAGAATGTGTTTGCTGAAAAATGGGCCGTGCCTCGTCGGGGCAACGGTGGCAGGTAGCTGGCGAGGCGCTAGCTGCAGCCATGAAGCACTACATCATTAGGCAACGCAAAATATTGGTGTAATTGCTCATATTATAAGGGCCATTATGCATGCTTAGGAAGTGAGGTGCAAGGAAAAGACTTAATTTATCTTTAAAACCTTTGGGACCTCTGGGACCTCTACCACAGCCACTACACACGAGCCATGAGTTCTCTCATTTTCATCATTACCTGATCACATATACTGCATTATGCAGTGTGTCCAATGATGACATGTTAACAATCCCCCAAAAACAATGTGTGTGTCTGTGTGCGCGCACGTGCACGTCCACTCTCACGCAGGTTCATGAACCACATGAAGCACCACCTGGAGCTGGAAAAGCAAAACAGCGAGAGCTGGGAAAGCCACACAACTTGCCAGCATTGCTATCGACAGTACATGACTCCTTTCCAGCTGCAGTGCCACATCGAGAGCGCCCACAGCCCGATCGAATCCTCAAGTACGACATCACTGTCTCAATGGCTGAATCCGACAGTTAACGACAGTTTGCTCAAACACTGGGGCCTTTTGTGATTGTCCTTTTCATTCCCTTTTAAGCCAATTGCAAGATATGTGAGCTGGCATTTGAGTCCGAGCAGGTTCTCCTAGAACACATGAAGGACAACCACAAGCCCGGAGAGATGCCCTACGTCTGCCAGGTCCGTGCGTTTGTACTCCGCTGTGATTCAGTCTGATCTTTTCACTTGTATTGAAATTCTGTTTTACCGATTCCACAGGTCTGCAATTACAGATCCTCTTTCTTCTCAGAAGTGGAGACACATTTCCGAAGTGTCCATGACAACACAAAAGAGTTGCTTTGTCCCTTCTGTCTGAAAGTTCTTAGAAGTGGTCATATATACATGCAACACTACATGAAACATCAGGTACGATCATGCATTTCATTTGGTCTGCTGTAAAGCAGAGTGTCAGATTGAAATATTACAGATTTGCTGTCATGGACGACAACAATGTGTTTTACTGTGAATTTCTTACAACATGTAAAAAGTATTTCTGCACGAGTTTAAACTCTCTCTTAGTTTGTACTATTTGCTCCGACTCCCAGCGTTTGACTAATTTGGTTGTCTGTCTCACACCTTCCCGTAATACATAAAAGGCCGATGATTAAACCTGCCTTCACCTGCCTAAAGGAGAAATAATTATGGTAGAATTTGAACTAAATGAATTGAATTGCAAGTAGTTTCTCTCATACTCGTTATATTCTTTCAGTAAATCCAAGTGAAGCATCTTGGTAATTAGCTTTTAGACGCACCACTTATTCATCACGTTTTTTTCTTTTAGAAAAAAGGGATCCATCGCTGTGGAAAATGCAGACTGAATTTCCTCACCTACAAGGAAAGAGTGGAGCACAGGACTCACTACCATAAGACTTTTAGAAAACCTAAAGCACTGGATGGCCTTCCCCCGGGGACAAAGGTCTGACCCCATCGTAACAACATCAATACGAAATTCATTTTAGACCTTTCTTGACTATTCTCATATTGATGAATGAATTCAACGTCCTTGCGCTCTTTCAAGGTGACCATTCGAGCCTCACTCACAGCAAAGACTCCCGCATTGCAGACCTCCCCCGACCGATTTGGCATTATTGTCGGTACAGAAGCAGCGAGTTCCAATCAGCAAACCAAACCTACAGTCGGTGCGTCGAAGGCCAAAGCGAACATCTCCGCAGCAGGAAAAGCCAAAATGACTCCGAGCAAGAAGCAAACCGGCCGGACTACCAAACACAATCTGGCGCTCAAGAATGTCAGGTTGTCCACAAGCTTTTCACACAGCAGAAAGCGATGGCAAACAGAATTTCAAAAGCTGCTTAAGAAAAGAAAAGAGGGGGGGGGTGAAATCTCAGCTGCTTTTATGTTGAAAACTGCCCTTCTAAATCTCCAGCATGTCCACAGTCCCAGCAAACCAAACCTCTCCTTGGTATTTCTGACAGTCCGGGGGTAGATTAATGGATGTTATTAGAGGCTAGTAGTACAAAGTGGATGTTTGCATTTTTAATCCATTTTCCTGACAGTCCTCATTAGGCTCGCTAAAAATAACACACTGTAAAGCCGATAGTGGGATTTATTTATTCAACAAACAAATTAGTGTGATTTTTGGCTAATTGGCTGACTAATCAAAAAAATATACCCGCTTTAGTCCCATGATGCGGACTTTACAGCAGAAGCGACAAAAGATAAAGCAGTGGTGCAAGTGGTTCAAGAGATCAAATGAGTAGAATACAACAAGGAAGCTGCAGAGTTCTCACAGTTAACATAGTAATCGCTACAGTTCTGATCCTTTTTCTCTTTCAGCGTGTTAAAATCTGACTTAAAGAGGTACTTTAAATATCTTTGTTTTTGCAAATTTCAGAGTGGAAGGAGGATCGTACACGTGCGTCGAGTGCAACACACCAGTCAACGACTTCTTTTCTCATTTCCCAATGTTCTCAAATTGTGGTGCGTGCAAATATCGGACAAGTTGCAAAGTCTCCATTGGAAATCACATGATTAGGTCAGTAAAGAAATGATATTAGTTTAGGACCAGTGTATATTTGACAAATCTTGTGACAAATCTTTCTTTGTCCTTCGTTAGATTTCATAGTACAATAACCAAAAACAGATTCTTGAAAATGAATCATAAGAAAAATTCCTCTGCATTAAAGTAAGTACTCTTCATCAAGTCTGTTCTGCATTCAGTAGGAAATAAAGTGTTTTGGTTGCACACACTTATGGTTTCGCCCCCCCAGGTTCACCTTGGTCTGTCTGAACTGTGACCTGCTGGTGGACGGATCAGGCGGTGACCTGATGACCAAACATTTAACTGATCGACCAAATCACATATGCAAAGTCATTCAGGAGAAAGGTATGTTGTTTTTTTTCTTCCTGTACCACCTGACACAGCTCATTTTTAGTGTTACGCGTTTTTTGAAAAGGCTGTCTCTTGTGTTTAACCCAGCAGATATGAAAGCCAAAGATCGAGTGTGAGTAGAAACTGCTACCAACATTACATGTTACCCGACCGTCTTTAATCTATAAGCTATAAAAATGACATAACATTGTCGAAGAGCTACGGAGATTCCTTAAATTCCTGCTCTTTGTCGTTAGCCCGTTGGGAACCTTCTAAACTCCTTATCTAGGTAGGGAACTTTAAAATTGACAAACAGCCGTTAGTAAGAAGACTTTTGTTCAGAAACAGAGTCTCACGTTAGAGGTGACCAGCATTAGAGCGCCAACTGTTAGTTGATTCGTTGATGTATAATGTCAACGGACATTCAAGGTATAATTGCCAACTATTTTCATAATACATTTTTGGGTGAAACAAACACTTCATCCAAAAATGAACAAAGAGCCTTTTCTTGGTCGATAATACAAAAAAAAATCATTAACATTTTGATTCCTAAACATATTATACGTCTTTTGTTTCCCTGAAGTACCTGTGTGTTTGGTCAGGTAATTCTAAGCAGCATACTGCAAAAGGCGTTTAAATAAATCTACCGAATGCTTTTCAATGATTTCCTCTTACTTTTGTTCAGGCAACTCTTCCTGAGGCAACCTGCAAAAGTCTCGTACTTCTTGACGACGGCGCCTGTTCACAGACCGAAGGAAAAGAACTTTAAACAAGAGGAAGGCGTCTCAACTGGAAGCATTTTGGTCGACCAAGATGACCAACCGGAGGCACGGCAGATGTTGCCAGAAGCTGAACAGGACGGGAGCGCCACAGAAACGGCCGCCATCGAAGGCTCCTCTGAAAGCTGCTCCAAGCAGTCGTTGCTCGCCGCGGGATCGCCTTCCTGTACGTCAGCTTTAGGTGCCACTGACGGGTCGGTGGGTTTCGCTGGGAGCCTCAATGTCAGAGAGCAAGTGCCTCCGCACGAGACCGGGGAACAACAAACTAAGTCCAAATGAACCAGGAAACAAAGACCGCTTCATCATCGGTTCCGCAAAAAAAATCCAACGTGTTGTTTTGGCTCTTGTGTATTTATAACTAATCCCAGAGAGCATCACCTGTGTGTGGGAAGTGAAATGCAGCAACCGGGAGAACTGTATTTTATCAAATATATATTTTTTTCCCTCTTCTGGAAAACTTCCATTACCTAAATACGTGTTTTTGTATTTATGAATGACTAGAGTTTGTAGTCATACTTTAAACAAAATACATTTAAATTACTGTGGCCCATTAAGTAGTTCTTAATGCCTCGCTGAGAAAGATTAACACTTCATTGTTCCCATCTGGGATTTTATCATGCTCATTATCTTGAATTTTATTAAATGTTTTGTTTTTTAATTTTCCCTTTTGGGAAGTATTTTTATTTTTTATTTTCCCATAATTCGTGGTTGTTTCAAAAAGAACATGGAATGCCACTGAATAGTTTGGTATTGTTTACACAAAAGTATGTTTGGTACACTCTCAAAGTGTGTCCAAACTTTTGAGTAGTACTAAATCTCAACACACTCCCTTCTACTATTACAAACGATTTAGGATCTGTATACATCATGTAGGCATTGTATCCTCTCTGAAAAATCGTCAGATTTGGGAAACAGGTTATGTTAGGAAATATCAGCCGATATTTGTGGGGTGAGCAGAATATTATGTGTACCATTGTGTTCAATTAATGTTCTTTAACAGTGCAGAACGTGCAAACTTGTAAAATAAATGTAAACACGCGACATATGTGGGAGATACTCAGCGCCACAATTCAAATTGATAGCTATATTGCTTTGCCTGACTTAATCTCTCAATTCATTATTAATTCTATAGGTTCTTGATAAGGTTTTTCACTTGTGTAGTACCTATAGAGCAGGTCTGTAAAGGCATCAATGTGTATGTTGACACAGAAAATGTAACCTCTGTTTTGAATACATTCCTCTAAAGATATTGTGATATCCCTAGGACACACTTTCCTATCAATAAAGTACTGGGTTTGGGTCAGTGTTTTCTTGTATGTTGTGTAAATAAAGTTTTATTACAAGGTTAGAGTCTGCTGCTATTTTTCACAATGTCATTCTTGAAAGCAAGCAATTGATGTCAACCGTGGACTACAGAGAACTCGGACGTTTGGATGTTATGTGACGTCATTGTCAATGCTCTTTTTTCATTGGCTTAGCGCACTCGGTGTGGCGTTACCGGGACAACGAAACCCCGAACAACCGAGGAGAACCGGCGGAACTTCAGGTCAACAACTCGCCCGTGACGAGTAGAAACTAGCCTGAAGTGAATTCATCCAAAGTTGTTCGCACATTACAGCGTGGAGAGGAGTTCAGAAGAGGAGGCAGGACAATTTCGAATCGTCGAAAAGCACAACGGTCATGGTAAATCCTCGGTGGCAAACCGTTAGCCTCGGAGTTAACGTAGAGCTCGACTGCTACAAACCAAGCAGCTGAATCCCACACTGTTGACGCAGCGCTTGTGTGTTTGGCCAGATAACGCTGCTGCTCAGTCGTTGTTCTCTCACTCGTGTCTCATGGACAGAGTCGTCACTGGACGGGCCGCCAGCAGCAGCGCCTCGTGTCTCAGCGCGAGAACCAGGAGCAGCTCAGGCTGCAGGAGGTCAAGCGCGTGCACCGAGAGAGGCAGCTGAAGGACGGCGTGCGGGCCGAGGAGAGCTTCGAGAGGAGGAGATACCAGCGACAAATGCAGGAGGAGCTCCAGGAGAGTCAAGTGCAGAGCGCACTGCTGACGGTGGGTTGCGTTTCTGTTGGGCAGGTGTTACGGTTGAACAGGCCACCGTGTAAACCGGAGACTTTCCGCCCGTTGTTGCCGTAGTTACGACAGCAGAGGGTACCGGGAGGAGAAGACAGCCTGTCACTGTGAATGTCGCATTGTTCAAACTTTCGCCTTCTCATATATATATAGTTCTATATGGTAACATACCGGTTTGTATTAAAAAATGCTGTTTTTGTTTGTTGACATGTGTCACATAGAACTCAAAGCTGAAGCACTGTAAATGCACGTTTTAGGTTACATGAAGGAGATATGAGGGATGTGTCTGTATTTAGCAATTAATGTTTCATTTTTTCAACCTGTAAACTCCCAGGCGGAGGAGGAGAGAATAAACAGAGAAAAGCAGCTCGAGCAAGAGGAGAGACTGAACGAGCAGCTGGCCCGCATCAACTATGAGACACAGAGAGAGGAGAAAATGAGACAGATTGTTAAAATGAACAGGTGTGCACACCTACTTATATTCTGGGTTGATATACAAACGCAACACTTTACCGTCATTTTTCTATGCTGCCGTATCTTCATTACTTATCTAATTGTTTTAACTATTTCAACATCTTTCAGCATGGAGCTTCGAGAACTTGAGTCAAAGCTGAAATCGGCATATTTGAATAAGGAAAGGGCTGCACAAATAGCCGAGCAGGCAGTAATGAGATTGGCAACCATGGTGAGCACCATCCTTATTGATTAGAGTAATTTACCAAAAAGATTCTGAAATTCTAATAGTATATAAAATGGATTAAATAATCTAGGCCTTTTTCTTTGCATATAAGCCACTGGGCACGGGTCCAGCGTTATTAAAACTGTTACTATTTTTTGAAAACAGTTTGTTGAGCCGAATGCATCAAGGCTCATATATAAATGTACTCAGAATTATACTCATGTATAAAAACCAATCCTATCCCTTCTAATAAGAAATGATTTTACAAAATTCTAAATACACAACATCCAATACAGGCAAGATTCTGTGTATGTTCTTTTTCTGAAATTAGCGTGAGGAGGCAGACTTTGCCCGCAAGATGAAGAGCGAATATGAGCGAGCAGACGTTGAGAAGCAGAAAGTGGAACAGAGACGACTCGAGGAGCTGGTGAGGTGTCAGAGAGAGCTGGAGCAGCAGCTCGTGGAGCGGGAGCGCAAGAAACAAGAGGCATACGAGGAATTTCTCAAAGAGAAGGTCATGATTGATGAGATTGTCAGGAAGATTTACGAAGAAGATCAGACGTGAGTCCTTCATTACTAATTCTTACCGTTCCTGAAATGTATTTACTAACACTTTTAACCTAAAGATTTTGTGGTGGATGGATGGATGTATTCAGAAATAATGCTGTTTTCTTAAGGGAGAGACAGCTGAAATTGGAGAAGGTCAAAGCCACTCAGCAACACATTGAAGAGTTCATGAAACAGCAGGCCGAGTGGAGGCGCATGGAGCAAGAGAAGGCCGAGGCCGAGAACCAACGCATCAGGGAGTTTCTGAACCACCGGGAGAATGTGGAGGAGAGCAGGATGGCTAAGATCAAAGAGAGAGAACGGGGAAAGGAGCATCTTCATAAAATAGTTAAGACACCTTATTTTATTGATAATTCCAATACTTTTATCTACCTTTTATATAAATTAACACAAAACAATATTTGTCACTAAAAAAAATCTCTAGCTGTCTGAGAAGATTGAAAAGGAGAGGCAGCAGCGGGAAGAGATGGAGCGAGTCCGTGAGGAACTTTATTTAGAAGAACAGGAAGAGGCGAACAGGCAGAGAGACATTGTAAGTACTACCAGTATTAGATTTACTCTTCCACTATTTTAACAATCCACAATAAGTCATTCTGACTATACTTTTACAACGGAGACAAAGCTAGTCACTATTGTATTTTTAATTAATAATTGTTTCTATGAAATACAGTCATGTGTGCCCTAGAGCTTGAATATATAGGTGCATCCAAATTATTTAAAATATTCATCAAACAGGAAGAGATGGAGAAGAAAATCCGGCAGAGGTTGACAATCCAGCAGACCTGTCAGCAGCAGATGGCTTTCAAAGAAATGCGAAGGCGGACCGAAAAAGAGGAAGAGGAGGCCTTCCGCAAAATAATGATGGCCAAGTTCTCAGAAGACGATCGCTTGGAGCAGATGAACGCCCAGAAACGACGCATGAAGCAACTTGAGCACAAACGTGAGGTGGAGAAACTGATAGAGGACAGAAGACGGCAGCATGAGGCCGACATGGTAAGAACCACTCAAGGACAGGGTCTACGTTTACTGTCAGAGGTCATGCTGCTGGTATTCTATGATGAAGGCCACTGGTAGCAGCAACCAAGTTTAATCATGAAGATTTTTTGTTCATAAGTTGGTCTTAAGGTGTATTAATGATAGTAGCCCAACATTATACGCATCCCAACCAGTAGCATTGCTGAATACCATAGAGTGAACTCCTGTGTGTCGGTTGATTAGATTTAATGACCTGCTTGGATAACCACATTGATCTCTCACTTCAAGGAACTGGAGGCTAAAGAAAGAGCAATCGAGCAGGAGAGGGAGGCGCTGCGTCGGCAGATAATTGAAGAGGAGAGGCTGCGACTTCTTAAGCGCCATGCTACAAATCTCCTTGGATACCTACCAAAGGTATATGTGTGGATCATAAATAATGTTACACAAGTGCACATCTCCTTTAGGTCCAACAAGCGCATGACCATGAGTGTATCTATTTTCAGGGCTTGCTCCGTGAAGATGACCTGGAGCACTTTGATGAAGACTTTAGAAAAAACTTTACGACACGTCAGGCAGATATTCTCTCTGAGGACGGCTGGGATGGCGATGGCTGGGATGGCGATAAGTAAATTCCTCTCTATGCCACCAGGTGTCAGTTTACGACAAGGGTAAACTGTAATGCAATTTGTAGTGACCAGAAAGTTCTTTCATTTTCCAGCATTCATGATAAAACTTGTGAAGCAGTCAGGAACAACAAAATTATTAATTTACATGTTTTTATGTAGACTGGAGTGACAGGATCTTAGTCAAAATCATTTCAGAAAAGATCTGAGGCTGTCTGGTGACTAAGTGTGACAACAATTTAGAGAAAAATTCAATTGGAGCCCAAAGTCTTCCCCCAGTCTAGAGCTTTCAGGAACTCGTCCTCTGTGAACGACAGCAGCTTGGCAGCTTCAAAATGCATCTGCAAAAAAAAAAGCAGTTGGTTATTGATTAAACTGTGTATCCACAGGGTGTATGAAAGAGAGCGAGTGACACAAACCTTTTGTCTTTTGAGAATGTCAATCAGCTTCTGCTGTTTCTTGAAACCCACAACAAGTTCTGCTTTCTGTTTTTTTAGCATTTTGTTTTCAGCAAGTAGATTTTCTTTACTGTGATGGTCTTCGCTTAGCTTGTCCTTTATTCAAAATGATTTTAAAAGAATGCAATTAGTGGAAGAAAAGCAGATCCTCATTTGTGTGTAACCTGATGAATCATTTGCAAGCAATAAAGAATATATAAATATATCAAAATTCAGTTGAAGCGGGTAATTTGTGTGAATCCATAAGGCTAAATGACCTTCCCTTTTTCCCTCCTCAACTATCATATTCCATGTTTTCCTGTGATATCTAAGAGTCCACAGCGTAACATTATGCAGCCATACATGAAAGCCTCCTGATGTCTCTGCATGACGAAGGTCTATTATATAGATCTGTGGTCCCTGTTTCAATATCTCCTTAATGTGGAGCTTGTATCTGCTAAAAGCAATTATTCAACCATAAAAATCTTACTTCAGTCATACTCTGATTACAGACTACGATACTATGACATCATGATAACATGGCATTAGATTTATATTTACTGACCCCTGTCACACAACACATTGCTACTATAGCCTGTGCAATTGGAATATATTTGTTATATTCAAATAAAGAAGTGATTGCTATTAATATGTTTTTTTAATAATGATATGTTTGATTTATGTTATTGTGTATTATAAGATCATTTTAAACGCACACTGGACTTTAAAATGTTTAGAAATAAGGTTAGTTTAGAAAGAATACTGTTGTTAGCTCACAAGTCAGTAACCATTTAATAGTACAAAGCATGACACTAGTAATTAGTTTGTTTGTCAGCACTCATTTCCAAACCTTGCTCATCTGTTTCATCTTGTTGAGCTGAGTCTTCAACCTCTCCACCTCCTCCAAAGCTCGGTTCAGACGAACCTCCACAGTGCCGTGGACAGACGCGGCTTGTTTGTGGGATCTATGCAGATTTTCTATTTCCTGCACAGAGCAAAGCCATGAAATGGTCCTCAATGAGCAGCGAGCACATGAGCAATGGAAGGTGGTGTAACATTGTCAGCATTGATATTGTACAGACCTTATCTAATGCAGACACTTGCAGTTGCAGGCCGTCACATTTTTTGTCGGACTCCTCTGCTAAAGCTCGGTGCTTTTCAATCTGCGTCTGCTGGATGTTTGTAGTTTTCTGCAGTCTGGCACGTTCGTCCTCAAGTTCTTTCAGTTTTGCACTAAGTTTAGCATTTTCATCATCCTGGAAGAACAGTCACATGTTCCTGATCAACAATGTCTAGAAGGCTGGTGGCTGTTCCACTGAAGATCTGTCCCCCTCTGCTGACAGGCGGGCAACCGCGTTCGCTCAATCTTTGTCTATCAACAAATTACCTTCTTGTAAAATTCACATGAGAGTTGATCCAGTTCTTCTTGCATTATCCGGAGTTTTGCTTTCAGAACTCGTATTTGAGCATCTGAAACGCCTTAAAAAAACAGACAGTTAGACTTATGTACCCAAAGAAATATTAAATTAAAGGAGTATCAGTGACAAACTGTGTCATTTAATGTTAGATAGTTAACAAAATATAAACAAGATAAAAAAGATAAATAACAAAACTTGGGTTCACTTTTTACAATGTGACACAAACATTACCAGATGCAACATCATCTCCAGCATTAGTCTCACAGTCCACAACATCTTCATGAACCACCACGCTATCGATCATCTTCTCCTCCATGCTCCGTATTGTGTTTGCCAGGAAACCGTCATCTGCGTCTTCCACAGCTGTTAAATCCGCCACATGAGATTTCTGTGGGGTTCTGAAATGCAGCAAACTATGTTTATCAGCCTCATGAGGAACGTCAAAGCAGAATTTCTTTTAACAGAATGCATGAAATGCCGTGTTATTTTCTCACAAATTGAACTGGTTGTAAACGAGTCTAGATCATTTACATTCAAACTCACGCTGTTTTGCATTGAGGCACTTTTCTTGGTTTTCCTGAACACGTGTTGTGGGGTGTTGATGTAACTCTTTTTCTGGCCACAACCTAAGTGGAGGGACGGCAATTAGAATCAGCAGAATGACACGTAGGCTTGACGCATAAAGAAACACTAAAATAATCTGTTGAGCAAAGTATTTCTAGCTTTGAGAACTACAAACATAATAATCTCAAGTGATACCTTATCACCAGACTCCAGCGTAGAGCTCTGATCTGGCTTTATTTTCCTGTATGTGAACAGACAGAGAGATATGTTGGAAGTATATTCAGAAAATGGATATACAGGATAAACACACATTAAGACATAATAAAAATGTGTTAATTAAGTTCTCTCCTTCTCAACAATGAATATTTATATAATCTACATAGAGGCAGTAATCAACGTCTGTTTTGAACCACTAAAAAGTGAATAGCCATTCTTGTGGCTCTTCCAAAGATCTGATCCTCAGGTATTTATTACCTTAACTCGCCTTCATCCTCAATGTTTGTTGGAAGGAGGTTGGACAAGGGTTTAGACAGAACTTCACTCTGTTCTCTCTGAAATCAGATTAACAGCAAGTGCTAGATTCACTTCATAAAGCAAGTCTTCACTCATCCAAATGTCATTAGATGGATAATATCTTACCATAAGTTGTTCTGCCTGTCTTACTAGATCTGCTGTTTTGGCTTCCAGCTCTGCATTTAAGAGTCTGAAATAAACAGGGAATATTAATATCAACAGGTAGATTTTAACATGTACAAAGATTTCCGAGGCTACAGGACTAGAAATACAAAACATCTTTGTAATAAACGTCTTATCAAGAATTAGTGCCGTATGGCATATTTAATAGGTAGAAAATCTAGTTCAGACTTTAGACAAGTTAACTCTTACTTTTACGTTTAAACGTTTAGACTTGATGAATTTCCCTCTCGGACGGTTTGTTGACTGAATCAAGTGGTGCCGATTGATTCAAGTACAGTTTTAACAGTGTATAAGAAGAATGTGCCTGAATGACCTCGTTCATTTATTTTCTGAATGTGCGGATCTCCACTTCGAACGGGTGCTCTTACTTGTATTGTTGTTCCTTAGCAAAAAAGTCATCTGAGGGCTTCTTTGTGGGAGCGGAGGCAGATTTCGCCTGCGGTCTGACCTCAACCATCTTGAATCTCACAGCCTTGTTGCTGGAGGACGGACGTTTCTTTGGATAAACAACACAGACTTCGTAACATCAATATATTTGCAATATTGGAAATTGTAACATCAAATATTGCAAATAATACATAATATATGCAAATATATACATTTCACGCTTTATGAGATTGGATTATAATTTTAAAGAATTTGCTTTCACTTTCTTTATTTAAATCTCTGCGTTACTCATGAATTAGCAGCTGTACAGAAATGGCCCTTATTAATGAATCCGCTCAGTACAACTACTGGTTGCAATTCTTTAAAAACAAGTTAAAGGATGTTTGTTTTTGCTGTGTATTTATGTTAACAGTACATCCGATTTTTAAAAAGACTGTGTTCAAAAGTATATCTCTTACCCCTGAACTCACGCTTTTCTTCCTGATTAACTGAATGGAATATGAAGGCTCTACAAACTTCAATCGAAGGTTGCACCATAGTGGGATATGTTTGTACAACCGGGTTGGGGGGAGGTGGGTGATGGTGTTTATACTTTATACGCATATCGGCACAGCAATTCCAATTCAAAGGTAAAATAAGCCTAACAGTTTGGCTCCTTGCATTAAATGTTAATAATTAATAAATTAAAGTAAATTGTGACGATGCTGGGAAAAACAACAACAGCATGGTCACTGCGGCAACACACGAGAGCATTCTTTTAACTTGTGATGTTAATATTCATAACACAACTCTTTTATTTCCCTCTACCTCAACGTTGATTTGTAAAGTATTTAGGAAGAGATCAAACTGATAAGAGGTTAATTAAACATCGCCAGGCCTCGTATTAGCGCAGGTAGCGTGACGAGCTATCTGACGTTAGCTCGGATAACTGTTGACAAAAGTCCGGAAACAAATATTTCATGTTACGTTTAAACTTTTGCTTTTGCTCTAAAAAGAGTTTTGTTTGAAACAATCTACAAACCTGCGAGACGGCGGAATGAGACGGTCGGTTTCTTTTATCTACACTTCTTTCAGCCATTGTGAAATTAGGAAAAGACGCCGCTCAGGTCGCATAGCAACCAACGTTTTTAGGTGTTTGGTTCGTGCACAGTACGGTAGCCTCGTGGGGGCATTTAAGGGCGATTTTAAACAAATGTACTGGGCTTGAAAAGGGAGCAAGAAAGTGCCTGAAGATTAATTTTCTTTTCCAAATATATATATTTAAATAATTTGACCTCCACATGAATTGGCATCACTCAGTTATGAATAGTGTTTGAACTAATTGAAGAGATATCTTCCCAAACCAGACTACCTAAAGTAGCAATCCAGGTATTCAGCAAATGTGTCACATGACTCACACATGAAGTATGTGTGTCATAAGGCTCATCGAATAAAAACGGTTGGTGTTTGCTTTTGACTGTAGACACAGATGTGACTGATCAGGCATCTTACGTGTCACTTTGTATCCTGCACTATGGCTCTAGGGAAAGTTTAAATGGTCCGAGGTAACCTGGGGAGTGAAGTGCCATTTTAAAACACACACAAATGCCAGAACATGCACTATGTTTAAAAAAAAACATCAGAAGTACAATAACTGTATAACAATATTACCTGTCCAGCCTCTGACTTTTTTTTCTTGTCCAGTGGATGGAAGTGGTCGTCACCAGCATCTCACTTCCCCATCCGTCCAGTCCCAGTCACCTGATCTGTCTCTACTTCCCCTAGTCAGGCCTGCAGTATTTAAACAGACATGTCCACTCACACCCTTCCAGGTTGACATCACCACTTTGCAGCTTCTTGTGTCTGAAGATCCTATATTCTATAGTTTGCCTGAAATCAGCTCCCAGCCCTTCCGCCCATCTGCAACCACCCTTCCCTATTCAAGTCTTGCCATGCTCTCGATTCTATCTGTGATTGGACCTGCTAATGTGTCTGTATATGTTCACCTTTTGCAATAAGTCCATAAACTGTTCCTGTCCGTCTGGTAGTCTGCATTTGCATCTTCTTCCTTGTTGTCTTCCTCACCCTTTTGTCAAAAAGGTCACAAGCTTAAATGTTTGGAACAACTGGTATAATATTGGATAATGCATGGTATTCTGTAAACTTGCATTGTGTTCTTATGTCAAAAAGTTAATCTTAAAAGTACCTGGTATTTGCACCATACAGAAGGTGGACTAGAAATATGAGGTAGCATGGAAACAGTGCAAACTACTTAGTAGTTAGTTCCAACCACTGGTAGTTCTCAGATAACAATGCCTGCATTAAATCAGTGGATATTGTGCAATGGTACAAATTCTCAAATGAAGGTATAGTTTAGCAAATGACCACAAAGCATCCTCAAACTGTCAACATGGAGCCGTTTGCGCCCCCTACAGTTGCTTGTGTCGCTACGTTGGTAATCCATACAAAAATTCATATAATAGCAACTATTATTATTTTCTATTACAACACACATTATTACGATAACATTAATCATTGATCAACAATATTTTCATAATATTTCTGTTTATTCTTTACTATTATACAAAATAATAGCGTCCATATTTATCAACTGACATCCATAGCAACGTGCTCTGTAACGTCTCCTCTCATGTTGTTTGTTAACGCTGTGGGTCCCAGTGCGCCTGCGCATGTCGAACAGCTCACTCTCCGTGCACACAGCGATCCCACAACGCGAGGAGCGCTGCAGGGAAGAGCCAGGTGCCTCGCAGCTCTCCGTTCACTATTTACACCCCGTGCACCGCGTCGCGTTTGACAGCAACACGTCGCTTTAGTTGATACACGTCTTTAATTCCCCACGTGTTGGATACTCGCGATGCCGGAGACGGACTGGATAGCAACAACAACAACAACAACAACAAGGCGCGCTGCTGTCCCATTAGCATCGCGATGCCCCCCGGTCCATGCTGTCTGACCCGAGTTCACACCGTCCGCGCCTTTCCGCCCCCCCGTCCAGTGCACGCTCGTACGGTGGCCCAGCGCGATGGCCGAGGAGGACCTCCAGCAGCACGCGGACCGCGGGGCGAGGAGTCAGCCCGGCCTGCTCACCGGGCTGCAGGGCGCCGAGGCCAGTGCTCTGCAGCTGAGGATCAACAACTCCATCTGGTGAGGACGTGTGCACTCACTACCGCTGTGCACGCGGGGATGTTTTCAGGGGGGGGCACATTTTATTTTATTGTTCTCAGCACCCAGAGGTCAAAGTATTAAGTGAGAGAAGTAGTACCACAATGTAATAATGCTTAATGCAGGTATTCCTGCGTGGAATATCTTGCTGCTATGTGAAATTACATTAAGTAGTGTCTGCAAAATATACAAGCATGAGGTGTAAACAGCACTTGTTGAGCAGAAATGTTATTTTGTTCCATTTCATTCTTGCATCGCACCAATCACCAAGATGTACATACAGAGTGATTTCATAATCAATGTACAAGGTATTAAACTGTAAAATATACCTGTCAGATACATTTTATTAAATAAGAAATGCAAACAGCTGAAATGCATTGAGGTAAAAGCAGTATTGGATAGAAGTACTCATGTAAAGAGCAAGTGTTACATACCTAAGCATATCACAATACTAGAAGAAATGTACCCATTGTTTGGAGTGGTTGTAAGCTGGCATACCTTATAAAGCTCAGCTTTACGGTGACGTAGACAGTGTTGCAATGTAATAAAATACATTTACTTAGGAAGAATTATGTAGTTACATGTCTTGTTACATAACTCCCCTATTCGCAGCTCCAGCTCAGTCAAAGCAACTTCAAACAACTCAAAAGATGCCTCAAGTTTTTGACCCCGCCGCCATATTTCAATTATTTGATGCCAAAATCAAGCGCCGCCCACTTAACATAGCAGTCCTTCTAATGTTACAGCAGAAGAGTACTCTAAAATATGTAAGCAGGCCATAACGTAACAGAATCTTAACTCCTATTTGATCGACATGGGCTATTTTGACAGTTTGATCAGTTCGCGAGCAGTGATTGACGGCCGCGTCAGAGACTCCTCGGCTCTGATTGGTTGATTTAGTCTTTCAAATGCCATTGTTAGCACTAAAAGGAAGCAGGCGTACCAGAATCCTTTCACAAATCTGTCTTGTGTACTTTCAGGATGTAGCGACAGTTTGAGCGTGTATGACTAAAATACATTTTCATAAATTACCAACTGCCTTAATGCGCCTGTAATCAAAATCTGATATTGTAATACATGATCATATAAATCCGGAGTAATTCTGCTCCTATAGTTCTGTGTACTTTTTCTTTTACATTAGTAAAGACAACATTGCACTAGTTCACCCCATCTTTCACCTCACACCTTTGTTTTCTTTTGCTAGATTCTTTATTTGTTGAAGTCAGTGTCACCGTAATGGTCATACATTCACGGGTCCTGTATTTGCGTCATCAAAAGACCACCGACATGCTGAAACCAACAGCTCCGGCGTGTAGCTCATGTAACCCTTGAAATAAAAATATAATGACATCTTTATTGCCAAGATCTGTTTTTGAAAACCACTCTCATCTCCCAGACTTAGCCATGATATTATTCAAATCATTCTCAAAAGAGTTTATTTAAAAGAGCTCCCTCAGCTCACATGTCTTTCCCTGGTTTTAGGCTACAAATAACTATTTCGAAAAAAAATACAAGACAGAAGCACATGATTACAAATGACCTAAGAGTATGAAATTACCAGTTTTAAATAACCGGGAATATTCAAAAAATAGAAAGAACACTGAATCACTGCTAGATTGAAAAGGAAAATGTATTAAATCAAAATTAATGCAAAAATGTTATAAAGACGGCAGTCAGTTTAACTATTTTTTTATAATAGCAATAATATAGCAGTTGTTTGTATTCTAATCTGTCAGATATCTACATCTGTCAGATATAATGTTGTATTCATTAATTGAATGATGTTTGGGTTAAGATATGTCACATTTGAAAAAGTACTTCTGTTCACCAGTAGCACTTATTGTCCAATGTTGTTGATATTTAAGGCTGTGTCCTGACTGAGAGTAGCCTTTTATTTCTGAATGTGAATGAACTCAAGTATCATTTAAATGTCAAACTACTAGAAAGCACAACAGTTCAGAGGTGAAACGTCTGCAGGAAAACCGCAGCTGAAACACGCCACCATTAACATAAGGGGATATCGGAAATTTGTCCTGCTCCCTAAATCTTTAACCTTTAAGAGGATTAGACCATAAATATTGATGTTGACTTGAGCGGCTGAGTGGTTCATGGTCGAGTGACCGTCTTAGTCGGGGTTAGCAGGTTCGTTTGCAGCTATATTTTAATCCCCAATGACAAACTATAGTCAATTGCTACTTTTCCTGCTGCTTTTCGGTTAAGCCACCAAATCAGAGACTGAATTACACCTTAAAATGATACATAGTTTAAGTCTGATTTAAAGTTAGCATTTATTTTTTCGATTCAATGCCTCAGGTGTCAGTTGGCATCTCTGCCAAATCGGCCTAACAAACAGCTCAATGTCGGCCTTTCAGCACTGAGAGGTCCGTAGCTCCTTAGTAACAGTGCATTAAAGTGAACTGTTGTTGTCGTGGCCTATAACAAATCTCCAGGCTCCGACCTGCCCGGTGGGGCCAGGTGACAGTTGACAACAACCTGTGTGTGCGTGTCTTATACGTATAATAGATTTACTCAGTGATTTAACGTGTGAGACCACGTTGCCATAGCGGCCGCCTCTCTACCTCTTTTTACATGTGACAACATGTGTTCCTGGTCCTGGGATACATGATCTGAGAGATGCTGGAGGGAGGGTTGTCTCATGCCAAACATTCCTCCGCTTTATAAATAAATACACTTTAGACACAAGCGTTCATGTTACATAGGCTTGATACTTATTTATGCTTTGTCTCTGTTTTGCAGTAAATCGGTTCAATCGAAAGTGGAAAACATTCTGGTAAGTTTCATTGACTTGTTTTAACTCACAAAATTTGTTTCTTCATTAATAGTTAAATCATCACGAAAAGTAATAAAAAACAAGAACCATAAGTCCCAAAGAGGCAAAGTGATGTTCTTTTAAATGCTTGTTTTTATTCAGTCAACATTTCAAAACAAACATATGTTTATGAAACAGACAGCATAAATCCTCACATTTACAGAGATTTTAGTTATTAGATCAATGTTTCAATGTCTACTACTTGTTGTAATTGTAGTGGTTTTGTGTGAGTCAATTTCCTAACCTGTTAAAAAGAGAGGAAGTCGAGTACAAATGAAAGATGTGGCATAAAGTGGTATCCAGTGTTGCACATGCCAGCACAGTTGCTATTTTGACAATAATAGTACATAATACACATTTTGATAATGTCCAGCTCCCTGAAGAGTGTGACGTAAACATTAAACCTCATGGGAGCTGAAACCTACATGTTGAACACATGTAGTTGTAAATGTAATTCATGTTATAATGAGCCAAAATACCAATTAAATTAGCTAAATATCCAAGGATTATGTTTCAGCTTTTAATAAAAGAAACCCATAAAGCAAAAAATAATAAAGGTTAGTACAAGTTGGCCAGGACTTTGGGAGCCCTTATGTAATACTTTATATATAATGTGTGATGTCATGTAGTTGTTAATACAGACTGATTCATCTACCCTCATCCTCCTCATGCCTTTCAAAAAAAGAAAGTCCAAAATGTATTTTGACCTTGTGTAACCTTGTGTCGTCATCCTCCACTCTCCCTCCTCATCTCTCCTTGCGCTCACTCTGGATGAGAAACACTGCATGGCGTGTCAGAAATGGGGTGCAAAAGCTGTACAAAACACGCCTAAATGAATCAGATATCCACTCCTAAAATGTACACCATTCTTGTGTTTACATGCTGATAACAACTTTGTTTTAAGAGGTAATATAATGCAGTCATTCAAGCTGCTCGTATGCAGCATATTAATAATGTCTCATATCTCCAACCTGCTGGGTTTAAAGTCATAAACAATTTAATTAATGCGCCTCACTCCTTCCCCCCCCCCGCAGTGGGGATACTATGTTAAAAATATGCAGGTTTAAGTGTTTCATAGAAAAAGCCGCCCGTCAACAGTAATCTTCCTGTCAAAACGTGCATTACTCACAACCTGTCTTTAACGCCAGTAGTTGCTTATGTAGCCCCATGCAGAGATGAGGGGAGTCCTACAAATATGTTAAGCTCACATCTTTCTAGCTTCACACCTCCAGATCTTTTTAATTTTTCCCAGCACCAGTAGATTGAGTCACCTCAACTGGTTTTGCGCAGCTCTACATCCAGATCCAGTATGGCTCATAATGCTATTGTTATTATACGTGGGTGTGTGTATTGTTTGTGTTACTGCTGTTACATTTGAATGAGGACAGGACAGACTATTGGCCTTGTTACTTTTTGCTTTTTGTCAACACCGTGGTCTGCCAACACCGCCTAATGTCACAGCGTCAAATTAAACGTCATAATCTTTGAGCCACTCACAAACAGGTAGCTCGAGAGCTACTTGCTGTCCACAGCCTGGGAGCTAAATTCGTCACAACGATAAGGTTAACAGGTGTAATGTTTACCATGGTCACCTTCTTACCGTTGGGCGTGTTGGCGTGCCCATGTTTGCTTACTAGCACTTAACACAAAGTACAGCTGGGAAAAAGTTGCAGGCGTGTCACAGTTATTGTCCTTTGTGTTGAGTGTTTGATTAATGTCCCAGAATTCATTCTAATGCATCTGATAGTTGTTGATGAAACATTCTGACTCAAAACCACAAATGTGAACCTGCTGGTGGAAAAGTCCTTCCTCCTCTGGGGATCATGGATGTCTAGACAACATTTCTTGGCAGCCCATCAACTAAAGGTTCACAATGGGGACGGACCGACAATCTGCTCCGCAGGTGCAGCGGCTCAACCTCTCCTTCTAAATCCAGGGCAGGAAAGCTCTTGACACTGATGAATAGAAAGGCCATATAAAGGCTATATTCTTTTTTCCTTTTATTTCTACAGCTAGATGTGGAGAAGTTCTCAGACATTGAAAAACTATACCTCTACCTAAAGTTGCCTTGTGGTCCAAGCAGTTGCATTGATAAAAGGTAAGAATACACCTGCTTTCTCACAGTAGGTATATAGAAATGTACAGTTGATGAAGTGCAAAACAGCGTTTTGTCTTTAAAAGGTTTAGTGTGTGAATGATATAGAATGGTAAAATGTCCATGACACACACATGCTTCGTCATTTGTCAATCAATCAATGGTCGCCTTCTTCCCTCAGTGACCAGAGTGCCCTCTCATCAAGCCGAACACAGCAGATGCACGCGATCAACTGGATCCGCCATCATTTAGAGGAATACCCAGAGACGTCTCTTCCCAAGCAGGAGGTCTATGATGAATACAAGTACGTGACAACAGGGTTTTTATCCTCACACTATTTCTTATAAAACAAATAAAGTGTATAGCTCACAGAGACTAAATCAGATTATATTCTTATCTATAGACTCCAATATGTATTTGAATCTGTGTCCACTGGTGGAGATTCTTTCTCTTCTAAATTACTGGCGGCTGAAGCGACAGTATAAATAGACGCGGCAGGCATGGGAATCACAGAGAGCACCATGTGTTGGTAATATTAGAATGGAAAGTCTGAGAGCCATTGAAATGCTCTGACAGTGTTGTGTAACTATCTTTTTAACTCTACTTAGATCAGAAATACAGTGCCCTCCAGAAGTATTGGCGCCTTTAGGCCCGACAGATAAAAATGGGTTTAAAGAGGCGTTATGTGCTTGACTTCTAAGCAAAAAAACATTTTGTTTTCTACAATCACATTTGACGCCAACTTTTTCAAATGGAACGGAAAATACTGAAATTAAAGAAATTAAAAAAATTTGAAGATGACCTCGCTTTATGTTAACAACCATAACACAGAAATGTAGATATAGATGTATTTTAACCATTTTTTACTTCCTCAAACCGATTCCAATACCTGAACTTTCTAACACTGAGTACCCTTCTTAAACAGTGCGCAAAATAATGTTTTACCGCTTGACTGGTGGAAAATCACCAAATTGCTGTGATTTTGCTCGCTCTGCCTCTCTTTACACTCTCACCACAGTCGACCTATTTGGTACTTTCAATCACTCACCACCATGAGAAAGAAACAAAATGGCTCATTTGTTCAGAAGACTGAACGATTCCTCGAGTTGATGATGGAACAAATGAGCCATGGTGCAAATCTGTTCCTGCGTCCAGCGACAGTGTCATTTGGCGTGAACGGATGTACGGATGAACTGCAGGCTGCTATGTCAGCTTGGACCTCAGAGTTAGGGACAAGGATACATTTTAAAGGTATTTTGTCTTTCTCGGATATTGTTATTAATTTCAGCCAGGCTATATACCAAATGAAAATGCAGCGAAGAGAGACTGATCCTACATTAACATTAAGTTATGGCTGGTACTCAAATGATGTTGATGGAAATTTCCTGGTGATTTCATTTATTCTGTCTGTTGTGTCTTTTAGGAGCTTCTGTGACAATCTCAACTACCACCCACTGAGTGCTGCCGATTTTGGAAAAATTATGAAAAATGTCTTCCCGAACATGAAGGCGCGTCGACTCGGCATGAGGGGAAAATCAAAATATCCTTCAGTGGAATGGATTGTAAAGGTCCGGGTCTGTCTATGGTCAGAGACCATCTGCTGCTGCAGTTCATAAGCTCTCTAAATATAGATGAGAAATGAAATAAACTCCTCTGCCTCGGAAGCGGGAGCATAATACAGAGGCCAACGGGGGAGAGACCTTGATCTTAACCTTGACACAATGACAATTGTGATTTCTTTTTATTTGCCGTTTGAAAATATGCACTAGTTGAAATAACCTGTAATAAAATGGGTTTAATATTAACATATTAAATATATATTAAATTAAAGTAGCTTTACTGCAGTATAGGAAACTCTTTTCGTATTTTTAGATTTCCTTTTTTATATCCAACAGGCCTTGAATATACAAAGAATCTTAATTTTTCATTGAACTGAAAATTGGGAAAATGAATTGTCCAATAATCTTCTTTTTTTAAATCCAAACTTAAAACCCTAACTGATAAAAATGGCATGAACCGTGCACAGGGCAGATGTTGGAATCACATGTTTTCGATCTTAACACCAGCTTACATATTGCTACAGTGGACTGAGGAAGAGGCCCTTTGTTCAAATGCCATCTTTACCCTCTCTGGACCTCCATAAAACAGGGGACGGGGTAAGCACATCGAGATCTCCCTAAATCCTGTCATGCAATGTATCATGTATAAATGTAACGACACAAATCTTTTGTGTGCACCTCCAGTGTGACGTCTTAGAGTCCCCGAGCCAGCTGAGTAACATAAAGGAAGATGTGCGCTTTGCAGCCTGTGATCTGGTGTGTGAGTGGGCCCAAAAGGTGCTGAAACGCCAGTTTGATGCTGTGGAAGACTTGGCTCGCTTCCTGATCGACAGCCATTACATCAGCAATAAGTCCCTGGCTGCTCTCACCATCGCCAGCGGCACTTCAACAGGTCAGACACTCTCTGAGTCGGCCTTCTGCCACCTGTGTAAAAACACAGTGGCATCTTGAGGCGGCTTCCTGCTAGTGCTCGTTTATGTCAGTTAAAGCTTCTTTTTTTTCATGAGGACAGCTGTATTTTTAAAGTACCTCACACTTTTTCATCTTTACGGATCAAACATTTGCATATTATGCATTCGATATGTAAATAAACAAATCTTTCAGTCAATCCTCAGAGGGTCGCGGGGGGGCCGGACTCAATCCAAGCCTCCGGCGAGAGACGGGGGACCAAAACAGTATTATGATATCAACAATTGCTGACCTTTTAGAGCCAAATGCATTTGCACTTAAATCAGACTAGATAACGTAATATATATACATGAATGTTTCTTTCTGATGTTGAGGCTGGTTGTATTAAGTGTATTAAGTAATAGTAATTATTGCAATTTGTCGGTGCTTGTTTGGCCCACTTTTTGCTTGCATTTTGTTTATCTTATATCTTTATAGTTTGAGCCAGTTATTGTCATTATTAACAAATACAAATGTATATTGGGGTTTTGTTTTTGTTTTGTGTGTCTTTTGGTGGGTTTTAAACCTAAAAAACCTGAAACTTATATGTGTTAATAATTTATAAATGCATTTATTGCATGGAGTCTTTATTAACTGCATGGACGTTTAGTATTATTATATTGAAAGCATATTGTCTTTACATATAATGATGATGAGGCTATATACATTTTACTATTGATAACAGAATGATACATTTCTACTCTCTTGATTTTGGTTTCCTTTAGAGGTCAAGCCTCCACAGGTGGGTTCAGCGTTCCTTCCCACTGCCGAGGCTCACTCCTTCCAGCCTCATGTGACCACCCTTTGCTCACCGTCTGTTGACGCGAAGCAGCAGCTCCAGAGGAAGATCCAGAGGAAACAACAAGAGCAGAAGCTGTACTCTCCTTTACCTGGGGAGGGACAAACCAAGAGGGCAGATGACAGTGTCCCTTGTCCCAGCCCAACCCCTCCGTCACCTCAGCCAACCATCGGCATCGTGGTCTCCGCCGTCCCGAGCCCCATCGCGGTGAGAGAGCAGCACTCTCAGCAGCATGTACAGTACCTGTCAAAAGTTTGGACACATTTTCTCATTTAGTTTCATTCAGGTACCGTGTATTAAACTGTATATATATATACCATTAGTTAATTAGTAATGATATCATGTAAGTAATCTCAGCAATGCATTTCTGATACATAATATATATTTATTTCTGATGTATTCACCATAACAGTCAATACGGTTAATGTGTTATCCACTTAGATACAACATAATGCCCTCTCATGTGAACTAAATACAAAAACACATTTTTGCATATCTACACCTCAATGACAACGCATGATATTCCTGAATAGCCCAACCTGTCACAAATACAATACATGTTCTGCAACCCTGATAGCACCTTCTGAAATACCTTCATTCCCTGCAGGTACAACGAAGCAGGCAACTGTTGTCGCCCAGCCCAATGGGAGCAGTAGAGAGCAAAATGCTGCCTATTAACATCCAAATGGTAACTCAGCCAGTGCAGACAGTGAAACCGAACCCCAAAACCCCACAAAATATTCTTACCAGTCCAGCGGGAGAGCGCACGGCTCGGCAACGCTATGCTCAAATCCTGCCAAAACCCGTGGCCACAACCGCTATCACTTTGCGCTCGCCCTCCACAATGATCATCGGCAGGAGCCCCGCCAAGACCGGGATGACCACATGTCATGTCAGCCCAGTCAATTTGGTCCAGGTGACAGCCGTACCGCTCGCACCCAACAGCAGCAATAACACCATTTCCCCCGCAAACGTCACTCTGCGGCCGGCCTCCGCAGGCATTAGTTGTACTATGGTGGGGGAGGACATCAGTTCCAATCAAAGCATGAGGAGTACCTCCGCGGTCCCCATTCTGACCCCGTTCGCCGTTTCCGGGCAGACTTTTAACACTCAAAACGTCGATGTTGAGATGGAAGTTGAAGCTATACATGAATACAGCCAAATGCAAAATCCTGGCGCTGTTGTTTTCCCTCAAGAGACAATAGCAAATAGGCCCCCAGGGGCCTTACAGAGGGCTGCCAGTGTGCCCATACCTCAGTCCAAAGGCCTCTTGGGCATGGAGGACACATCCATTACTAATTGCAATGGAATTTTCTCTACAAGCTCTAACACTGTGGCAACAGTCGGAAACAGTAATGATGGCGCTAATAATACAAGGGCTTTCTCCTTAACTCCCTCCACTCAAAATACCAGCACTGTTTCTTTACTGAACACCAGCACACCAGCTTTATTTGGGGGAAGCAGCAGTCTAATATCAGTAAAGGAGTGTTTCACGTCCGCCAAGAGCCTCAGGAAACGTTTGGGCCACAGTCCAGACTTTTCCCCGATCAAAAGGGCTTTTGTACCCCAGCAGCCAATAGAGGGCGCTGCTGGTCTCGGATACGGGATTAGAAACATGGTCGGTAACATCCTCAGGCCAGGAGCTCCAGCTCGACCTGAAAGTGCACCAGCTGCCAGAGAGGTAGAGACAAAAATGATCAATCGCCCCATCGCTCATGTGCACGCACCGTGCACTTCCTCTGTCAGATGCAGTGGCTTCTACTCTGTTGCCACAACACAGAGCTCATTGCAGAGAAAAAGCATGTCCACTGTTATGGAAACTTGCACCTCAGTCAGTCACCCGTTCATTCAGAAACCGCACGGGTACACAATGTCTAGCCTCCATGGCGTACCTAATAACCCCGGCCTCCAAATGCATTCAGGTGTGAGTGATGTTAGGAGTTCAGCCACAGGGAGCCTGGAACAACCTCAACAACACACCTATCCTTCATCTACCCCTGGTACTACCCCCTTAGGCTTTTTGAATCCTAATCCAGCTTCATCGTCAAACCAGCTTTCCATGCAGACCGATACAGACTACTTTACCTTTGATGAGGATGTGACTCAAGACAGCATTGTGGAGGAGCTGGTGCAGATGGAGGAGCAGATGAAACTTAACAACCTGCAGGAGTTTGGAGGCTGTGCTACACTGCAGGGCCAACAGGCCGTGATGCCAGACAACGCAATGTCTAACATCCAGACCATGACTCCTTACCATCACGCTTCAAACTGCCGCAGCAACCCGATCCATACTCCAACACCTACTCCAACTCCCACGCCCACATCCGAAATGATGGGAGGCGTCCAAGGCTTCACCAGAGAGAGCCCCTTCTCCCGTATTGCCTCCACAACCCCAGTGGAGAGCGCACTGGGGAGCAGTCGACACACCCCAGTTGGCACTCCCCAATCCAACTGCAGCAGCACCGTGCCTCCCAGTCCAGTGGAGTGCAGAAACCCGTTTGCGTTCACGCCCATCTCCAACTCCGGCATCACTGGTTTCCACGACGGCAGCATCATCTCCAGCAGTCCAGTCAAGCCCATGCAGAGGCCGATGGCTACCCACCCGGACAAGACCAGGCTGGAGTGGATGAATAACAGTTATAACAACAGCAACGGAGGCTTAAACAAGGCAAGCAGTGGAATTGGAATCCTCCCCAGCTATCAAAGCCTACTAGGTGAACATTTCCAAAAACCTCACGCTTTCGCCGTCCCCCACGCACGGCACCACGACAGCCATTTGGGGCGCTTGACTCCCATCTCGCCCGTGCAGCAGCAGGGAGCCAACGTGGGCAAGCAGGAGGGCTTCGCTGTGCCGGCGCCTCTGGATAACAAATCTACCAACTCACCTTCTTCTACTTTCCGGTGTCGCAGTGTGAGTCCCGCTGTGCATCAGAGGAACCCTGGAAACCTTCCCCTTGTCCCTTGTTCGGTCGCGTCTCCTTTTAACTCTCCTGTGACACCAGAGATGTTGAACATCTTTCCCCACAGTCAAACACCTTTTGGGGTGAACAGCATGGCGCAAAGGAGCCATTCTGTGCCACTCAACATCATGATGCAAACCGAGGTCGGGCCCACGCCGGGACAACACTGCAACAGTGAAAACATCGCTAATGTCCTTCTGAGCAAGCTGGATGACGACAGCGTTCGGGGGCTGGGCATCAATAATTTATCCTCCAGCTACACTGCACGCATGAACCTCACCCAGATCCTCGAGTCGGACCCCAGCCTCTCCTGCAGTGACCACCACTTCAGCCTGATGACTTCTGACTCCACCAGCAGATGCAGCTCGCAGAGGCCAAATTATCTCATCGAAAATGCCATTAATGAACAAATGATGCTCTCAATAGCTGACAGCCAAGTGCAATCGGCTTCTAGAGAGCAGCATCTACAACAAGCCCAGTCTATGTTGTTAACGTTGAGCTCACAGCAGCATCGAGAAGAACTGCAGCAGCAGTTGGATTTCAGCAGCACTGTGAAAGACCTCCTGGCAGACAACAGCCTTACCGCTGGCAGTCAGCTCGTGGAGCCGGTGTCCGAGCTAACTGCGGGAACAGCGGATTTCCCTTGTGAAATCAGAATGACATCGGAGCTCTCCAGTAGCATCAATGACCTCAACGCATTGGACACAGACCTTCTGTTTGACCCCAACCAGCAGCATGGGCAATATCAACACCCGGCGGAGGAGTTTGTGAATGATGTGCTGTTTCAGCAAATTACCAGCGACACAGCACATTCAAGTGGACTTGATTGGCTCGATAGCAAAGATCATTCAACTGTCGGGTTGATGAGTTAGAGCTTTTTTTAGGTCATGTTGAACATGTTACCCTTTAGTTCTTGTGTGTCTATTTATCTTCAGGTATTTACACTTTGTAATGCAACTCTGGACGCATTGAGGTTTTTTCCAGTTAAAAAGTGCCAGTCTGAACTGCAATGGCGCCCCAGCACTCTGATTAAAATGCTGGTCATTTCCCTTTAATCAGAGGACATTGCCTCACATTGTTTCATCACGAGCATTTACACCAAGTAAACAAAAGTTACCAAGCGAAAATAAATCTTTTACTGAAAGATCATTGAAAAAAATCACAACAGTCACGAAGAAACGTTGCAAACTCATGAAAAAAGATAATTATTAACAAGACTTTTACAAAACTCTTTCTTGATATCATTGTGTCTAATAATGTGTCACATTTGCAACATTTGTGTGTGCATTGAAAAAAATAATCACAAGTTCTCTTTGCAGGAGCATTAGCCGTCAGTCTACTTTATGTACATTTTCTATTGCTGAAAAAGATATTAACAAGACATGTTTGAGGGCCTAATTCACCCCTAAAAATCTATTTGATATATTCTTATGATCTGCTGGAGTCTGCATAGAGCATACAATAGTTTGATGGAGTACAGTAATACTTTAAGCCAAACTAATTGCTAAAAGACAAAGGAAGACTCTGTGCCTCTCCGAATCTATAAAGATATGTCGTATCTTTAGAATGAAACGTCTGCTCAATATACAGCTCAGAATACTTGATGATATCAATAGTAGAATTAGACCTCTTTTGCTGGTTTTTGGTTTTCAAGCCACATTTTTCAAAAGTTTGAAAAAAGTGAGACGTTGTGTTGAACTCTAAAGTAGCAGAAACTAATGAAGATCTTTGATTTACACGGGGAAAGCGTTTCTTCGTTAACTGTCTAGATATATAAATACAACCAGCACGAGGGTTCTACTCTTGACTACTTGTAGATCCAAATGGAAGGAATCTATTAAAGAAACCATTTGATACAAATTAAACCAAATCCCATAAATGTGGGATTCCTGCACTTTGAGAGTATGATCCCTGAGTAACAGAAGAGGTATGGGACATACCATTAGCATTCAGAAAATGCATTTTGTATTATTTGCACACAACTTCCTCAATTCAGATGTGAAGGTCTTCATCTGATAAAAGACTTGACTAAATTCTTTAAATTGCATAATGTGGTAACTCAACTCTTTTTTCTTCTAACGTAGCACTCATACCGCACTGACAATCTGAAATGCTTGTATTTCTTTACATAAATGCACTGAGTTTAATTTGAATAATAGAGGAGCGTGTTTAACTGCGTGGCCTGAGGATTTCCATTCATGAAATCACTGGTCATATACGAAATCCCTTTTTTGCACTGATGAAGAGCTGTGTGTGATGAAGTCATGCAACCAGGTGAGATGAGAATGACGTCTGCTCCCTGAGGGTTTTGGTTTCCGAGCCTTATGTCCATACCAAAGACTAACTGTTAAACATAACCTGCAATAACATGCACTAAGATACTGATGTACTGAATTATGTTTGGTTACAGCCATAACAATTATATTCTGTAATGTGAAGAATACACTGGGGAAATAGCTTAAACATCGGTGACAGTTGCAGCATTGGAAAAACATTTCATTATATAATCAGTTCATCAGGACAATGTTGAGGATTGTTTGTATACTGTTTGCTTTAATATAAGACACTGTACTTTATCCTTTTTGACCGTGTTAGCATTAGAGAATGTTTAATTTTATTTTTAAACAGGTTGTTTGTGTTTGCACTGTTTATTCAGAGTGTGTTGTTTGTACATAAGATGTTGTGAACCATATAATCTTGGGAATTCACAATAATCTGACTTGCACTGTCATGCTGTTTTGTAGCATACATTTTAAGGGTCATAGCATATTACCAAATATCATATGCGCTACTTTTTTTTAAATTATGATTTGTCCTATGCGGTGGATAATTACAATATTTAACAAATTTTCTTAGAAAATTGTACCAGAAAATATTTAATCACGTTTTAAAATATTAACATAAGACAATCTGTAACCCTAAGATGTAATATAAGTGTCATAAATATTACAAACGCATAACATTGAATCTCTTTCAGTGTGTTGATAAAAAATTGTGCGTTGGATTATACATTTAAAAAGAAAAAACATTTCTGCAAAGCGGAGTATGTATGTAATATATCTCATTTTGAGTATGATTTAACATTGACATTGAGTTTAACGTTTCTTATTTATGTTTTAGTTATTATTTGATTACCACTGGTTTGTGTTTGAAGAAGACGTTACCCTTCCTCTTGCTGAAAGTGGTTCAGAGCTGTAGAACTGCACTCTACTCTTGTGTTACAGGGGATTTATTTTATACGGGGAAGTGCTTGTTGATACTGCTTTTCAATGAGTTTTTAAAACAATAAACAATTTTAAGTACATCATTCCCCTGGAATGAGTGTTTTTTTATATTCACATAAAGCAAAAGGCCAGGCTTTGCAAAAGACGAGGAACACACGCATGGTTTTACTTTGTGATCAAATGTGATACATTTACCTGACATGGCAGGACTACCAGTGAGTAATCTGAGGTGTCCGAACTTCCAAACAATCACAATCACATCACACAGGAAGGTGTCCTTAAATCACTTGTTTTCTGTAACTCGATATAACGTCATATTCAGAGCGTCTCTTTCTGCTGCTGTGTGATGGGAAGGAATCGTTGAAGGCCTTCTGACAACGAAGGTGTGAATCTGAGGGTTAGCTTCCCCGGCGCGCCCGACTTTGTCACTCACAGCTTTGTCTGGGAGGATGAACGCTCGTTTCCACAGAAGAAAGAGAGCAGAAACTGTTGGGGCGATAAGCTTAATATAAGACAGAAGGACACAATCATGACAAAATAAGGTTTACGCCTACCAATTGTAATGCAAAATGCCTACTTAGCACATATTTCTACATAGGATATAGTGTTTTTCTCTGAACTCAGTAGATCTTCACCCTTTGTGTTAACGTACATGCTTCTATGCATCTTAATATATTTCATATTCTTATAAAATAGAACGCTTTCATAATTTGGTGTAACAGACTATCATAAGCTTTCTACCACACAATACATCAGCCTCGAAAGTCCTGTATCTATTAAGCTAGTTGATATATGCAAGGTCTCTCCTAGTAATGGGAATATAGTATGTATATCACATTAACTAATAGTCAGAGCACGCTATGGCATATCAGGCAACTGCTTACTGATGGTCGGTGTCTCTACTGAATCTGAAGCAAATCCATGTCCTTGTACTTAAATACAAAGTAAAGATACTTTATTTGTGTATTTAAATGTTGTGCTACTACACATACCCCATTACATTTCAGGGGAAACTATTACTACTACTTTTAGTTTATTCAACAAGTAATCTATAATAATCTATAACCATTGTGCAAAATGAATACAACATACACACTGCACATATCATCATCAGTGATAATGATTATTCTATGTCAGTGCAGTGAATGTAGGGAACTAAAAAGTCCATTAAGAAAATTACCTCAAATATATATTTGAATAATTGTTCCTGGTTTGCTAATAAGCCACTTAATTAAAGTCCAGTTACATTGAAAGGAAATCAACCCTCCTTTAGCTCTCAGTGAAGGTGTCACGAGGGATTCCGAACGGCAGCAGCACCAGGAAGAAGGCGACGAGGAGGAAGCACCGCGGGAGGTGGAGGGAGGGAGGAAAGGGGGGAGGAGGACGATGGATACGGTGGCTGACGGTGTCCCGGCTAGCCGCTAGGTCGGGTGGACGGCTGCTACCAGTGTAAACAAGAGCGCACAATCGGGGCAGAGTGGCAACGGAACACCGTTAAAAAGTCTTCTCGTCGCTCTCCGGGGGAGGAAGGCAGGGCGAGGACAGCATGGCAGCACTTTCTCCACAGATCCGAGGACTTCAGATAGAGGAGGTAAGCTAAACGCTCCGGACTCGAACCAGCCGTCAATGAGACGTCGTTTTGCGCGATCGCGTCGTTAGCTGGTCACCGCTAACCAGCTAACGTTAACCAAAGAAGTGGATTAACGCCGTGGAGCTAACTAACAGCGGGGTGGGGTTCAACTTGTGGCACGGGACGTGTTAGCTAACGTGGTCGTTAATACGATGGGTGGGTGCACTTCTCGGCTAATGCTACACCGACAGGACCGCTGTCACGTTAGCTGTTGACTTTTACAGCCCCGGGAAACACAACAGGCTGCCGGGCGGTTAACGCCGTCAACACACACTAAACTGTTAATAATGCGCGTTTTGGGGACCTTTTCCCCCTCCAGGTAACAACGTCAGGGCCCCGTAGTGCTGCCGTGTACGCCAGGTGTGTGCGTGTGTGTGTGTGTGTGTGTGTGTGTCTGTGTGTGTGTGACCGATTGCGAAATCGTGCGATGATTCAGCCCAGTAAAAAGCGCGAGTCGCGGGTTCTGATGAGAAACGTACATGTAAGTGAGGTCAGGATGTTACGTCAGCCCGCAAACACTCGGGGTATCGAGGGCATGTGAAAGGGATTTTATAGCTGAAAATGACTTGTGATGTTATGTTTTGTTGTTATCTAGTACCTTTCTGTTGCCTGGCCCACATTCTCCTACCAACAAGACAATAATCAGTATTCTGGATTTGCATTAGCCATATAAAGAAGACTACCAGGCACCACTAGTTTAGGTAGGGAATGTATTTTTAATTTCTCTATCCATCTCTGTGTCACAACTCATTGGTATTCTTTTTTATGTTTTCAGGGAGACTCCAGAGTCCTGAAAGTGAAGGTTGTTGCTGGAATAGGCCTGGCAAAAAAAGATATACTCGGAGCTAGGTAAGCTGTAGATAGTTGACACTAACCTCTGCTGTATAACTTATGATTGTGGTTGTAACTAACTATTGGTTTGCTTATCAATTAACCTGCCGCTCATCTCATCATTAACCAATTCCAATAATAATAATTCACTTTCTGTAAAATCATCAGTCGTCATCTTCTTATGCATGTGTAGTAGCCATCTCCTAGTCAGCTTACCCTTTTTATCTTCAATAAAGATGGAAACTCAGAACTTGCATCCGCTCAATGTACGTCAGTGAAACGTGAATCAGTTTGTGTTTCATTATTCTAAATCAGTCCGCCATTCTCTCCACAACTGTACTGCTTCCAATATAATGTGCTATATTTTTGTCAAGAATTATTCAATTATTCCTTGGGTTATGTAAGTTCATTTTCAAGTGTTTAATTCTGATTATGTTATATTTTTTGTTTATTTATTTTATATTTATTCGTAGTTTACTAATTTGGAAGGAGTAGGTTCAGGATATATTTTTCTCCTTTCTGTTTTCGCAACAGAAATCAGCTGTAAAAAAGAGAGAAAGTCCTTCAATCTTAAAAAAAAAGAGTATTTACAGCATTCTGAGCGTATTCCGGTATTTTCGTTGTAAACAGCTGTACCTTTTGCGATGCGCTTCTCCAACAGCATGAACCGGTAGTGAGTGCTGATTAGGTTAGTCGCCAGCATATCGTCATCCGGTTGGGCATGTTTACTCAAAACAGCTCTCCGAATATAAAAATCGAATAGTTCATAGTTTGAATTTCCAGTTTAAGGCTTTTGCAACATTTGTGTGCTACTTTTACATTTTTCTAAAATCTTCCATTTAATATGTTTTATACTTTTATTATGACTTATAAATGCAATCTGACACGGGCACAGGAAGAGATGTGGATTGTATGCCTTTATGTCTGCTGTATGTTTAATTATTCATGTCTCAACCAAAACTGCTGTTTTAGCATTGCTCTAATGTAGAAGCCCTTATTCAATCCACCACCAATAACAATGCTACTGGCATAAAGATTGGGTAATGAATAATATCATGGAATTGTGCAATTTGTTTTTCGTGTACGTCCCAGTGCCTCAAACCATCATTAAGAAACAATCCTAGTCAACTTTGCTTCAAGCATTGAGTTTCTGGAACCGTTATGTTCATGTTTCTCAGGTCCAAATGCAGCTCCTGGTGTTATCAGACAATCGACAAAAGAGGGAATTACCTTTCTTAAGAAACAAACTAGAGATCTACAGAACACGATCCAAACAAACCACTAATTCATAATGAACAGAAAGTATATTTCAATCCTTATCTATGAATTTATACACCAGACTTTAATCTGATGTGTCTCTTTGTCTTGCAGTGATCCATACACGAGACTGTCCCTCTATGACCCTATCAACGGCGAAATCACAAGTCTTCAGACTAAAACAATAAAAAAGGTGAGCAAGTGAACTACATTTGTTTTTCCCATTGTTCTATTTGTGGACTTATATTTCACTTTTATCTGACTTCCTTTCCCATGACATGTTACATGAAGTCGCTAGACCCGAAATGGAATGAAGAATTCTTTTTCAAAGTAAGTGAAACTGAGAAGACAATCTTAAAAACTTAAAAATACACCCGTTTATCTCTCATCTTGTGTGTGCAAAGAGATAATTTGTGAACTTTTGTAAGGGGACTCAGGGTAGCTTTGGTATATACTAAATCATATGTAGCCATACAATTCTAAAAGGGATGTTTTAGACTTTGTTGACAATGGCTTGTGTGCTTTGATTGTATATTGTATGTCTTATCTTATGTTTTAGGTTAATCCCCAAAAGCATCGTCTGCTCTTAGAGGTTTTTGATGAGAACCGCCTGGTAAGTTGTTTAGTTATGTTCAACCTTTCTGTGTATACTTTAGACATATACTTAACATATTGTGTTGTGATTCACTTAAGGACTGCAACAAATATATGATCTTTGATAATGATCAGAAAGTATTGGAAATAGAAAGGGAAAATGTAAATGATGCTTTTGATGCTGCTAGTTTAGCACACTCGCATATTGGATACGACCCAAGGATGGTCAAAGATGTGAAACAATATTTCGGACTTAAACATCAGATTAGAACAAATAGATTTTGAGCTATAAACAAATAATTCTCGTAAACCTAATATGTGTATACTATCAAGTAAACAATACATGTATTTCTTGAGGATGAGGGTATCGTCCAGTCAGTGTAAGGTTGACTTTGGTTTGTCTGCCCGATACAGGCGCCCGTATTTACCCACAACATGTATTATTGTTGGAAACTCGGATCCCTTATTATTCAGAGGTGTTAATATAGGAAAATCTGGCTGTGTTGACGGTAGCTCAGTGCCCGTCGTCTACAGGTGAGGACAGTGATGCGTATGTCACAACCAGTGCTGGATATCACAGAGATGGTGATGAAGATGTGTAATGATACCTAACTTATAGTCTAAATTATGACATGTATGTATATATAAATGCATATTGGGTTGTTGTGTGATGGTAGATTAAGTATTGGGAGTGAACTGTGTTCTCGCATCAATTACAACGTTAGTACATAGCAATGTTAAATCTTGTAGCATGATCTCAGGGCAGATATTGTATGAAGCCATCTATAAAGTATTGTTGGAGATGTAGGCGCTACCTGTTGCTTGTTCTATTTAAGATGCAGTAGCTGAGATAGTAGTTTTCTTTTTTAGATCCATCTTGCCGTTTTCTTACTAGGTTGAAGTTCTAATGAGTTTGGTCTAATCTTTACCGGCCCTGTTGTCCTTATTGTCCTTCAACAACCTGCCCAAACTGGTAAAGTATGCTCAGTGAGCAAGAAGCAGCACAGTCAATTGTCAGAAGATGATGTCAGCAGTTGTGTCAACCATTTGTAAGACTTCTTTCCTAGAAATCTACCACGTACCACCAGAAACTATCCTAATTGGCTGTTCGCAGAACTAACAACGCTGTGCTATGAAATGAAAATCACATGTTCATTTTGTCCAACTCCCCTTCTTCTATTGTGTTTGGGATGAAAAGAATAAGCTCACAGTCCACACATATATTCCACTTGTTCGGCTAAATGTTTATAGGATATGTCACAATATCAAACAAACCTGGGCGTGACTGGCTCAAGGCTGCCTTGTCATGCTGCAGGTAGATCTTGTGAAAACCTGAAGGGCGTTTCCGTAACGTGTTTTCATGCATGTGTGTGTTACTGCTGCAATGACACTCGAGAGGAACAAGCAGGAAATCCAGGAAATGTATTATTCCACTAATTTAACAATGTTGTCATTCCTGAAGACACTCACAGTAAAAGAAATCTTCAAAACTAGACACATACAAATCTAAATAAGATGATTTCTATGGTTTTCTTTCTGCTGTCACATGCTGGTGTGGAGAGGTTTGTGTTTGTGTCTTACTTCTAGAGACAGCATGAATAGAGGGCATGCACATGATTGTATGCAGAAGTTGCCATGGTTACCCATCCCCTTGAATGAATGGCCATCATGAATTCACATGGAAATCACTGATAAAATTGTATTCAGCTTTTGCAAAGCCAACTGCACCCACTGATTGAGGCAGACGTTTTTACCAAAAGCTGGACGCAAAATAGTGTATATATACATATATATATATATATATAGTATGACATTTTCCAAACAGATCACACCTTTTTTTAAATGCTCAATAACCGTCCTAATGGTGAGATTTATCCACAACTAATCAGAATATCCATTGAAGTGGGATTTTCATCAGGCCTGTTTTAAGTTATCAACATGTGCAATCTTTGTTCAGGGTAGTCCTATTTAAATGTGTTATTCTGCACTCACTAGGTGTGAAGCACAGCAAGCTGAACACATAATTAGATGATGCATTGGAAGCTAACTGGAAGCCAGTATAAAACTGAAAAAAACGTATTTGGAAAAACAAATTCTGTGACGGAAAGTACAAATCAGAAAAAGTTGAGATTCTACAGAGCTAAAAGTATTTTAAACATGAATTGGTAAATAATTTCTATTTACTTTCATGTAAGAAAGAAATGAATGATCATCAGTCCCCAAAGTACAGCACAGTATTTAATATAGCAAAGAATCCCAAAGAGTGGGAGTAAGGAGTGAAATACACAACAATTAGAACAGCGTCAATTCAGTTAACGAGTTAATAATGGTGTAATTTTCCTCCAGATATCACAAACCTCTCTGCTCACAACAGAGGCGGCATATTTGTCTTGCTTGTAAAACGTAATGCTAACAACTCGTAATCCGAACTCGTTGGGGATGCTGACGGAGCTTTCCCCCGTGTATCTTTCAATGCTTCTTTTGGGCGCAATATTTTTATGGTGCTGAATTCAATTTGTATATTAGATGCAGCTTTGCTTTATTATTGGCCCTATTACATACCTTACTGTATGACTTAAATATAAATAGTGTAGTGTGAGTCACCAATCCAATGGGCTTTGCACCATCATTTAAGTCTGTTTTTGGCCAGATGAGTGATTAATAGTCCATCACAAGGTTTCCTGGTGTTTATCATGTGGGTTCAAAAGATAGGCAGCTGCAGCAGTGAAGTGTCCTCTGATGAATCATGACTCTATCCTGGCTGTCTCTTGCTATTACACCTTATACAGGAACTGATTTGGCTCTCCACTAGTGTCCTGAAATAGGCCCGCCTGACGCACAATAGGTTGACATTAATAAGTCACGGAGAAGAAATCAGAGCAGCAATGACGCTTACATGAGGTGTCATATAACGGGTGTCATGTCTCTGTCAAAGCTCATCTGCCTGTGTTTTCTGAAGGCAGGCAAAAACCACGTCACAGCTTTTTTTATCACTGTTTAACACCGTTAAAGAGTTTCTTCCTGAGACATGAACATTTTCTTTCTATTTGCACTTTTGCATGAATTAAGTTTAAAGAAAGTTGCCACTTTCTCTCCTCCACATTTTCACAGGCAGACGTTGAAAGTCGTTTCCTTTTTGATTTCCTGTAATTCAATAGCAGTGGGGAAAACTATTTCTGGTAGCACAGAGCAGTAGAAACATTAGAAGCATACCCTCGGCAGGAAGTGCAGTCCTAAGTGAGTCGCCTGAATCAGAGGTTTCACAAAGCTTTAGTCGAAGATGCACCGTAAAGGGCTTCCATGTTGTTGTTGTTGTTGTCTCCCAAAGGAATGAAGCGGCTGGAACGGACCGGAGGTGTAGAATATGAATCTGGCCGGCACTCGGGAGGTGCCGTAAAATAGCAGCTAAGCTAGGTTTAAAAAGCAGGTCGGCAGCGGAAGGTCTGGCTTCTGAAATTTGCTTTCCGTAAAGTGTTTAATCTCTTTAATCGGGCTAACGTCTGGGATCGCTCTTGTTTCAAAGGTCGTGGGTTTGGGTCATGTCTCCAAACAGAACCACTGACCCCCCCCCACACACACACTCACCCACCCAACTAAAAGCTGAGATCAGCCTGGAGCGGAATGCAAGTTGTCACCAGAGCTATTTTGGCAATGTACAGCCGCTAATGATTGTGATCACACAGCGGAGCTCTGAGCAGTTGCTTTGCTTTCCTTTTTTCCTTGGAGTAAGTTTGATCATGCAGCTCTCACCGGCGCTTCAGGGATTAAAGAGTTAAAACGAATGGCACGTCGGCTGCGCTCGCAATTTGCGTCAAGGAGAAGCAACACAGACCCTCTGTCAGAGAGCCTCAGCAGCCATGGCGGGGAGAGCGGCGTCCGTGTGTCAGATCAAAGCCCCACGGAGAGTCTGGCTCACAGCTCCGTCCACTTGAAGGTGACTGCACTGTCACCAGAGTATGCTAATTTACTGCGGCACTCTTCAGTGTTCATACCCAGGGTTAACCCCGGAGGAGTTAACAAGAAGAGCATTCTGAAGATCTCGCTGGAGCCCTGTGGAACACCTAGTGGAGAGCTAGATGGCAGTATAGAGGATGGAGACCCAGTGGCAAGGAAAGGAGGAGCAGGCGGGGGCTCTGACGGAGGCTCGTGCAGCAGCAGCATGGCCAGCGATGCCGGGTACTGTAGCAGCAACAACATCTTTGAGCCAGAGGCTTCAGAAAAGCACAGGACCACCCAGGAGAGGAGTCTACTTCGCTGCAAGTCAAAGGTCCCTTTGAGACGCTGCTCCTCCTTGGTTATATTTCCAAAGAGCCCCTGCAGCACCCCACCTGCCTCCCCAGTCGGCCCAATGGCTCTATCTGCTCTCCCTCCAGCGAGGGGGGGTCATCAGTCATCTCTACAGACCTCTGCCAGTGAATTCTCACAGGAATATGAGGAAGTGAATTGCAAAGAGTCCATTATCACAGCAGTAAGTGGCCCTCGTTTGCCTAAAGGAAGCTGTCCAGCCGAGTTAAGGGACACCAAACACATGGTGCAATTTAGTATTCCTCTACAGGAAGAAACAAACGGCAAAATGGCGGACAGGAGCAAAATAAGGGAACTGTCGTCAACTTTAGACAGATCGAATCGTCACTCCAGCAGCGTGCTGCTCCACTTTGCCAACCAGAGACCAATAATGGGAGCTACAACCACGTCTACAACCGACGTGGAAGATCCCGAGGCTCCTAACCCAGCCGCACAAGCCGATGGTGAACCCGAGCCTCGCAAAAAACTGTACCGCAGTACTTCCGCTTGTTTGTTCTCCTCGACTAAACCAACAGAGAGAATGGTCTCTTCGTCAGGAAAAGGACAGCAAAGGCCCGTGCAGAACTATTGCCATCGAGCCATACAAAGGAGCTTTTCCCTGGAGGTGCCCTACGCTAACACGGGAATTTCATGTCACGTCTCAAATCCAAAACTCAGTATCCCTCACTCTCCACATGTACACATTCATTTGTCTCCTTGCTGCCCTGCTACGTTGCCTAGCTATCTTACTGGCGTAAACACGAGCCACAAAGGGATTAATATGGACAAGAGTCCGGTTCAAAACACAAAGGTGAGTGCTAAGTTTCTTCATTGGAACCAAGTGATGCTCATGATCGCAGGAATCAGCTGGAATGCCTAAAAAAAGGTCCACCGAGAAATCGAGAGCAGATATTTTATTCTCTTACTGGTATCTACCGTAGAGATGTCTGCCTGCTCCAATATAATAGGACGGTGTTGTGCTCAAAATTCCCCCAAATATTCCCATTGTATTGAAGCAAAAGCAGACCTCTCCGTGGCAAACCCTCAACAAGCCAGATTAAAAAATCAATAGTTAATACTAATTCATTTTCAGATTTCAAAACTGTGTCTTTAACAATGAATTGCATGCCAAGTATTTACATAACACATGAATGCCCTTCGATTCAACACTGAGTAGTTGCCTTTAATGTTGATTAACTGGTTTGTACCGCTTTGGTTTGTCAGCTCAGGAGACGACACGTTGTCTTCTTCCTTCATGTACGGAGCAAAATTTGAGTTGGAATGTCATGAATACCTTATTTTGTTTTATGCTAAACATTTGCCTTATAGTTGCTCATGTAAAATTAAACCGTTTTATACGATTCCATCGGCGGCTAAACCAGTATTGAAAATAAATGCTGAGAGAACGGTGCTCATCCAAATCCTTAAACTGTTTACTCAGTGTCGGCCATTAGGCTCACCACAGGCTACAGCGACATTCTGTAACTGAGAAGATCACCACAGATAAGTCACGCAATTAACAAGCCCAATGTGGACAAACAGTCAGAGGTATTCAGTTACTTTACAGGAAATACATTTAAATGTTGTTTTCTAAGAAAGGCGTAAATGAGCAGGAAAGGTGGCCTGTCTTTCATCTTGTGACTGTCCATTTGTTGGCGTGTATGAAGACATTCGACTTTAGAGTAGCTCTCCATGTTTTACCATTCTGTTAGCGGTATGAGTAATCGACTTTAAGTATTTACCCGGGCTATTTTTAGGGCAATGGAAGGGAAGGGGGGACGAAGGGGGGGCAGTGCCACTTGCTGGTATAAATAAAGTGCTCCTGAAATATTCCCCTTGACTCCAGATAGTCTGGTGGTCTGTAGCATTGCCCAGTCCCGTGGATTCAAATTTAACAGCATGGTACTAGCGAAGCACACAATCATGCCTGCCATCTGTGGATATGGTGCTGGTGGTGCTGGTGGTGCTGGTGGTGCTGGGTGTGCTGGTGGGGGGGGGATGCCTTTCCAAGAAGAAGATCGGTGCGTTCCCTTCCCTGCGGATGCTCCTGCCAGCCGCTGTCTGTGATGTATCCGGTGTCGGCCCTTCCTCCTACATTTAGGTTATCAAGTTAGAAGGTGTACTTCTTACCTAATTAGACAGTCCATTAACGTTCAAAGATCTAAATTTGCTTTCTGTAAATCTGATTTTATTTTCACACATTTAAAAGGCCTGCGAAATAACAGTTCTTCCCTTGAACTTTGGTGTTCATGGTCCTTTGTGAATACTTATTCTGGTGTCACATTACACTTCTTCCTGTAAAAAGTCTGCATCAAATACTGCACACTTTATCTTGTGACTGTATCTGACCACAATTGAGCAACACCAATGTGAAGTATTACAGTAAGAATTGTACTTGAATTGTATTTTACTGCAGCATGAAATCATGCCTACAAACAGTCAAACAGCAATCAAAGGGGTAAATAAGCAGCTATTAAAAATAGAAATATTACAAAATGTGGAACTGTATGGGCTAAAAGCCCGTTGTGAATCTCAGCAACGGCAGAGACAAACTACTACATGAATTAAAGATCTTTTTTGTAACATTACAACAAAGCAAGGCTATCTGTTCACATATATAGTCAAATATATCGATTGGAGCAGGATTGCCTTGTGGTATCCACAATGGAATTTTTTATGGAAACCTTTAGGTCTGCTTTTCTTATCTGAGGTGCCCTCATAACCCTGAACACCTCGTCCTGCAAGTTAATGAACAACCAGTAGTGACAACAAGGGTCAACAAGGAAGAAGGAAAACGTGACTCGTAACAAAGAGCTGAACTGTAAATTCAACTGTAATTCAATTTTCTTAGTCGAGTCGAATCTGCATGTCATTATGAACCGTCCCGTTTTGATGGTTTCCGCAAGTTTCATGCAACTGCCACAGTGGTGCTTGTGTCAGGATGCATTTCTCAGCTTGAGCTTTTTTAGATTCCTTCACAAGTGATAACATGGGGTTTATCACCCAAAATGAAAAGACTGTATTAACAGCACGATTCATTCTTGGAATTTATCTTTAAAAGCTGAAATATAGCAGCACACAATAACTTTTGACCGCTTTCTTCCTCTTTTAAGTGTTAAAGCATATGTTTTTTGATAAGAAATGAGCAGCGAAGCCTTCTGACACAGTGCAACTGCTTCCTGCTGTGACATCACATGGTTTCAGGTGTGGATTCAGGGGCTTCCTCCTTTCACAGCGCTGACTTAATCTTGCACAGAAGATGAAGCCTGGTCGCTGCAGCTCTGGCAGCTGTTTTTGGCAAAATGTAACTTGTTTAAAAACGTATTTTATTGAATCGTTTATCAGATATGCACATAAGTCCCTGGTCACGGTTTATCACCATATTCCGTTCCAATAACTCTTCAGAAGTCTACATTTCACAAGCTGCCGTCCACCTATTACCAGGAGTTTGTTGTGGCCCTGCTAGGGTGGATATCACTGCTTAGTCAACGGACGGCCAAACATGTGTCTGTAGCTCTTTGCTAGAACCTCACACAATACATGGTCAGCACTGCTTAATGCCACAAGCTCAACTTGAGTTTCAATAATTTGTACATAAAACTTCAGGGAAGCTTCTGTTGAACCTTCATTTACAGCTATCTGTGTACTTTGTGTAGGCTTGTTATTGTCCAAAGTAAACACTCACACCACTCTATATCCTCTCGCTTTACAACGACAGAGGACATTTCATGTGATAGAAAGCTTCTGCTGATGATATAGAAATGACCCACTTGATTTTTGAAACTAGCAGGACAGACTTCACTATTAAACAGCCTGTAATCTTTTATGCATTGCTGTCCATGGCATATTGCTTATTTATTGTTCAGTTTCGTAAAAGCTGTTGACCGTGATGTGTAAATAAATACGACCAACATTGTGTGCCAATGGCCACTAAATAAAACATAAACATCAGTAGGAGCTCTGTCACTTTGCAAACAGAAACGGTTACCCTCTGAGATGCAAAGCAACTAAAGCTTGAAGGATAGCAAAAATATGCTTGAATGCCCGGGGCGTTTATTTATTTTTCAAACAAAACATATTATTTTCAGTTTCAGGAAATTGCTTTTTTTAAAATGTTTTCTGATATCAAACAAATCATTGAGGACGTTTATTATCAACAATTGTTTTTAGTCTGCCTAATGAGTGTGATTTAAATACAAACAACAAAATTACCAGCAATCTGTAGTGATACTAGTGCGTCTTAACGTCTCTAGCATGTATCTTTTGAGCCGAGACTTAACTGCTTCCCTTGCCTCCACTATTAGACAGGCCAGGGCAGGAGGGAGGGAGGAGGCCTCCATCTATATTTGCTCACGTAAACACTCCATACTGCTGTTCCACAGTTTGTCCTGACACGGGTGTTAATTTGGTCTCAAAGCTGGTTCCCTCAGTACAGTTTGTGTTTGGGACTGAAATGGCTGAAATGACGCCTTGCAGTGAATCTGTGAAGTGTTCAGAGAAAGTCAAATGATTGCTGTGTCACAAGCAGGAAGACAGTGCAGTGTATAATCACATGTGTATAGATTGTTTTTTAGAGAAACTGGAACGCAACGGCTTTAGCAGATAAAGTGTCTAGTACAGTGTGAGAAACGCGGCAGTGCGGTGTGAGAATCAACCCATGGGAATTTTACAGTGTTTCTCATTATTCCAAAGTCCACTGAGTAACGTAGAACGTCTCAGACAGTCCTCTGTGTGCCTTTGAATGGAGATAATATAATCATGATCTTCTATCTTCTCTCCCCCTCGCCTGTCAGACACGTGATGACTTTCTGGGACAGGTGGACATCCCCTTAAATCAGATACCGGTGAGTCCTTGCATGCAGGGATTGCTTGTTCTAGATTTCTATGACTTGTCTAAGTTCAAGTAAGTTAGTATTGATTTTTTATTTTCTAACTGGGGCTCTTGACCTCAATTTCACCCACGTCCCATTGCGGATTTATACACGCACGCCCTTATTCTAGTGTCCGTTCCACACCGTTGTCTATCGTTTTGGTAACACAGTCTGTCATGTTTATGTTATGTTGCTGCTTTTCTTTCCTTAAAAATACAACATCCCCAAATAAGCCATCAGGGCACAATGCCACCATTATCCGTATCTTTAAATATAGAGTACCGTGTTCTGATACAGTGCCATGCAGGACTGTAAAAACGTTTCAGAATTAAAGGTTTATTTTTATTGTTTGTCTTTTTTTCTCAGACAGAAAATCCTAATACAGAAAGGCCATACACATTCAAGGATTTTCTACTTCACCCACGAAGGTTGGCATGATTTCATGGTTATTTAATCCTTTGTCTTCTCCTGTCGTACATTCCATTCTACATTTGTTCATTTTCAGGAGAGACAGTTCATACTTTATTTCCAAACAGTCGTGACAATATTTATCTCCTCCTTGTTGAGAACATCTATCCGTCTGTTGGTTACACAGCCACAAGTCCAGAGTTAAAGGTCACCTGCGTCTCAAAATGACATACCTGCCCAAAAGCCCAGGCTCAGAGGAGGAAACCGTAGAACAGACTGAGGACATAGACGTAAGTTTTGCCTGTGATTGTTCAGTGAGACGTTGATTTCCTGCATGAAACTGCAACCCCTGATTATTTGGATGAATAACGTCACGTTGAACATAATAATAGCGCGGTCGCACACTGACAAACGTTCAAGCAATCAGAGGTCACAGCAGTAATATACGTTTTTAGGAGCTCCTCCTTGATGTTATTCATGTCTTAAAATGGACATAAAGTCCATGAGTGTGTATTAGTCCTACTGTGTGACCTTTGCTTAACTCGAAGCTTCTGTATTCATGTCAGCCAGTGATGTTTTTAGTAGTTTGCCTTAAACAGCTGGCATTAGGACAGTGTCCGCATCCTGCTTGTGCTGCTCTTTAACACTCTCGGTTGATGTCGAGCAGCCTGGATGGGAGTTTCTGGAGTCTCAGGGCCTGTCGGGTCGCAGACAAAGCCAGGTGCTGCCCGCTCTGCCCCCTGGCTGGGAGGAGCGGCAGGACAACCTGGGAAGAACCTTCTTTGTCAATCATGAGAGCAGAACCACACAGTGGCTACGACCCACACTCCAGTAAGACCGCTTCCTTCTCCCCAGCAAAGTTGCATCAATTCCCTTGTTGGTGCAGGACTGATCATTTACTTGCTGTGTGTGTGTGTGTGTGTGTGTGTGTGTGTGTGTGTGTGTGTGTGTGTTTCCATACTAAACAGGGAAGGTAATGTGCCCGTGCAAAGAGGACAGAACAATAATATGGATGCAGAGCAAGTTTTTATGACACGCAGACAGATCTCAGACCCAGATGAGAACACCACACGAGAGTCTCCTGAGGTAACTTTAACACCGTTTTTCAAAAAGCCTTTTAGGTGAATGGATATGGGAAGGACGAAAAAGGTGGGAGACGTCTGTTAGGAAAGCCATGCAGAGGGCGCGATGAAGCCAGGTGGTGCACTGGTGGTGTAAACAATCCAACTTTTAGGTTTACTATTAGACAGGCCACTGTATATTTAAACTGAGTAATCTGCCCACGTGTTGTTGTCGTATCAGTCCCCCACCGAGTCTTCTTTAATGAATCTCATCTGTCTCATCTTCCAGAGCTGGGAGATCATCACGGAGGACGAGTCCACCTTGTACCACAGCAATAATCAGCTCACATCATCTCCACCACACGGGCCTGGAGAGTTCCATTCGCTGCACAATGAGCAGAGAAACACACACTTCTCTGGGGCCACAGCTGGCGAGCAGCGCGCCTCTCAGATGGTGAGTCATTTTCTCTGCGCCATACGGTCCTGGTTACCGGAAAGGTCAGAGAAGGAAAGACTCACAACGAGACTGATGGGAACCATACACGATCAGTGAGAGAGGGAGAAAAGTATATAACATTGTTGTCTTTGGAATGCTGCCTCTTCCTGTAGAATCATGCTAGTATTTCAAGTCATTCCAGTCGCAGAGGAAGTGCCCAGACTTCAACAGGGGAGGAGCATCCTGTTAATCCTGTGGTGGGTATTTCACTCCCTAATGGAGTCACACAACCTTCCTACCTTTTACTAAACCTGTCTGACATCAGAATGTCTGTGTGGATGTGACGTTTGAGATTTACAGCTGTGTTCTTAAATCTACCAGTTGCTGTGGTATGGAAGTTAGGAAATAGTTTGAGTGAATTTATGTGTTTCATTGTTGGTTTCTCGGGTTTCTCAATGAGCATTTTCAGGACGGATCCCTGTTTTCCTTTTTTTATGTCATTCAATAGCATATTCCAATCTCAGCTGGGCTGCCGCCAGGATGGGAAGAGAAGCGAGACAGTAAAGGGAGACGCTACTTTATCAACCACAACAGTCGAAGCACTTCATGGACAAGACCCCTTATTCAGGTATTTTTTTTGTCTTTTATTCGTATTAATAGTAGTAAAAAACGTATGTCCACTGGCTATTTACGATATTTCTTTTTGGACAGAAAACCACAGAAGCAGCAACAACAGCAACAGCCACAACAACAGCAACAGCAACAGCAGCTGCATCCGCAGCAGCACAGAGTGCGGCGGCTGCCCAGAGCCAGACTCCACCCTTACCTCCCATGTCCCCCGAGGACGCTCCCTCCGTGCACGCTCCAAGCACCGAGGCCGCACACGATTCTGGCTCCCTGCCGGCTGGTTGGGAGGTTCGCAGTGCTCCCAGTGGGAGACCCTTTTTCATTAACCACACCACTAAGACCACTACCTGGGTGAGAAAGCAGCAGACTCAAGATGTGTTTTCATCCTTAGTCCTAAGTGGTTGCAATAAATACACACAAACACAAAGCCAATTTTTTGTTTCCACCAAAAAGTTAGCTTTTTCTAAATGGGTCATGTTGGCAACTTAGTCTGCACTATACCCAACTCTGTTTGTGCTGAGAGTATTTCCTCTTTGACTGAAACACCCTGTTTGTTTTCCTCTGAACAGGAAGACCCCAGGCATCCTACGGTTCCTGTGCAAGTGAGGAATAGACCCTCACTCGACCCATCTGATCTCGGCCCTCTGCCGGTAAATTCAAGTAGTTTGAAAGACGTTTATCAACTTAAGCCTGTATATCTTAGGCAATGCTCTGTGTTGTAATACTGTATATAATCAGAGCAGAAAATATTTTTAAAACCACACATTTAAAAAAATAATTTCTCTTCTCTTCTAGCCTGCCTGGGAAGAGAGAATCCACACTGATGGGAGGATATTCTACATAGATCACAGTTCGTATGACGTTTAATAATAAGATTACATCTTATAAACAATGTGTACGTTTCCATCATACTGATGGACTCTATTATATTTCACAGACACCAAAATCACTCAATGGGATGATCCCAGACTGCAGAACTCAGCTATAACCGGACCAGTGAGTATAGATTTGATTTGACCGATTATTTCATGAATATGATATTAGCACAAAATGAAAAGAGAACTTTATTTATAGTTTGCATATTTCCTGTAAATGTGTATCCTTGACTACAGTATGGGTCATACAGTTAAGGTGGATTTGTACTAAAGGCTGCCCTCTATTGGTTCCAGGCAGTGCCTTATTCCAGAGATTATAAACAGAAGTATGACTACTTCCGGAAGAAGCTGAAGAAACCGGTAAGTGTCCTCAAAGAGCAATTGAAACTGTTAATTCTTCACCACTACTTTTGCCTTGTAAATACTTGATTCTAATGAGGATGCATGCTGCTTCAACCTCTAAGTTTGTTACTTTCACATATTCTGTATTTATACAACTCTCACACGATCATAAACTTCCTTTTTTTATGAACCCAATAAATTTGTCCGTAGGCTGACATCCCAAACCGCTTTGAGTTGAAGCTGAGGCGAAATGCGGTGCTGGAGGACTCATACCGACGCATCCTGTCAGTGAAGAGGGCGGACCTGCTGAAGGCCCGACTGTGGGTGGAGTTTGAAGGAGAAAAAGGTCTGGACTATGGTGGCGTGGCCAGGGAGTGGTTCTTCCTCATGTCCAAGGAGATGTTCAACCCATACTACGGACTGTTTGAGTATTCTGCCACGTGAGTCCAAACACTGCCTCTTCTTATGCCTCCTCAACACTTATATTTCATATTCATATTTTATATATTATGTCTTGTATTGCAGCACTGCCATTCACATTTAGAATTGCACATGTGCTGGAGCTGTGACTTGTATGAAGGAACAGTAAATAAAATACATTCGGGACAGATGTTATGCCTTTAGTTCTGGAAAGAAAGTACCATCTTTTATGCACACCCATACTCTGTAATTGATTTTTGCAAGGATACATTTATGTTGACAGAGTGTCAATGGCCACAATAAGATTCAAATTGCTCATCTTCCTTCACTGTCCTACAATACGTGGTCTGAAAAACTCTAGTTGTGCAACGGAAAAGGAGAATGTGTTATAAGCATCAATGAAAATACAAATGTCAAGGGTCAAAATCCCCCTACAGCCACTGGCTTTGACTTCCTATAATAGCATCAGCTAAAGAACACAATTTAACAAGATGTAATTATTTGGTAGAAACCAGGACAGCTGATTTACGACTATATTTATTCCTGTTCATATTTTTGTGATTTGTGTTCCAGAGACAACTACACACTGCAGATTAACCCGAACTCAGGTTTATGCAATGAAGACCACCTGTCCTACTTCAAGTTCATCGGACGCGTAGCAGGCATGGCCGTGTATCACGGCAAGCTGCTCGATGGTGAGGGCCACCTGTACACATGTTGAGAGCGGGCATTGGGGAGATTGAAGGCATCAGCGCCTTGTGTTGTTGTTTGTTTTTTTAGATTGATTCGGACTTTTTATTTGTGTCCTTCAAAGCTTTCTTCATTCGGCCTTTCTACAAAATGATGCTGCAGAAGCCAATCACTCTCCAGGACATGGAGTCTGTTGTGAGTGTCACAGGAATCCACTGCAAATAATTAACAAATGGGGTCACCTGGCAGATATTCATTTTGAGTGTTGCCTTTTCAGGATAGTGAATATTTCAACTCCTTAAAGTGGATTTTGGAGAACGACCCGACCGACTTGGATTTGAGGTTCACCATTGACGAGGAGCTGTTTGGACAGGTGTGTTCAAACATGCCGTCTTTCCCTTTGCAACTTTTAATTTGTAATAAGTGGTTAACTGTGTAATTTGCATTAAACTGTAATTAATCCTTCCTGTTCAGACTCACCAGCATGAACTGAAGCCAGGCGGAGCAGACATTGTCATTACTAATGAAACCAAGAAGGAATACATCCAGTAAGATTGAGAGAAGAAAAAAACACTTCATTTAATTTCCACAGTATTAAAGTGATGGTTTGTTGCTAATTGGCTGTGTGGTGTTTGACAGTCTGGTGATGCAGTGGAGGTTTGTGAACAGGATACAGAAGCAGATGACTGCCTTCAAAGAGGTAAAAACCTATTTTTAAATTTTAAATAAATTATTTTTTAACGAGGTGGACACCTTTCAAAAATATAAAGTGAGTCCTATTTGTTTTTTTAGGGATTCTTTGAGTTGATACCACAAGATGTGATCAAGATCTTTGATGAGAATGAGCTTGAGGTGAGTTTTCAGACCGCCAGACGTGCTTAAATTACCATTCAGGTTAATTGTAGATTCATTCCAGAAGGATTCATAAGCATGTGTCTAACTGCCGTCTTCTCCTCCACAGTTGCTCATGTGTGGTCTGGGAGATGTGGATGTGAACGACTGGAGAGAGAACACCAAGTACAAGAACAGCTACTGCTCCAACCACGTTGTCATCCTGTGGTTTTGGAAAGTAAGAAAACTTTCAATGCCTGGGACCATAAAACTGTGGACTTCCCATAGTTTATTCCTCTTTTAGGAAGAACTTTGTATTTGTTATTAATTTGTATATCTGTTTGTGTTGCTTAGACGGTGCTGTTGATGGATGCAGAAAAGCGAATCAGGCTCTTACAGTTTGTGACAGGAACTTCAAGGGTCCCAATGAATGGCTTTGCTGAACTCTATGGTGAGATCACACTTTTTAATACTGCATTGTTGTTGTGAGTTATTGTTTTTCTTTCTTGGTCTAGATAATCTACTCTTGTAGTTGTCTTATAATATGAAATAAGGGCATTGTCACATATTTTCCCTCTATACTGTATACATAACACTTCACTTCAATTCACAGGTGGCTGGAACTATTTAGTTAAATTTTAAATTAATTTCAGTGTAAATCAGGTTGTATGTGTTTGTCTAATGTTGGATTTTTTTCAGGGTCTAACGGACCTCAGCTGTTCACCATCGAGCAGTGGGGAACACGTGATAAACTCCCCCGAGCCCACACATGGTGAGCACTTCAACTCTGTTACATATTATATTATAATATTTTCCGATATTTAAAGTCTTAATGCAGATTTTGACAAACAAACTACCCACATTTTAGTGTAGAGTTGAGCCATTAAAATGACTAATTGACTGAAGAAGATGAAGAGTGAAAATACCAGTGAGTTTAATCCACTAAAATGGGGCAGCCGTTATGGCATCATAGTACAACATAGCACTTTCTTAATCTTACCTTACACCGAGGGTTTGTATGGCCATAATAATGAATGAATGAATGAATGATGAGGTAAAACAATAGTTGACGGAGCATTTTGTGGGTTTAAGCCCTCTAGTGGCTCGATACAGTCATGGGCTATTACAGAAATGAATACAGTCTTTAGGCTCAGATTACTAAATCTGTCAAAGTTAAGTCAAAGTCAAAGATATTGTCATAGTTACACAATGGGAAGTGAAGGATCTAGGGTTTATGTACCTTTGCGCATTCCAGGGACCCAAAGTCTAGAAATATGCTGCCACTGTTGCACCACATATGATCTTTCCTCACAAAAACAAATAGCAACTCCAGTTGATACCTGCCATTGTTTATTTTTCATGGCTTTTGCGTGGATGTGATTTTTCCCTTATGTTCCTCATTGTCTTCACCTCATAAAGCTTCAATCGACTGGACCTGCCTCCTTATGAATCCTTTGAGGAGCTGAGGGAGAAACTTCACATCGCCATTGAGAACGCACAGGGCTTCGATGGGGTGGATTAGAGCGTGTCCTGAGATTACTGCACGATGTGGGGAAGTCATGATGATGAAAACAAGCTGTGCTAGAGATGTTTTCACCTGCCAGCTGTGTGACAGATGAAGGAGAGTCACACAACCTTCACTTTGGTCCTCTGTTGAGCCACGTGTGAAGAAAGGACATTAATTCTGGAGGGACGGGGTTATCTAATCACTCTACATCTTTAAAAGTTTACAAAGCAAAAATGCAAAGCTGTAAAGTATATAACAAAGTATATTACCTTTAAAAAATTGTTTAATTTTGGCTGAATTGTGCTTTGATTCTCACATCAGGTACTTGTGAGATTTTGTCTGTACTTTGTAGTTAGTGGGAAAACATGTAAGTTATGTTGCAGCCTTAAATGAATCCCTTAACTTGTTGTCGCAACAACGTGCCAGATGTTTTTTCAACGGAAAATCCTGTGTGATCAATTGGCCAATTCAACCAATTTAATTATTTTCAGTCATACATTTTTCATTCCATCACAATAACTAAACCTAAATATATTCCCCTCAAAAGCATTGGTAGCAGAAAATTGGCAGGTTATATATTATCTTTTGAGCAACTACACCTACAATAAGTGTATTATATAATTACCATAGTAGTAGTGATGTACCAATACCAGGACCATTAGAAGGCTAAATTAATTATAATTTGTAGTTTGTAACTGACTTCATGCAGTGTTGGATTGTGCTGATTTTTTGCATAATTGTACATATTGATATGAGGTCATTGAATATCACCTGCATTTTTGTTCTTTTGTTATTACATGAATATACTACACTGTATATACAAGAAGGAGGCTACGCTCTGCAAAAATGTATAAAGGCATCTATTGTTAAAACTCAAAATTGTTAACTTACCAGATATTGGTGCAACTCTACATTTGTCTTTTATGATCAGTAGCCACTTTTACTCAAGTTCAACAGAAACTAAGTAAATACAAATAAATAAGGTATTTACACATAATATTTGACAGACTTACATCTTTACACTTACACTTTGCATACAGTATGTTCGAAATTAAATCGTGTTGCCTTTTGTCAATGAGTGATATAATTTTGTGTTCCTTTTCTTTTCATCATTGTTGTCTAATTGCGGTGCTCTATTTGTAAGAGTACAACTCTAGTAATTGTTTCGTTGTTTGTCAAAATTTGTACAGATTGTTCATTTCAAACATGACTAATCACATGTTAATAATTTTTCTTCAGCAGTAGTTTTAACATTTTCTGGATGGGACTACGTGTTTACCCACTGCCATGTTTACAGGTCAATGATGAAATAAGATTTTATGGGCTGGTTCTTGTCACAACACAATTTTATACTTTATGCTTTTATACAGTCAAGCACTTTGCTGATATAAATGAGTCTTACTTCTGAACTATCTGAATCTTTGCCAATCTGTCACCTGCAGACCGCTAGAATTGCTCTTTAGGAAAATTGTCCGATTCGAAGTGCACATGTTTAGATGTTTACATGTGAACATTGCTGAAAATAAGCAAATTATCTTCTTTCAGTTATATTTAAAGTTAAATACAGAGGCCTTTGTTTGTAATGTATTGTAGAATTTGATGGTTAATGTTTTAATCTCTAAATGGATGTACCGTTGAATAGCTATTGAAGAATAATGAATAGATCAACATCTAAGTTCGGATATATCAGATTTTCATATTATAAAAAAATAATTTAAACACATAAGTGCATTACAACAACAACAACGTGAATACATATATACAACATTCAAAAGGGTTGAATAAAATGTAGTTGTTGAATACCCATTTTATGAAAAATAGCACAAGAAATTTAATCAAAATATATTTGAGAAATAAAGAAATACAAAAACAGTCGTCCAGTGACTTTGTTCTTCTTGCAGTTGTTCATCATTGATTTGAAGCATGTCTAACTGTATTTTGACACTGCAAAGGCAGTAATGCATTCATTCGACTTTTAAAGGTTTTTCTCAGTTAGGCACACTTTACTTTAACGGCGTAGTAGACTAAAGCTGATTTCATGGTGTATAACAGGCCGTGAGGTAGTTAAGCAGATCAAATGAGTTCCTCATATATTTGTCAACCGCTGTAACTCCTCCCTCGGTTGTCTACGTGGAAGCTACTGGGCTGCTGAGTGTTGTCTGGTCATTTTTCTGTTGTGTCGGCTATCGATACGAGTGTGACAATGTTGAGGTAAAAAACTTACTTTTTTTTTTTAAACAGCAGACTGGCATCATGCAACGAGAGGAGATGGAGCGGGAGGGATCATCATTATCAGTGTCTGGGTGACGGGGAAAATCAGTGGAGGAACAACAGCGGTCCCAACTTTGTAGTTGCTTGTAGTACTTAACTCTTCCAGCTGGGGGAAGTAGAACACATTGTCTTCTTTGTAAAGTTTTAAACTTAACTCGGATGAAACTATTGGTTTAGTTCACATCCTATTTAAGCAGAAAACATTGATTCTTATCTTTCAATTCTGCTGTTGTATGTCCAAATGTCCATTTATGTTACATTCTTGTATTCATTTTAAACTACATTTTAGTGCGTTACATTGACTGGGAGGACAGTCTGTGTGTTTATTTCAAGATAAGTAAGCTGCGGTCAAATATGAATGTGTAATATTTCCCATGTGCTTGTTGATCTTCAGTATGGAGCACTGATTCATAAGTAGTGTTGTGCTGTGGACGTGCTGTGTGGAGACGACTCCTCACTCATAGTCGGAACCTTTTGTTTTACTCAGATCCTATGTTCTCCAAAACCCCCTCGATGCGGCACTAAAAGCCCTCTCCCATACGAAGGGTCAGTGGAAAGGTCGCACACCATTCAGGCCGGCCTGTTGGACACCTCTGGGGTCAGTGGGGAGGGGCATGTGGCCAGAAGGAAGACACAGACCTCAGCCAATGGCAGCAGGTCCTCAGACAGCCGGTTCCCCTTTACTCACAGCCTCACCAGCATTCATAACCTGATTATTACTTTTACTCCATCGATCCGGCCGCAGAGCTTGACCCGAGTTCACAAAAGGCTGACCATCACTTCACCGTACAACTCTGCCATATTGGCAGGTCGCAGTGACTGAATATTTGATTAATTAAACACCCCGGGGAAATCCACACTGGCCATGAATGAGGCTGGGCTCTCCCTTTCCCACGATATGTGAAAGAAGTGCCTGCCATCTGTAGTAACACTGTGTTCTTACACTTACACGTTACTGTGCAATGCACTTTACATGTAACCTGAATCACACTAAACTTTACAGGAAATCTGAGAAGCTAATTGGTTGTATAGTGTCTGTAAGTGTGCTGTGGCATGAGATATTATTTCAATAACATATGTTAAAAGATGTTAAATTGTCCTCTGTTGGTATTATTTCAATAACATATGTTAAAAGATGTTAAATTGTCCTCTGTTGGTATTATTTGAAAAATATATGTTAAAAGATGTTAAATTGTCCTCTGTTGGTATTATTTCAATAACATATGTTAAAAGATGTTAAATTGTTTTGATTGATTAAAAAATATCTTGAGGCCATTGTTGCAACAATTGTGTGAACTTCCCATTTTTCTTACCATAAACTATTAAATCCATATGAAACTCTTCTTTCAAATGTCTTTTTGCCAACTATGAAAAAAACACTGTTTGGGAAGAACACATTGAACAGATGTACTTTTTCAAAATGTAATGTGAACTTTGACTAGTAAATTAAAACCCATTTGTTTCCTGTATTTCTTTTTGATTGCTCACTTAATGAATTTGCGGTGTACAGTACAATTATCACAAATATCTCTGCATGACTCTTCGTTGAAGAGTGCAGCTTTTTCTTGAGTGTTTTTGGTTTTCTGATCGCCAGGACGTCACAGCTGGGCTGCGTGCTGCGGAGAAAGGTTCATGGAGGGAGGAGGGAGGACCGTGGGAGGGAGGGGGGTTGGATCTCTCTTCATAATAAGTGATGGATATTGGATCAATATCAACATTGACACAGCAGCTGTCCTGCTCCTGTCAATGGTTCCTCTTAATTTCAGGAGCCAGGACAAATTCATTTCCATTCACTTGTTTAGTCTGTCATGAGCAGTTGGTATACAGTTGGTCTCATCAAAACAGATTCACTTGTTTGGTGAAGAAACAAAATGTATGAGTGCTGAACTACCATAACTCCAAAACGTACAAAGCTTTCATCATTTTGGTTTCATACCGAGCCATAAACAAAAAAAAGATCTGATTGTAAAGTTACTGACCCAAAGCATGCAGTGTTATTTTGTTATTTCACATCAATGAAAGGAGGCTCCACCAATGCAATGCTTACCAGTAAAATACAGTATTAAGATTAAATCAACTTCATAACTGTCTTGACTATTTATGTTATTATGTTTGTTTAAGATACCTATGTTGTGTTGAAAATGCTACATAAAAAGCTTTTAAAGAATCAACTTCTTCAAAGGACAACTGAATTATTTTTTCTTCAAGAATGTTACATAAACAAGAATATGCTTTTGTTATCAGTGAAATATACTTTTAATGGGCCTTCCACTGCTTTAAAGTACATGTTATTTCCTCAAATAGCAACAGAGACATCAGAACATGCAGCAATGCTGCTATGAAAGCATTTCAGACTTACAAACAACAATATCTACTATCTGCAGCGTCAACGCGGCCTATTCACAGTGTACAGTATACCTCCGCAGAGGGGCCGAGGTGCGGCGGGACACCGGGCTGAGGCTTCAGCTAAGCTAACGCTAGGTGGCGCTGGACTAAACGACTCATTCACACTCACCGACGTGATCATTTGAGTAACGTCCATCCCCGAGGAGGGAAACTCCTGCAGCGTCTCGGGACCGCCGGGGTCCTCCTCAGTGTAGCAGCGCAGTCCATCCGGAGGAGACGACCGCACGGAAGCAGCTAGCATGCGCAGACAATTAACGTAACGTTAGTTAAATGGCGCCCGTCGAAAGGAAGTTATATCAGCGGTTGCTGGTCTTTGTCGCTTTTCTTCATATCTCAGGTAAGGAACGTTTTTTTTTAGCTTTACGTTAACTTAAAATCTGTCGTGGCTGTCCTCGTGACCGCACGTATGAATGTTACCTCATCTCGTAACGTTAAATTAAACGTTAAACTTTACGTTAAGTTTAATTAAAGCTGCTGAGGAACTTAACGGCTGAACGTTGAACGGTCGGTTATCCCGATACTGGGCGTCAGTGAGGAGCATCTCCACCAGTCCGTTAACGTAACGTTAAATTAAACCGTTAACGGTTAAAGTGATTTTCATTAGTCAACGTTAGCGGCTTTAATCAATTTAACCCGCTCTAATTGTTGAAAGGTTTGCTCACTTAACCTAATGAAGTGTCTAACCTCCTTCCAATGCAATATGTAACGCAATCTAAGCCAAAGAGATCACTTTACCGACGAGGGTTTACTAATGCCCCGGATGACGTCACATAGTTCAAAAGCCTCGTGTAAATACTTCATATTGATGCTTTCAAGTTTCTAGCTTCGCAAAGAGTGAACTAGTAGTACGTTTTCAAGTATTACAAAGTATTTAGTTTTAGTTTTAGTTTTAGTATTTAGTTTAGAGTACAAGTTTTGACTCGATCTTCTCAATTTACAGCTGAAATGACAGATCAGCAGTTTGTCATCCAAACTGTTGACTGCAACATAATCCAAATAAAAAAATACCTTTTATCATAGCAAAGCCCCTTCCTTTGCTTTGGGAGGCTTTCCTGCTGTTGCTTTAAATTGGAAATACCTGCAGTGTATCAATGTCACATTGATGTAAAATTAACTCAAGCTCATGCTGCGGGTTAAGTAATAGATTTCTGTTTAAACTAAAGCGACTAATCGGATCAACAGTTTCACCTTCGGCTGCTGACATTAAGAGCTATTAGCTATTAGCAATTGGATTGAAAAGGAGATCCTTGTAACGCGGGCTGATAACCACCTTCACCCGTGTGTTTTTCTTCTCTCTTTCTACAGGTGTTTTATGTTTTAGCGAGTTATTCTTCATCAAGGAGCCCCATGATGTCACTGTCATGCGGAAAGAAGCTGTTATTTTGGACTGTCAGGCACACGGAGAGTCACCCATCGACGTCAGATGGCTCAAGAATGGAGTAAAAGTAGTGGAGAGCGAACGGGTCTACCATCTCTCCAATGGCTCCCTTTATATTTCCGAGGTGGAGAGCAGAAGAGGAGACAAATCAGACGAGGGGCTTTATCAGTGTCTTGCTCAGAACAAGTACGGCGCAATCCTGAGCCAGAAAGCCCGTCTTACAATCGCAAGTGAGTACAAATTGGAGGTCAGAGGGGAAGCAGGTTATGAAAAACTAACCATTTACAGGCAGAGTTTAGTCTTGTGTTCTGGCTGTTTGCTGCTTTTCATTTGCAATATTCATGAGACGAGATTCAGATCTCCCTGCAGGAATGCTTCATAGAATTCTACACTTTGCTTTAATGTGCTGCTCTGTGTTGCATTAGAGGTAACTTTGGTGGTAGCAGAGAGGGAAGACGGACAAAGTCTTAAAAGTAAGAGCCCAAAAAAAAGATGCTGTTTGAAAGAGCAATATGCCCATTGGTGTGCTAATGAAGGGGCAGTTGATTTGAAAGGTTAGGAGCTGTCCAGGAGCCCGGCCCTCCAATGCTTAAGAGCAGATGACCCCTATTGACTGGCTGTGGCTTTCATGTTATTGCACCCTGATCACTTGAAGAATTGTCCTTTTGGAACGCTTTCTCCTCCGCTGCTGTGCGAGTTGGCTTCGTATTTTAAAGGGGGGGGGGGAGGGGGGGGAGAGGCTTCAGGCGGTGTTGGTCTTTTGGGACCTTTTCTCCCCTCCTCCCACACCACAGGCCATGCATCTTGCTGTGCCACTTTTGCAGAATGTATGTTAAAACTTTTACCATGCCGTCAATGCGTTCACTTGTACTAAAAGATGCAAATTTAACATAGCTAACTTTCATTTTATGATTTATTTAAGAAGGCAGATAAGGGCTGTTTGGCATGTCTTGTCCTGGAAACATGGTAATCCTTGTTTCCGCGTCGATCTAGTGGAAGATTTTTTTACTTTGAGGTCTCCATCTCAATGTAATCCCATTAACTCCTCCTGGACCAGTACCATGATTGTTAATGAACTGGTTTCATGGATTGCCGTTGCCTTCAAGTTGTACTTAACTACAATTATCTCTTCTGCCCAGTCTTAAGTCTGCTATTCACTGATACTTACAGGTATGTATAGTTCATTAATTATTTTAGTGGAATACATGCTTTATAGTTTGGAGTTAAGAGGTGATAAAGGCGGCCAGTAAGCTTTAATAGTCAGTTTAAAATGACACTAAGACCTGCTTGAGGGTCTATCTGGAAGCTCATAAAATTTGCACATACCTGAGAAATGCTCAGTTGAAGGACACAGAGGAATCAGTGGGGGTTGTAGCGAGAGGACCCACACACACACAAATGTGAATTGCTGTTTCCCAGTACCACAGCCTTACCCCAACTGTCTAAATGACCAAACTTTATTGCTGGTCCTTCCAGGTCAGCAGGGGCTGGAGGCTTTGCACACAATTGTTCTCTGCCTCACTTCTCTGGTGAAAGGGTGAAAAGCTTTTCACTCTGCCTGCTTTGTCCAGATTGCCCCTCATGCTTGCAAAAGATCAGGGTTTCTTTGGGGGGGCAATTGTTTGTCCTGATATCAGTGTACAGAATAGCTGGATCTGTTCCCCACTGAAAGGCTAATTACATTCGTCGTAAAAGTTGAACATCAGAGATCGATTCTAAGTTTACAATTTGATTGAAAACTTGAGGCGTCAATCCTCATTGAGCAGCTTGCTCTGCTCTACAACCTGTTGTGGTCATTGCAATTTAATCTAAGTTAACTGAACATGAAGTATGATTGTGTGCAGAGGTCTTTCCACATTAATTTAATCATCATCAAAGGGATGCATAATGTAACTAATGGGGAGCCTCAGTGTTTCCCTTTCAGAGCCAATGAGATATCCCTCTTCATCAGAACCACCATTTCCTTTCCAATGGCGTAGGCCATTTAGAGTCCTTTTACATTTATCAAATTGAATCCCCATGATCGTGTACTAAAGCTTTGGACCTGCTAGCTGATCTTTGAGGAATGTGATGGTGATGGAGGGCAACCTTAAACATTGGTTTGCTAAAGCCCAGAGGTGAGAAGGGATCGGGCCACAATGAAAAGGAATGTGACACATGATCCTCACCATGTGACTTTTGTCAATAGACTTCAGATTGATGGGGATTTCAGGAGAGCGGTTCCCTCCTGAGTTAGCTTTCTTCCTGGCCTGCTATTCCATGGGATCCTACGGCATGAAAACTGAGAACAATACCTCATTCCTCACTGTAGGGCTCAGCTGTAGCCCCCCATGTTGGTGTAAAGTAGTCACTGTCAGATGGTGAAATTTGCTTAGAGATGTCAATGTTTACATTTGCATAGACAATCTGGATAATTTTAGAAATGATGGTAGTTTAAGAAAGTAATGGACCGGTCTTAATGTCAATGATCTGCTGTACCCTGATATTATTGACGCAGTACAAGTGACAGTGTATTATAACTGCATCATAGATAACCGTTTTAGTGGGGTTGTTTCTAGCTGGCGAGATCACTTTCACAGATGCAGAAGTTAAACATCTTATACCGCATATATTTTCCATTTGTATTTAAAACTGGGATCAGAATGAGCTTGAGATGAGTTTTTTGAGGGAGCTGCTGCTGTTTATGTATTTTACCTCAATGGTGTGTCCGCAGGCAGTCAGGCCAGGACTACACCATTATTTCAAGTCACTAAAGAATGAACCCCAACACAACAAAAGCAAACCTAGCCCAGTGTGAGGCATAAATACATGAGTGGCATAAATACATGAAATGGCCTCATGTTAGTAAACTCAAAAGCTGGAATCTTTTTTTTCTCCAAAGGTAACCATGGTTCCCTGAACGGCAGGCTCAGAGGTCAGAGGTTTCTTTAAGTTGTTCAATAGATGGAGGGCAGTTAGACAGGACTTATATCTTTCCCACAACAATTTAGGATGCTCATCTAGTTTTATCAGTTGCTGTAACGGTCAACGGTAGACCTACTCACTCACTTATTATATACGCAGCTTTTATTTTGCTATCTCCCACCAACTTATTATTCTGATATATGCCTTGACGAAGTATAAAGCTGTTGTGAAAAACTTTAAATAAACTTGTTGCGATATGGAGATTAAAGACAATGAGGACACTGTCTGTGGTGAGTGGAGGTTGAATGATTGGAAAACTTTGCAGCAGAGATAAGGTGTTGGAGGAGGGGATGAATACTCCTTCTAACACCGCTCCCCCACTGCACTCAGAGGTCATGCTGCTCATGGGAATAGTTCTTTGTTGAGCCAGGCCAGTGGTCACTTGACTGTCCTGCGGTCTGTGTTTAGCAGCAGCACATCTGCCAGCAACCGAGTGATTGATTTGTGGCTTTGCATTCTTTTACTTCTAGCTTATCGGCTCTGTTTTTTCCAAGAGCATTTTATTTATATTCAGTGGGGTCACTAAAAATTTTAAAGGACTCATCACTTAATTAAAATGTGGTGTTTTCAGTAGCAGTTGAGGAATCAGCAAATGTACTTAAAAAGTTATTGTCCTGTAAAAGTACATGTCAACATTTTCATGGGGGTTTCAGTGATTCATGGACCTCCGGATGCTGAAAGCTATCAATTTGGCATTCAACTTGCCGGATCTGAAGAAGATGATCAATTGCACTGTGTCCCCTAAAAGATTGGACCCTGGGGGCCTTCATAGCTATCAACATAGTTGGAATAGGTTAACACTACATAACTGATCACAACCTGCTTCAGACACATTGTTGAAGCTGGATTAAAGTTAACATACTGCCATTTACTGTCACGGAAAACATTTAGTTTATTTAGGAATAACTTACTAACTGCTAAAATTACTAACTATTTTGAATTTTTCGTTTTAGAAGAACATTCTACATCCTTTGTAGATAACGTAGATAGATAGCAGATTCCGTTGTTATCATAAAACAACATAAAATCCATCTTAACACTTTAACTAACAGACAATGCAGCCAAACTCAAGTCTTATTTAAAGGGCAATCTAGTTGACACAGTATTTTTACTTACCCGAGTAAGAGAACAGTTCAAATATTTTTCAAGGAGATGTATAAAATGTACTCTGTGTTCAAAACGTGGATGGCTCCATTGGGGTGTAAGCTCACTTTAGAATTTTCACATATTATCTGCTGTGCCGTGGCCGGGAAACTGACCGCAGTAACAAGAGAAGGGCTGAACTCTTAGTGTTTGTAAGAGGACCTTTGTTTGGGACTGAGCTGTCCACTGACATTCAGTTGGTTGAGCCTCCGGCATCAGCAGGCAATCTGTTGCAAGCTGAAGTGAAGCAAATATATCGTTCTTCTTGGGACAACCTTAATATATTACGCATGTGGAGGGACTCCGAGTTATGCACCTTTAGCTTTGACTCTCGACATTCCTGTCACTTTACGTCAAGCGGTTGGTTCAATGTGTAACAGTTGTACCTCTTTATTCGTTATAGTACCATCAAACGGCACATGTCATCCATACAGAAGAAACGTATATTATTACATAGCTGGATTTAAAGACGTTCCAGCTGGTGAACAAACTAGGACTAGAAGTGTTCCTGTGGGGCTCTGAGCTGGGTGCTAACCAGGATTTGTGGAGGTCAAAGGTGAGATGTGAGATCACTGGGAAGTCCAAACTGTTTCATCATGCATTCTGGGGAATAGGTTTAGGTATGTTTTGTCCTTTATACTACTCCTCTTCTCCGAATAGCAAAGTCTTTATATTTATATGATTTTTGGATTAAAGGAAAGGATGCACATATACTCTCAGTGAAAGTGAAAAACTTAATTTTACTCTCGTTAACACAATGAATAGATAGCTCAAAGCAGATATTTAAAGTAAATCACAAACGTCTCACATGTCTGCTTTGATCATTTCATCTGCACATTTGATGCCCCATGGCAAACATTATCCCTCAAGGCAGAAGGTCAGCCTTTTATTTTCAGCTGGGACTCGCCAATGCTCGACAAACGCTAGGACCTATGGATTTTCCTCTATGTCTTAGTAGTTTATCAATAATGATCGCGCTGTTCGTCAACCCAGCATTATTTGACCAAAAGGCAAAGAAGTGATGCAGAGGATTGTTGCAGCTCATCTCTCATGCCCCGCAGTTATATCGCTTCAGCACATAAACTGCATTTCTGTAAGAGCCTGCATTAAAGCTTAGGGGTGTTTGGGAACAAGGGGGTTTTAAATACCTCCCCCTAGTTTTGTGTTCACATCAAACCACCACAGTGCGCTAAGAGGGGTAACTGCTAAAGACTAATTTGATCCAATGTGTCTATGGCAAAACGATCTGATTTTTTGCCATTAAAAGAAAAAAGCATGATATCAGCACATACACACATACGTGTGTCGTACACCTCTGGTAACCTCCGGTAATTGAATAGTCCAACTCCTACAATAAAAATGAAATGCACCCAGCACCCGTTATAAAATATGTCTTGAAAATTAGCACTGTCAGTTGTGTAAAAGTCATAATTCATTCAATGTTTTTTGGCAGTAAGAGCTCTCCCACTGTCCAGCACCACGACACCTGGCAACAGTGCTTGCACCCGGCCATCCATCATGGCACCCGTAGACACTAGAGTGTGGTGTGTTCACGGTGCACCCTCTCTACCCCTGCGCCACGACGACCGTTTATGTTTGTGTCATGTTTAGTTGCTCATTTAGTAAATTATGAATCTATATTAAGGTTATCCATTTAGGTCTGTGGGTTCCATGCGAGATCCTTCAAAGATTGTGACAGAGTTAAACCAATTTAGATATTTGTTTTTTAGTTGCTTTTTACGGTCTGAATTAGTTACAGATGTGGTTTCAACTTAATGCAGTTTCCTGGTCCTTTCTGTGTCTTCTTTGCTGAGTGCTGATGGCTCACTGCCGCACAATGCTTTGAATGTGTGCACAGAGGTGAAAGGCCACCACAGTGTGTTTGTTCATCCATCACCTGCCAGATGATAGTTTCATCCAAACAGAAGCCTGCCGCTTCAGGCTTCTGCTGCTCCTTGAGCACAAAGGGATACTGTACTGAAGTGGGTGATCGTAGTGGCTTTTATGGCTAATACGGATCAGGACTGTAATTATTAACAAAAATGTCCAAAAACATAAATCTTCAAGATGAATAAAGATGCATACACTTCCGTTGCCCTTATTGTAATTCATGTTGGGCCTTATTTATTTGCTGCCCAGCTGATGGCTGACAACAGCTCAGCTTCACAGAAACCTTACCCCTTATTGCTATGTAGCTGCTCTTCTCCAGCCATCAACTTCTTGCAGCACTCAGCAGGTAGTTTTGGTAGTGAGAATGGATGGATGTCAATAATAATAATGATATGTTTTATTAATGTTGATTTATTTTCTTCAATCTTGTATCATCTTTCCCTGCTCATCATTCTGAATGATTTACTGTCTTGGCTTTGACTTCTAACGAGCTTCAGTTTTCTAGCAGTACACAGAGTGAAATACAACATTGGCTTTTTTGTCTCAGAAAGCATAACTACTACTACTATCCTTCCTGCTTAATGTTAAATGTACATTTTCAATATGTGTCTGAAGATTTATGATAACAGTATTATACTATTTTACTCAGGGGAAAGATAACATGAATTGGTTTTGTGTGTTTTCCTGCAGGTATTTCTGCTTTTGCAATCCAGCCAACACCTGCAGTGGTGACTGAAGGCTCAGTTGCCAGGTTTTCCTGCAAAATCAGTGCTCACCCTCCTTCCATCATCACTTGGGAGTTCAATCGGGTCACATTACCCCTCACCACTGAAAGGTGTGGACTCTATTGGTCTAAGTTTAATTTTATTGTTTGAATTTCTGCAGATCTATGACATAGTATTTGATCGTTAATTGTTTCGTATTGTATATATAAATCCTGTATCATATTTCTGTCATCCAGAATCACAGTCCTCCCCAGTGGTGTTCTCCAGATCCACAGAGTGCAGCGGGCAGATGCTGGAAATTACCGCTGCATCTCCACCAACATCGCCAGCCGCCGCCGAAGCACAGAGGCTACCCTCACTGTCTTCCCAGGTGTGTCAGTAAAGTACATAAATCCAATAGTATAGCTGTAAAATCCATCATAAAGTAGAACGTAAAGTACAACGTGTCTGGTGTAGACATTTACCCAAACCCACCAAATACAATGGGTGTTCTATTATTGATTCTGTTGCAAAATAATGCAATATCACAGTGAAGTAATTGTCTCTCTCAAGCATTTGTACACCGGTCAACAGTTTGTTGAAAGGCTTATTTTTTTCCTCCCATAACACCACACGCACTAAAGCTGTCTCCCCCCTATCCTTGCAGCTCCCAGGCCTCAGCTTCCTCAGAGGCCACGTATCATTGCCGGGCCACAGAATATTTCGGTGTCGCTGCATCAGAGTGCCATCCTAGAGTGCATAGCCACAGGCAATCCCCAACCCATCATTTCCTGGAGCCGGGCAGACAGCAAGTCTATTGACGTTTACAGTACAAGAGTGTTGGGGAACGGCAACCTCATCATCACAGACATCAAGCCCCAGCACGGAGGAGTCTATATGTGCAGAGCCACCACTCCTGGCACGCGAAACTATACGGTCGCTTCAGCAAATATCACCGTATTAGGTACAGATATGTTCTAGTTTGTATATACATGTTTATATTTGTTCTGATAGTTCATAGTTCACAAAAGTTTTTCTCATTGATGATCTTCCTTTAAAGCGCCTCCTTCCTTGGTGGAGTGGCCTGAGAGCCTGACCCGTCCACGTGCCGGTACCGCCCGCTTTGTGTGTCGAGCTGAAGGAGCTCCAACGCCTCAAATCACTTGGCTCAAGAACGGAGATAAAGTTCACTCCAATGGTCGAATCAAGATGTACAACAGGTACATTCCAGCTGTCCTTTAGAGATCCATCATTCTGTTTCTCAGTCACATGTATTTGCGTCTGTTTGCACAGAGATAACGGAAACAGGAACCCTAACTCCTTTTACTGCACGATTAAATTGTTTGTTAACAGTCCTTGTTGGCTAATTGTTGTTATAAATACATAATTCACTACTCTCACTACAATAAAGAGGAAACTGAATCATTCAAAGGAGTGTGAATCATCGGGTTTTAGTTTGTTTCCCTATCTTTGCTCCAGTTCCCTTTTCTATCATTAGTGCTTGTTAGGTATTTATAGAATGATTACATCCTGGTCCTCAGTACGAAGCGATCTGTCTGCACACCCTTCATTGTGTGTCTCTGTTACATAGCAAACTAGTCATCAACCAGATCATACCTGAGGACGATGCCATCTATCAGTGCCAGGCGGAGAATGAGCAGGGATCGGTTCTCTCCATGGCGAGGCTCATTGTGGTGATGTCTGAGGATCGGCCAAGTGCTCCCAGGAATATCCAAGCCGACACTGTGTCGAGTTCTGCCATCCTTCTGGCTTGGGAGAGGCCGCAGTATAACTCGGATAAAGTTATAGCTTACTCAGTGCACTACATGAAAGCTGAAGGTGAGTGGCAGAGCAATCCAATGACAGATAACAGGTGTACTGTCCCCAATGAAAAGTTAATGGTATTTATTCGAGTTCATGTTTGTGGCCTGTAAAAAGAGAAGAGGATAAAGTTACTTATCACTGCCAACGGGGCTCCTCCATACAGCCCCATCAGGCGGACTTTTGCCAGCAGGTGCATGTGGAGCTCTGGGGAACTCATGACCAGCCAGATTGCAACGACATAAAGCCTTTGTCTGTTTGGCTGTTCAGGAACTTACATTATGCCACTTCCTGTCAAGAAGTTATATCGTGGGAGCTCTCTGTGTTGTTAATGCTAAGTTGGTGAGCAGAGGTCAAGGGAAGAAAAGAGAAAAGCTGCACATGAAGAAAAACAACAAGCTTTGTCTTGACACACAAGAGAAGGCCTCTATAGAACCTCTACAGGCCTTACTTTCAGGATGCAGGTTCCTTTCCTTTTGGCTGTTAAAATGTAGAATGCACACAGAAGTATTCACTTAAGGCACAAGGGTTGACATGTGGCAGCAGGAAAGCCTTTCAGCTTTCCTGGGAACTCTTGCTGTTTACAACAAGAGTCACATTCAAAAATTCTGTATGCTCATTCAAGCACTACACTTAATTATAATGTCACTGACTTCCATTGGGGAGGTGAAATGTACAGAATTCAACCAGAGAGAAAGGAACACCTGCTAGATTTAGTTGGGGATAAGGAGGTCAACATAAAAAATCCTCTTTTTGGTTTATTGAATAACTGGCATTTGTCAGGGATTTTCTGTACTTGATTTAGTGACACAATTTCCTTGGTCTCAGTCACAGAGAATGGCTGTTCACTGACTTTGAGTATTGCACAGCACGCTCTGTACCCAAAGTTACAGAGAAAGAAGCTCAGGTCTAAATGGAGGCTCTATTGAAAGGGGGAACTAATTAGCCGGTGTGATGGAGTGTCCATGAGTGTGTATTCTGTGCTGGCTGTAGAAGGCTCTGAATTGACAGAAAGGCAGACTTTGTAACACTTTTCTGAGAGGCTTAGTGCTGCATTCAGACTACTAAGAAAGCTTTTCCTGTTTTTTTGCTCTTCAAGTATCTTGTTTACCTTTTGAAAATTCGACCAGGTCTTTTTTATCCTTGAAACAAACTTGTGTTTTGTTTGTCTTTGCTAATCTGCTCTAATGAAATAGCTTTTAAACAGAAGGTAATTTGTTTACGTGAATCTGGAGATGAATGTGTAAAAAAACAATGCAGAAAGTGCAGGAAGTGAGCTGCTGTGTAATATTTTGTGATGACAAGACTACCCATTAACATTTTTGAGGAGTCTTTTACTTGATTTTAGAGAACATAAACTGTATCCCCATTGTTGATTAAACTACCCACATATTCAGTTATGAAAACATTAAGAAAAAAAAGAAGAACGTGAACCATGACCATATTTTTGCTCTTTGTTTCTACACTTTTTTTGAGGGATATTAATATAATAAGCATAATAGAGATATCAAGTACAATTGAATTTGTTTGGCTCCGTTCTGTAAAACTCTTTTTCAATTTCATTTGTCCAGGATTAAACAACGAGGAATATCAAGTTGTCATCGGAAACGATACCACACGTTATATTATTGATGACCTGGAGCCGGCTCGCAACTACACCTTCTACGTAGTGGCCTACATGCCCATGGGAGCCAGTCGTATGTCGGACAACGTGTTCCAGCACACGCTTGAGGACGGTGAGGCTTATGCTCACTGAAGGTCACAAACAATTCACCCTTCCCACAGTTAAAACAAAATCAGAAGCGTGTTATATACTGTGTAGAGCGTGGGATGGACAGGTAAAGAACCAACCAGTATAATGGACCAGCACGACTGTTTTCCTGTTATCCCGGTGGGGGTTTTCTACTGAATATGTTAACTGCAGTGAATGAGCTTTGTTTTTGATGTAAATGGCAATCAAAGTAATTTTACACGGTGTATATGCATGTACGTGTTTGTCCCATGCCCCTCAAGCTCTTTTGAATTTCAGCAAACCTCATTTTCTCATTCAAATTAATGAAAAGGTGTGTCCAAACTTTTGACTGGTAGTGAATTGTGATATGGTTTATTTTCTGAAAAAATAAATGTAAAAAAAGATTGTCGCCGAAGACCACCACTGCAATGGTTTACAAAATGATATTATCTCAGGGTAAATATGATCGCCCAACCTTAGTTTCTATCTAAAGTCTATCTTCTCGACCGGTGCGGCGGGTAAAGCTGCTTCAATTAGGCATCGCACTTTGCCCGCCACTGATCCCCAATTCTAAGGTTCCCTTCTTTCCTATTAGTTAAGACAAACTTTCAGAAGGAACAGCTATTCAGAGCATAAAGGATTGCTTCTTCTCTTTTCTTGGGCTCACAGGAGTTCTTCTGGTCTTGACTTTCCTCTCTTGTTGGTCCACAGTTCCGCTCCGTGCGCCTGAGCTCAGCCTCACCAGTCGCAGTCCCATGGACATCCAAGTGTCTTGGCAGCCCCTTCCAGACAAGCTGAGTCGTGGCCGAGTCTCTGCCTACCGTTTGTCCTATCGCACTAGTAGTGAGAGTACGGTTTCACAGATCGAGCTACCTGGAGACAAGACCCAGCATTTCCTAGAAAACCTGAAGCCTGACACCATTTACCTCCTGCGTATTGCTGCTGCTACCAGCGTCGGGTGGGGTGAGCAGTCTGTCTGGACATCTCACCGCACTCCAAAGACATCTAGCGCTCTAGGTACAATTTTCAGAACTGTTGTGTGTTGCCTCAAACTTGCAAGCACTACGCATTAACATTGTCTTCTGCTTAAACCATGAGAGAATCCGGAGAGGAGTTTGCTCTAATAATCTTGTTAAGGCATTGCGTTTGTTACTCTTTGACCTTTGCTCTGCACTGTCAGTAACATTGGAAGGGTTTCAGTCATGGGTCATAAAGGGAGCAATTCAGGCCTCTGGGTGGGAAAGAGTATTTGGCTTTTTTGAACCACATCTAAAGCTTCTAGGTGGGGGAAGGGAGGATTTGTTTTTCTTGCCGATTTCTATTGTCAACAGTGTAAACTCAGACAGGATTCTTCTTTCGGCAAACATTCCTTTTTTCAAATAAATGTATAAATGTGTGAAATTTCCATCAGACTGCTAGTGTGACTGTCTGAGGTTTGCATTGTGTGTGAAACAGCTGGGTATGACATCAGTTGTTAGTTTCACTTTTGAAAGAAATGGTTAGGAACCTCCTCTCTGAAGGCAAGAAACAACTTGGTGAAGAGATTCCAGCTTTCTAAGAGCAGGTTTCTGTTTCATGAAACAGATACCTGCTTCAGACACAAGCCGAGCAATGTCTCTGAAGCAGCACTGTTTATTTTGATTCACATGGACTTTTATCTGGAGTGCTTTTGTTTTCACGGACCCAAAGAGATTACGTGAAGAATTCTGTGTTAGTGTAGGATTGTAAACAATCTTGACATCATTATCTTAACATAAATATTTTTTGACTGTTCTTTTTATAGTTCCTATGGCTCCTGAACTGCGTTTAGAGCCTCTAAACTGCACCGCTATCGTGGCGCGTTGGCAGCTGGCCCCCAGGAACTCAGTCAGTGTTCAAGGCTACAGACTCTTCCACCATGAGGAGAGCCAATCAGAGAGGTCCCCGGTTCAACTGCGTGCCTTGACAAATACATACACCTTTGGAGGCCTCGGTGAGTGTTGTTTCAGATCATTTGAGTTACCTGCAGCCACCTGTTATGCAGGTATTCACACAGTATATTTGTAGTCTACTTGTGAATACCAACAATAACAAAACCCAAAAGCTTCATATTTACATTGGCCCGCTTTATACATTTAATTATCTCATTTTAGAGCACCATGCTGCACACATTTGCATATTGCCTATGAAAAAGTACTCAATTAACTCCTTAATTGTTAAAGTATAAGTTCCTATAAACAAGGGTGTGATGTGGAAACGGTATACGTTTGGTATCACATATAGGTATTTGCCTTACTAGCACAGCACATAACATCTCATTATGCTAGTGACAGGTCATTATGCGGCTGAAGTACTCTTTTTCACATATTAGTGTTGGAGGCAATGTGACAACATAGTAGAATGAACATGCACACATAAATCCCTAAGAAAGAAAAAATATATAATTTAAAATGTTTAAGCTCACAAAACTTTAACGGATATAGTTTGTGTTGGTTTAAAGCAGTAGCATGATTTAATTGGCTTATGTGTTGAGCCGTCCTACAGAAAAACACCACATCCCACTTCCATGACCTCCCAACCTCTGTGCAGGATTTCAAAGTGTGCGTCTTTTCAGCAGCTGCTGAATGGTGTTTTGGACATATCGCAGCTCTAGGCTCTAGTTCTTAGGTCAACTTTTTGGGGGCTTTTTTTTGTTTGTTTGAATGAGGAGAGGGGGCTCAGGCCAATGCAGTGGACAACTGACCATCTGTGGCTAGAGGGGTCAACCAGGTGGTCAGCAGCTGACTTGTAAATCAGGAAGCTCAGTGCTTGTAATCAGAAAGAAAGAAAGATGTAGTGTCCCTATAAATTACTTTAGGCGTTAACTCCAAACAGTGCAGGCATTTAGTTAGTTAGATATTGAGTCCAATGGGTTAAACACAATACAGCCACTAGGAAACCAACGCATCTCCTCTTGTTTCCATAAAATGACAATGATAAAATAAACTTATTTAGCCAAATATTACGTCAAGCCATGGGGGCTAGTTTGATAAGTTTGTCTGAAAAAACTGTGAAAAATCTTGTTATGTTTTGAATGTCAATTATTTTATGTTATTGTTAAATTCTTATTGTTAATATGGAGCACTCTTGTTTCTAAAAGTGGACCGAGTGCTCTTTCCTACTTCAGATAAGATTGCTTGAAAGGTTGACTAAATGCACTCACTCACAGCTCCGGATAAATATTGAGCCAATGAAACAAAATGTGTAACAATAAGAAATCCTTTTGTTCCTTTTTAATAAAGGAGCTTTGCGCACAGGGGTGTCTTTTGAATAGAGGGAAGCTGTTCTGTGATGGCAGATTTATGATGGGTTTTATGACTGCTTTGAGCAGCGTTGCTGGAGGAGCACTGACATCAAAGACTCATTGTGTTTGGCTCTGAGAACCACAAACATAATTTATTAGCCGGAATTTGACAGAAATGCAACCTCTTCCCAACTGGTCTGTGGGCTAAACAATGAGCGTGTCTTGTGAGCACACTATCTTGCAGTACTTAGATTTCTTTCTCATGAATTAGCGCATCAGCACTGTGGAAAAGCACCCGACCGCCTGTGTGGCAGCACATTCTGCATGCTTTCTGCTATTAAAATATCTGCAACATTTATTCATTAAATATGGGACTGACCGGTTGGTCACAGGTCACTGCCAGTCAGCTGAAAAATGTCCGGATTTGATTATTCCTACTGGCGTATCTAAGTTTGCTAATATGAGCCACATAAGCTGTTGGTCAAAACCTTTGAGTTTAATGAATTGTGCAGAGCAAATTAAGAATTTATAGGAACATGAAAGCTCTCCGTTTTGTGTCCTTCTCAAAGCCTCAAACCTTTAAACTTGTGACACCTGCTGCGTAGGGCTGATAGCCCTACTACATACGCTCATGGCTAATGACTCGAATAATAGCTGCTTCCTCCGTATGTCGGCAGTAGTATTATTACAAAATGCATCATTTAACTGCACAACCGCTGCTATAAAAGAAAACAAGTTCAGCAAGGTCAGCAATGCCTGTAATCAGTTATTCATGTTAAATCAAGCTGGTGGTCACCTGATTATCAAGGCTGTTGATGATAGGGGCGGGAAAGAATTGGTGAAGGACACGTGACTGCTAAAACCAAATCAAGTAACTTCAATAACATATCTAAACTCCTCAGTTTTCAGTGCACAGGAATCTAGCAAAAGATATGCGTTTCAGAATGGAAACACATTGGTGGGGATGCAGGCAAAGAGTACATTTTGTGAGCTTGAGACCATCAATTGATGACTGTGGAATTTTTTGAGCAGGTGATTACTTTGCAATCTGCTTTTAATATGAATGGAAATTCCTATTATGCAACAGAAGCCATCATTCTTTGCCAATAACATTATTACATTTATTTCTAAACTGCCAGCCACAGTGGAGTTGGATGAAGCAAATGATGCTCTTTGTATGACTGCATAAGAAGCTGGCTGTTACATTACCACTTATGACCAATCCAGATGATTGAAAGCACATCGTGAGAGACAGGAATGTGTTTTAGAGTATTTGGGTATAAATGACACAGTGATGTGACCTTTCCTTGCATGTTTATTCTCTGCTTGGTTCATCAGACAAACATGTAGCCGTAGTCGAAGCTTAAATACCTCTCATACCTGTTGGCACCAGGAAGCGCTGTGTGCACAACTGTAGATTTACCTCATAGCTGCAGGCCATCTTGCATGACTTTTTTGCTTTTTGAAAAGTGTGCTCATTTTGAAAACTAGATTGGTACTACATCGTTATAAGACAATACTTAGTGTGGTTTTCAGTATGCCTCCAGGTTGATTTGTGTGGGCGAGGGCAAAAGTGAGAGGGGGAGGTGGAAGAGAGATGATAGATGCTGGTGTGAGGGTTCATGCAGGAGTTGACATTTATAGCCCCTGTTCAGGCCTGGCTTGCTGCGGCCTGGGGGGCCTTTCGCAGGGCAGAACAAAAAGCTCTGAGGCCAACAGGATCTGCATTTTGGCTGTTAAAAAAGGGTGACCACAAATGGCTAAAATATGTCCTTTAATACACACAGCTTTATTTATGAAGGTAAGGCCAGGTGAGAGGAATCTTATCTGAACGCAGCACTTAAATAATGTAATTACAGAATGCAATGTGAAGTTATGCAGCCATATGTTATCTTTGGTAACTCTAGTGCTACATTTCACTGCTATATCAGTTCCAGCTAAAACAAAGTAGAATAATTCAAAATAAATCAGCACACATTTCCATAGTGGATTAATCCTTGAACTTTTTTTTCCTGATCCGGACACTGTGTTATCACCTTTTAAGTGGCATTTTATTTTGACTCTTGGTATTTTCCTGTTTTTCCACTCACTTCCTCTGCTTGACCCTCCCCCGCTCAGAGTGAGGCCGACCACCCCTCCTTTTGCAGGATTTAGCTTGCCCAGGTTCCATGTCAAAGGTCGTGGCCCAGATGTCACAGCCTCCCCCCTCGCAGAGCCACTCTCTTGCATAATTACGACAGGCCCATTGTATTGTGGGGATGGGTAGAGGTACAAACTATGTGCCTGCTCCTCTTTAGAGGTTGACACTAAGGCAAATCAAACTGGGAAGAAAACTGCAGGCATTCTGGGTTTTTTTATCTCTCGCAAAAAAAAAGAAATATCTCAGGAGAATTTATTTCCCTTGAGATTAATCTATGCTTGACAACGGTTTACCCTGTTCAAACAATTCTTACAGTATTTCATGGTATAATTTATACTGGAAATTGGTTGTTTAGATGTTTATTCTATTCTCAATTTTCATTGAATAGTCATTTTTGGAAAGGAGATTTTCTGAGCAGAAAAAAATAAGGCTCATCTCATATTCCGAAACCGTGACCGCAGACTCTTGCAGGGTTTAATCTCTGCCTGACCTGCTGCCGCTGGTCTGGCTCCAGTGAAACTCCTGAGGGGTGTATGGGGGTGCAAGAAGCAAGGCTCCACCCCTCCTAAACTTCTTTAAGCTCCATGCACACAAATTCATCTCCTGTGGTCCACCCCTGATCAAGAGACCCCACAAGTCTTATACACCAGTAGAAGTATGTTTTCTGCAGAATAGAAGGGAATGCAATAATAGTAATTGTCAAGATTATTTTGGTGTACATTTTCAAGTAAAGTACTCATGTTAATTTCTTTAATGTGAATTTCCTCATGTGCTTCTGTAAACAACACGCCATCAAGAATGTAATGCTTTAGAATAACATCAATCGCATTATATAGTTGACATAGAGTGATAGTAGTGAACACAAGCAGTTTAAAGTTGCACTTATTGTAGGGGGAATTTCCAATTAACAAACAAGCATCAGACATCGCATCGATTGCAAAAGCACACTATCAAGAATGGAAAGTGATTCTACTCCAACTCATTTTAAAGTTCCTATATTTTAGATGAAAAACAGCTTTCAACGTAATTTATCAATATATGCATTATATGTATTGGAAAAGGGATTTTCATCTTTCCATCTATGCATGACCAAGCATTTAATATGTGTTCAATGAAAAGTAAAAATATATAGGAATGGAAAAATACGACCCAGAATATCTCAGTTCTGTGCAACATTCAAAGACCCTGATTGTTATTCCTTTAGGCGTAAAGGGGGCATTTGGTCAGATGGCTTTTGTTCAGCGCCAAGTCTTCAGGGTCACTGAGGCCTCAACTGCTGTTGACCGTCAGCAATGTCCTTCCCAGCGGATTTTGCCCCGTCGATTTGACCCCCAAATTCTGAACCTGAATAGGAGTGGCCACTGACCAATGACCAGCAGGCGCCACCGGGCTGTAGAAAGGGCCTTCGTACGATCTCAAAAGACTCGAGGTGACAGTGTGATGGATAGTGGAGCTTCTCTGTTCTGCTGCAGAAACTGACCAAAGAACTTAAGGCACTGAGCATCTGTCACACTGCCTCACCTCTGGTTCCCACCACACCATCAACCAAAAAAACCTCACTGACCCCACACCCACACAACCCGAGTCCCTTTCATGTATCACCCCTGCTTCCTGATAGCTGGAGGAATCGCGTTGTCATCTGCCTTGGGGTTGTGGCCCAGGGTGAATAGTTGAGTGTTGGTCAGAATCTGTGGATGTTGACTGAAGTCTAGATCAGAGACTGCTAGATGTCTGATGTATTTTGCAGTGTTTTACATTTCTATGATGTAATTTATTTTCACACAATGGTTGGTCTCTCCTCTTTCTTAATGTAGACCCACGGAAAAAGTACCACGTTAAACTTTTGGCTTATAATTTTGTGGGAGACGGCTACCAGGCTGACCAGACTATCAGCACTCCTGGCTGTGTCTGTAAGTCCCACAATATACTTGAAAAACAATGTTTAAAGTGTGTCTGACTCTTGTATTTGAACATTAAATAACATCACTTTTAATGTATGTCTCAGCTGTCAGAGACCGCCTCGTGCCGCCTCCACCTCCTCCACATAACGTGTACACCAAGACTAACAGTTCGACCTCCGTGTTTCTGCACTGGGGTCGACCAGCCTTCACCTCCAGCCATGCGGTCAACTACACTGTCCGCTGCAACCCCGTAGGCCTGCAGAACGCCTCCCTGGTGCTCTACCTGCAGACGTAAGACATTCTTCATAATGCAACTTTTACGTTTCTGCAGTTGTAATCCTTATGTAGAACTATGACGAGGTGTAGTCTTAAACCCGTATTTTATGATTTAAATATCACAGCCTCATCTGAGTCATAACACCAAAACCGTTTCCTTACAACAATTTACACTTAACAGATTTACTTACACTGACACAAGTTTACTGGCAACCAGCTGCTTTCAGTTGTTTCTTTTCCACCATTGCCAGTGCAGCTCCCTATCACCCTCTGCTGGGCAATACATTTCATAAAGAATCAGTTTCACACAATCAAGCTTCACCAGACAAAATGTTTTAATGGCTTAATGTAATTGTTACATATTGAATGTATTTTTTTTATTCTGTTGACATTGATTTTATTGTTTTTGTGTGATCTACTCAACTAATATCTCAAAACCTAATCACATTGAACTGTTTTGGATTATTGATCCTCATCTAGCAGAAAGGAAATGTAGTACATTTTAAAGGAACCAGCCCCTATAAAGCTTCTCTTATGTCTTCCTCCAACAGGAGTGAGCAGAACCTCCTGGTGACAGATCTGGAACCAAACACCAAGTATGAATTTGCCATTCGCCTTCACATCGACCAGCTGTCCAGCCCCTGGAGCCCGGTGGTCTATCAGAGCACCTTCCCTGATGGTGAGCTCATAATTATTAAACCATTAAATCTTACTAGTTATATGTATGTGTGCTGGGAGTTTGTGATTGCTGCTGCAATGTCATTTTGTTTGACCTTGTTCTTTTAATCTGCATCCACACAGCTCCCACTCTGCCCCCCTCCAATGTGAAAGTGACTCTGATTGAAGAGGATACAGCGCTGGTTTCATGGAAACCTCCAGATGAACCCAATGTAGCTGTGACACATTACACCGTCCTGTATGCCTCGAGAAACGCCTGGATAGCTGGGGAATGGCAAGTGCTGCAACGAGAAGGTAAGGAGTGTGGAGAGAAAGAGGTGATACAGGTATGGAGGGCAAACCACAGAGATCCTCCTGTCCCACACCAAAGGGTCCTTTGGAAATCATTAACTCATTTCATCCTCCCACTTGTTTCTGTCTTAATTCTGTTGCCAAGACAGGTTTACGTAGATTAAGTATTAATCAACCACCTACTGCATCTTTAAACTCATATTCTCAATGTGAATAAACAAAAAGAAGGCTTCAATTACGTTTTAATATGGGTTTTGTTGTTCTATAGCAGGTCTAAATGTGCTCTTTTAAACAGAATTCAGAAGCTTTTGAAGCTTTTAAAACAAAAACATGTTGTTTGCCACATTACAACAGTTATCAGTGAGCCTTGAGCCTTTTTGCTTGCTGAATTTACACTTCGAATGGGACAGTTATAATTTGCGTAATGAGTGGGGATTGTGTCAGACACATAGTGACTCTTTAAAGGACAGATTCACAGAGATTTAAACTGCACCTAAGATTTATCTGTTTATAGATAAGTTGTTGTTTTACATGATTGAGGGCAGAAAGAAGGTTTACGTTTTTTCCTCAACAGAAATAAAGTGAGAAGTCTTCTTAAAGCAACCGTTCCCGTCCGTTACAGGCATTGTAAAGCTGTCGCTCTATCTGGTTTCTGGGGCAACAGAAGTGTTTTTCAGGTCAAATGACCTCAGGAAATCAAACAAGACACACTACTCCCCCCCCCTGTTGAAGGAGTCAAAAGTGAAGCAGTTCACAAAGCACCTCCAACTCAGCCCAACCCCCATTGCCTTTAAATTGAACTCTTCGGTCGCTGATGGGACCCTGGCGGTGTGTAGACTGGGTGATACTGGATGAGGGAATGTGTTTCTCCCTGATCCTCTGACCTCCTGCTCTTCGCTCACATAGCACCTCTCCGCTATAATGATTGTTTTTTATGTTGGTCTTTCAATGTGTTAAATATTAACACCGAACTAAGTTTGTAATCACAAACTAAAGTAAGTAAATAGGGTTCAATAGACAAAATCCCCCTTTTCAACATTAATTTCACAATGTGCATTCAATGTGCAGTTAAACAGTTGAATCTCACCTACAGGAACTATCACCATGTCACTGCTGGAGAAGCTGAAGCCCGGCCAGATTTACTTTGTGAAAGTTTCTGCGTCCAACCACATGGGCGATGGGCCTTTTTCTCATACGATGGAGCTGACTGTCCAAGCAGACTTCTCCTCTGGTCATGATCCCCGGCTCTCTCACGGCTCCACCCACCCCACAGGTCAGTAACATTAGCGTAATCCTGACAGAATCACTTTAGGAGGGTTTTCTTTTCATATGCATTGAAATTGATTAAACGTTTTCCAACTGGGTCTATGGCAAATGAATGATCGATACAATGTTTGTTGATCCTTCACAGGCTTTTCTGATGGCTTCTACCACCTAGACCAGAAGTCAATGACAGGGATTACTGTTGGAGTCTGCATCGCTCTCATCTGCATCATCATCTGCGCTTTCATCATCGTCTGCAGAGGGAAAAATAGGTACTTATTATGTCTGAATGTTTAGAAGCAGCAGCTGGTACATAAAGTGTCTTAAAGCAAAAGCAAACTGTCCCGATTTGACTTCTTGTTTGTTTCCTTCCAGGAAATTTTCAGCAGCTAAAAAATACGGAGAAGGAGTGAACACATCTGCCTCAGTTACAGCACATCTGGGCTCTGAGGGACAAGCTGAACAGGCTGACGTGAGAATCCCGGTGATGAGCCAAAACCACTTCATTGATGCCAAGGTACTTGACACTGAGTACAGCAGATGACACGCTCTCCAAAATCCTGAAATAATTTTGGAATGTTGTTTTTGGTCCAGCAAAATTATTCAAATATTTTATTTATAAATAGTTTTTGGGAAACATTAAATTATATTTTTCAGAAATATGAATTGGTGTGACCTGTTGTTCTCCGAACAACATAAAATGTAGTTGCAAGATTTCATCCGTCATATTTATTTTAAAAACAGCCACGTTTATGGATCAAATGTTTTAATACTTACATATAATTTTAAATATATATTCATATATTTTCCCTCGTAGGGTGGGACAAATCTCGTTATAAATTCTCTTGGCCCCGTTCGATCCTGCACTGAGAAGAAAGAGAAGTGGTTTTCCTTCAGCAGTAACGGGAAAAAGCACAGCAAAGCAGTGCAGGTAAGATGCATTAAGATGAGTCTTTCTCTACAACTTGTATATTTATTGCAAAGAAAAAACCTCAGTTCATTTCTTAACAGAGTTTATTGATTTCAAGGTACTCTCTTTGTCCTTAATGAAGCCTCAGGCTGTATATAAATATGACTATATAGAAAGTTGCCTCTTAAGCAGACCTATTTTGTTTGCAGTACTCGGCCTGAATTGGGCTCAGTAGTACTTAGTCTGAGGAAAAGAAGACCTTCTAACTTAAGCTTGTGAGGGAATTTTGATTCAAGATGTAAAGACGATACAGAGGTTGTTGGTTTTTTCCTGTAAGAGCAACACAATGAAGAGTAAAGGAAACACATTTCATTCAGAATTTCTATGTATAGGGCTTATCGGGAATTGCAATACAGACTGGAAAATTGTATAAAAAAGTTTTCTGAGGCTCCTTTTTCTAATTTGGATGACAGCATGTAAAGCACAAGATCATTTTCAACGATTTGCTTGTGACTTCAAGACTAATTGAAGCCTAACTGAATGTTCTCTGTGCTGTAGAATATGAGACACGTCTCTGCCTCCTACCAGCCCGGGACCCCTGTGTTGACCTTTGAAGACGAGCTTTCAATGTCTCCAGACCAGCCCATCACCCTGCAGGCCCTGCTCTGGCGTCCCGGTGACTCGGAAGGCTCCTCCAACAGCGAGGAAAGCCACGCAACCGGTGATTCGGGTCGTTACTCTCACGACGAGACCGAGATGACCAACCTCTCATCCGGAACCGGCAGCCGGCCTCCGTCTCTCACCACAGAGGACGGCTGCAGCGCCGGCTGCAGTGCCGCACCCAAAGGGTCAGACGAGCTGGGGGGAAGTCGCGCTGGTCTGAAGCTAATGGAGTCTGTAGAGAGTGGCTGCTGTCATCATGAAGCAAAGAGCGGCTCTGAGTCTGAACTTCCTTTCCAAGTCTGTGTGCCTAAGTGTGTGTGAGACTGTTTGCGCCTGTGTGTGCGTGTGTGTGTTGGTGTGAAATTGTAGCGGCAGTGGTACACATGCAAAAAGTTAAACTGCATTCGGGTAGAAACAGAAGACATGAGCAGATCCCCTCATGGACATATTTTGGGGATTTTGGGAGTTATTCATCTACTGGTGAAACTTTCATTAGAAGATCGATACCATTTATATATAAAGTGGTTTCCATCTTTTCATCTAACTCTATCTACTCGACTAGCATGTTTCCCAAAATGATTCCTTTTAACAATTTAGCTGCTACAAGCAAACCCAATTCATTTAGAAATTCTAAAATTCATCCACGTAAACTTCCTGCAGTTATTTTCTGTTGTAAATGTACCAGAAGCCTGAATGTGAGTATGAGAGAGGTGTGCCAAGCAGAGAGAGCCTTTTTATCTTGGTCCAACACGCAATGAAGAGAACGCCGACAAATGCCTTTTAGATTTTGGCAGGGAGGGGTAAATTCCTTTTACTTTTCTTTTTCATTCAATGAATGTCTATATTTTTCTTTTTTTTATGTTTTATTATATGTTTTTGAAAAAGAAAAAATCTCACCCACCATGAATGTTTGTAAAGAATGTGACAAAAAGTTACATTTCTGACATTATTTAAGAGTTTATCACTGGAGCGAAAGGGAAGTGTGAGTCCTTTTCACTGATTATCTACCTCGGTTTACTTACGGGTAAACTTACACTGTATATTTAATAACTACTTATACTTCCTTTGTTTTGTGATGAACTTCCTCGGTCTCATTACATGTTATACTTCCTGATGACTTTTCCAATTGTCATCCAATTCTGTCTCTTTCACTTTCTTTGTCCTGTTTTTATGGATGGTGAGGGCGCTGCAGCTTTCTCCTCTCGCTCCACCTCTTGTGTGGACTGAAGGCTGGGAAACATACAGTTTGTTATTTATCTCCTCAGGTGTTGCTGAGGTACTGAGCCAGTATTAATAGTGTTTTTTATCATTTTGCCCATTATTGATTAATGGTGTGAAAAGATAATGTGTGCTTTTGTTTTGTATGTCGGCGTGCAGCTGCCCTCGCTATTCCTGTTTTATACTACCTCGATTAAGAATTTATTTTATTGTCATATTATTTTCCTAAGCTTAGGGAATGAGTTTAGTACATTTGAAAAGTCATGTAGTGTTACATGCTTAACTGACAGGGTATCTTCTCAGTACTAAACTGTTGTAGAGTGTAATTGCCTAAGAGAATGAATGTATCTGGAGTTGTGCTGCCTTCCCCAAAGATGAAAACCCCCTGTGGTTTCTCCTCAGGTACTTTAACATCTGTTTTTCTCAACAGACTTTCCTTTATTGACTTCTTCCTTTTTATTCGAGTAAAGATTCACACCAGAAGTGCTTGCAGTGGCGTGTCGGTAAAGAAAAGCTTTATAATTGGCCTTAATGTGGGAAAGCATCCCTCAGAAGTGGAAACCAAAGCCTAATCTTTCTGAGGGAAAAGCTTCACGTGAGTATGCAAACCGTGAAGGATGATTGTAGTAAAAGCAATGGGAGTAATAGTGCTCAGTCAAAGAGGAACGTGAAGAATTGAATGAACACCATAAAACTATATTTTTGTTAGAAGATAATGTAGTACTGAGTACACTTTGTGGTTACCTTTTGTTCCAAGTAGTGTTCTTGTTTAGTTGGAGAGTAGATAAAGAGTAGCACTTGTTTGCCAAGTAGTTTTGTATTATCTGCCAATGTGCAGCGGTGACTGTGATGCTATTAACCAAAGAGTTGTTTGCTACCTTACTTAATTTTAGTCTCTCAACTAATCTCTGGCAGAAGGTTACTGAGGAATGAGAAATAATCTAAACGCATTAGACCAAAGATGAAACGCGGCCTTTGAGATCAGTTGAAGCCTTAGTGGCCTTGGCCCGGTACAAGGAGAAAGAAGATGCGGGTTAAAACTCTGAGGAAGTGCCAGCAGGAGGAACCGGCACTTCATGATAATGGAGTTCCGATTCATAATCGATGTTATGCACACAAATCAAATTATTCTGTCGCAGAGTGCCTCAAAAACTGTTGCAAACGGATATCTGTAAATTGTAGGTGAAAATGAGTAAATACAGTATATTATATTGAGTAGTGTCTGTGTTGCAACAGTGCAGTCGTGTGAAAACAACCACCCACTGATTTTTATCCTGAGGTTAAATTAATTTATGTTTTACGATTTAAAAGTTTGTATTTGGTAGACTTCCTCACATGGTAGATACTTAAAATACATTTTAAACAAGGAAAACTTGTCTGGTATTTAAATTTCATGCTTTATATACAGATCATTTGTCAATATGACAATTCTTTGAAAGTATCATAAGATAGTAGAAAAGTCAGTGGGCCCTCAAAAGTTTTCACATTTCTGTATTTTTAATCAGAGGATTCTGCGGAGGATTCAATCATGAACATTTTCGGGATGAAAAGTGACACAATCAGCTTAACGTTTTGAAAAGCAAACACGGTAAACCAAAGATTTACAGGTCACCGTTGCGTATTGGTATACTGACAGAGATCCGTTGAAAAGAATCTTATCTTTGTGTGAAGTTTTGTCATTGTCTCATTCATTGGTGTATAATATGCTGTAGTAAAAGAAAGCAGAATGAGAGCTGTTTCTTAATCATTTATTTTGAGTAATTCAAGTTTTATTATTTTTAATTCTTTTTTCTTTTATCGATTGAGTCGTGATTGTCTTTGCAGAGTAAAAGGAGGTCAAGATCCTCCTGCAAATATCCCGAGATGTCGGTCTGTTGTCTTTCTTCCCATCAGTGTCTTATGTTGGAACAATGTTTCTGTCCAAACCTGTGAATTGAAAGGGATGAGACACCGTCTTGTTTCCTATTTTGTTTTAATAATGAGGTGGAGCGCTGCGGGTCATTTTTAGTCTCAGGGGAACCCATAGCTGCTCCTGCTCAGAGAAAAAGCAAGTTTTAAGTCTTGAAAATGGAATGTACCTTTTTGTAATAATTATGTTTTCTGATATGTTCTCTTAATGTTTTGTAATATTTTGTCTTTGTCAGCAAAGTCAAAGTTGTTTCTTTGCCCAAAAATGGTTTAGTTAGGATCATTTTGACATTGTTTAATCATGAAAAAGTCTGATTCTGAATGTAAATAAAAATTAAAAACTGCAACATGTCTTCAGATGTTTTTACTGAATATATTGTCATAACTTTCCATTGCTTTGGTTTTGTGCAACTGCAAGGAGGGTCATTTTTTCCGCAATACAAGTTGTTCCATCAACTTCAACATTCCAGACAGGAAAGTTTTTTGTAAATGAACATGAACACACGTTCATTAACGTGGTTTTAATAGAATAAAAAGCGGGTTTTTTAACCTTGAAGTCGGGCAACAACAACACATTGTCGTGATTAAGCTGTGTGGTGTGTCACGCTTCCTTGTTTATGTTCCTTGCGGTTTGTTTTTAACCTCGCTGAGCACGTTTGACCACCGTGCTGGCTTATGGGAAATGTGGTTCTAAGACGCCACTCTGCGTCTACACCCGAACCACTAAAAACTACATTTCCCTCCTCCGATGTTTTCCGTGTTGTTAAACGATAACCTGGGTCGGGGCGCCCTCACTGCAATACCTCCCGGGCTCCGTGTAAACAGCTTCCTCGTCGCCCACCGCAAAATTCCGGTGAGTTAACTACATCACTTTACTTTGTCACACGCTATTCATGTTTAAAAGCCTGCTAAAATTAACTAACGCTTGCAATAAGACACTAACTGTTGTTCCGAAAATGCCCAGAGAGAGGACTTCGATAACCGACGTTAGCCTCTCGAGTCAGTCAACCGGCCGTTAAGCGACCCCGCGCGCTCCGTGCTAACGGACGATGCTAACGGCTCGCTAGCGGCTCGCTACCGGCTGCGGGGAGACGCTCCTGCTGATGGAAGCTTTGTCTTGTTTTCATTGTCAGTAATGTGTCAGCTGCTATCGCGGTTCATCACCGATAGATGTCACTGTTGAAATGTGATTCTTCAGTTAGTGGTATTATTGTGTGTTTTCAATGGAGCGTACTCGCGGTTCATTAACGTTAACTGCTAAACAAATAATGTCTTGAAGGGGCCTCGTGCTGATGTAACGTTAACTAGTGTATAAAACAATATTTTAGCCATTGAACTTGAAAACCTCCTTAGAACGTGAAGAAAAGTCCCTTTCCACCCTACAGGAGGAGCTGCGAAACCTGCGCTCTGAGATTAGAGATCGGGAGGCGTCAGGACACGGGAGCAACTCCCTGCTGTCAGAATTGAAAACACTTTGAGATGTTTCTATGACAACCAGATCTGGCACACAGTAAATGTAACTTAAGGATCAAACAATTCCACAATTCTGTTTCTATTGCAGGGTACTTTCCAGTTCTTCACATACTAAAGTAGTAACGTTAGAGTTAAAGTAGAATAGTCAAACAGGCTTAAGATTTTCTGCTCCGATACACCAGAATAAATAAATATTATGACTCATTGACTTATTATTGTTGTCAATGTGCAACCACAGTAACAGCCGGACACCAGATAAAGGAGGAGAAAACCGTGTTTATTTGTACAAAACTCGTAAAAGTTTACTATTCTATAATCATGCACAATAATAAAATACGTTTTAACTGTTAAAACTGAAGATTTACAATGCTGTTTTTCAGCTTGTGACACACTGACAGCTTATTTTTCTCACCACTAACGTTACATGTTGTTTACAGTTTGTAACCTTATCATCTCTTTTAGATCACGGTATATTGCTGACAACTGACAGAAAATGTCTGAGACGTCAAGTGATACAGAGTCGTCCTGTGGCTGGACCATTATTAGTAATGAGGTATGAATCCTTTTTTGTTTGTATATCCGGCTATTTTCATTTCTTTTTGTATTCTTTTTTTTCATTTTGTGAATGCCGCAAGATGAGTGGAGTCCAGCACGGCGTTTCTCTTGCTCCTCCATTGCTTAATATTGTACGTCTGCATGCGTTGGCTGATTTATTCATATTTATCACATGATGCGGTAGTTATGCTTTTGAATGAATCAATATGTATTTCTCTCATCATGCTCAGTTTTAGGGTATGCTTCTTGTTTTTAAAGGGTTCAGATATTGAGACTTTGGGGTTGGAGACTGAGCTGTTAGCGGTGCCTGCAGTGAAGGAAGCAGAGCTGCAGGATCAACAGGCGTCTCTATCTAATGGTAAAAATCCTTATTATAAACAATGTTTGCCGGGTGAGATCAACAATAGTTGATATAAGTAATATTAACTACTAATTATGTAATTTGGTTTTCTTTGATACGTTGGCCGTTTATGTGCGGACAGGAATATATGGAACTAGTAAAACAAGTGGGAATCAGCTAATGTCATGCCAACCGCATTTTAATGAACTCTTATTCCAAACCTGTCCAGCGGTTTTCTTTGGCTCAGTCACATAAACAGGAGGAAGAAAATAAATGCATCTGACCATCAGTACCAAATTACCAAATGATTTAAATATGGCCTTTTTTAATAATAACAAGTTTGGTTCACTCATCTTAATTTGAATGTTACATTTCCAGCTCAGTGTGTTGAGGAGAAGGTTGCGGAGTCCCTCGACGAAACTCTGGAAGAACCAACTGTAGATGAGACATTGTGTGCTTCAGAGGTGAGAAGAATATACAAATACCCTTCAGGGTGTCTTTGATTAATTCAGATGCTTCTCCTTTTGCCTTCCAACTTCAGTATATTGTATCTTCCCCAGCCCAGAGATAGCAACTCCAAAGGGAAACAGCATGTGGCTCTGTTGTCCTCAAGCGATCACTCAGATATTGTGACTCTCGGAGACTTAAAGGAGGGCGAGCACGTGGAGGTGGAAGGGGAAGAGGAGGCTGCAGCTAATGAAGAGTTTTACCTGGGGACCTCCTGCAGCAGCCAGTATGCCTTCACCGCAGCAGAGACTGGTAGGACTGCTGCACCACGTAAACCTGTACACTCTGCTTTCTTCAAGATCTCCTTAGCAGGCTGACTTAAATCAACCAAATAACCAACATGGATAAATTGGACAAATCAACACAAACTGTGTTCCTCTGCCTTTTCTTCTACATGATCAAAGCAGGTTTGATGTTGAGTCACTGGAAACTTCCACAGAGTCTTGTGAACTTAGGCTGCCGTCTGAGAAGTCCGATCACTGGGGGGCCGCTCTTTTCCAGGTGTTCTGATTGAAACTTCAGTGAATCTGATATGATGCAAAGCCTGTGCAGCAATGAACGGAACTAATCCTCATCAGCTTCTGACAAGAACACACACTGTTTAATAACGTTTTCCATCTGTGCTTCTTTTAAAAAAAGAAAAAGCATGATCAACCACGTATGGAAAGCATCCGTGTGCATTTAGATCTTTGTAGACCTGTTTACCATATAGTAATAGTTTATTTAATATAATACATGATAGTATCAGTGATTTTAAAGATAAGATGCCTTCATATCTTTGTACATGACCAGATTTATCTGCCTACCTAAAGATGCCTTCATTCACACTTTTTAAGGCCCATGATTTGTGTTGAATATTAAAATACAAAATTGAATCAAGAATTCGCCACGGTATTGTTCTGTATTTGATAATCAGTTGATCTTATTAGCATGATTAACCTCGCTGACACATGCTTTCTGAGCCTGCTATTGTTGCACTTTTTTGTGTTCATTTCTTTTCAGAAAATAATGACAGCAGCCATAACTTTGTGTATTATTCTTGTAGTTTTCCTAGCAAAGCAGCCCACTGTGACAAAATCCAGCAGCAGTGAGGATGAGGCAGGACAAAGCCCGGGCGCTGTGGTCCGCAGACGAAGGTTGAGGAAGAACACCGCCAGCGTTGTCACAGAGCCCGAGGAGGATGTGCTGGGGTCTGGCAGGAGTGAGGAGGAGGAAGAGGAGGTCAAAGAACAGAATTGTCAGCAGCAGGAGGAGGAAGAAGTTGGAAGTCTGGATTATCGAATGCGAGGCCAGGGCGGTAATACCCTCAACAGCTGTATCCTGATCTCCCTCGTCATCGCCATCAGCATCGGCTACGGACACTTCTATGGTGAGAAGTTTACCACGAAACTAAAATGATTGATGTTTTTGTAAACATAGATTTTTATTTAAACGGTATGTGACCTTCATCACCTGTGACCAATGAAATAATCCCACCGGCCGTTTAAGAGTTCATCTGGTTTTGGTCCTCTGCTCTTCTCTCTTCTCAGATGAGGTATTGCGTAAATTTGTTGAATTATCGGTCTTATTATCGTACAAATATCTTGTTTCTTTTCCAACAGCACCATAGTTTTCTTTAAGACCAAGTGGAAGAGATACTATGGCTGCACGGTTATGGACAAAATCATAATCATCGTTATTTTGAGATCACGATTGTTTATCACTTATTCATTATTGCACTTTAACGTTTAAAGGGACAAGAACACTGCTACTACTTTTATTGTTGTGCTACATTCCAGCTAATGTGCACATTTTTCAGGTGGTTAAACAAGTTCGTTTTTTTCAGGTGGTTAAACAAGTTAGTTGTGTTGCTATGCGCCGCATACACAACTCTAACACACTCTGGATATGATTAGTTCTTGGCTAACATATGATTAGTTCTTGGCTAACATCACTTGATGTTACGGATGATGATCCTTTTCGAGGGACTAGCGTCTCACCTTCTGCTCCTGACATTTGATTTACCTTTCACACCCATGTAGTCTGCTTTGTTCTGTTGTCGCTCTACCCTTCTACTACTGCTACTTTCATCACATGCCAAGTGTAATGCAGAAATGTGTAATATGTGAATAATCTGTTGTGTTACAGGTACAGTCCAGGTTCAAGTAAGACAGAAAACTGTAGATAAAGTTGGGGTGAATGAACTTGATGTTGTGAAGGATTTGATTGAACAACATGTTGGAGAACAAGCTTTTACAAACCAGGTCAGTGAAAACAACACAAATTAAACAACAATAAGTTAATTTATGGTAGAACATATTACAATAGTCATTGTCTCACTCTGGTTGCGCCTTTTGACCTCTTTGAAGTCTTATGCATTATACTAACCCCTAAGCCCAACTTGTAGTTTATTCTTCATTTTTGTTTGACCAAAAAACGTATAATGATACTGTGTCCAAACGGAGTTGGTTAAACTTTGGGCTGTAGTTTATTGTGTTGTCTTAGATCACATTAACACATGTTAACACAAGATCATAATTATTATTGCTGGCTAGGTATGTAAACAAAGTGCCCATAAAATAATACTTGAAAACAACTATAGTGAATGCATTAAAATTCACCTGCAAAGTCATGAAATATATCATTTATTTGAGCTAACACATAAAGAATATAGCAGAAGTCTCGTAAGAACTCTAGTAAGGTAGTATTTATTTTCATTGCATTACACCTGACCAAAATATCATCAAAAAGCTCATAGTCAAGTAGTTGTAGATTCAAACCGACTTTGAACAATGTTGTATTAAGTCGTTATCGTTTTATTTGGGGTTCATCTAGTTATTTGTGGGCCAAATATTTAATTGAGTGAGCCTTCGCTTCACCTTCAACAATCACGACCTGTGTAACAAATGAATGGACTTGTGTCTCTTGTACCATCCAGATCCAGACGGGTTACTCCGGATTAGATGAGAAAAAAAGGATTTCAATGCTCACAGAGATGATTGAGAAAGTAAAAAAAGAGAACCAGGACCTCATCATCAGACAGGAGCATATTCAGGTACTTCTTTGGTTACATATTAATGAAATGTTGAGTAACAAATCAAAACTGAACCTAAAAATGACTTGTATTTGCCCTGTTACGTTTCGTTTTACTGCTCGAATGCTGAATTAAATGTCGTCCAGTTAAATAATCACATATATCAACAGCACTTTAAAAGCCATACGTTTCCCTCGTTTGTCTTCTTGTTGTTTCCCATCTTTTCCCATGAAGGCCCAGAGAGATGACCTGGAAATGCTGCTCAAACAGAAAACTGAGGAGAGGACCAACATTGGGTCTCAGCAGCAGACGTTGACAGCTGAGAACCAGCTGCTGAAAACCTCCTTAGAACGTGAAGAAAAGTCCCTTTCCACCCTACAGAAGGAGCTGCGAAACCTGCGCTCTGAGATTAGAGATCGGGAGGCGTCGGGACACGAGAGCAACTCGCTGCTGTCAGACATACAGGGGCTGAAAGACCAGCTGGATGAGGAGAAACAGTTGATCAAAAGCCTCCACAGCCAGAGGGAGGACATGGTGGCTGAAGCACAGACACTGAGAGAGAAGCTTGACAAGGAGAGAACGGTAACCGGTGAGCTGAGGAGAGAGTTAAATATGCTGAGGAACCACATCAAAACATCTGGAAAGGAAGCTGGTTCAGACGCAGAAGAGCTCCAATCCCGACTGATTGAGCTGGAGAAGAAACTGAGCTTCGAGCAGCAGCGCTCCGACCTGTGGGAGAGACTGTACGTGGAGACAAAGGACGACCGAGCTAAAGGAGACACAGAGTCAAAAGTGAGATGGACAAAAGAGGGCGTGGCGGGGAAAGTGAAACAGACGTTTGATGCCGTGAAGAACTCCACTAAGGCATTTGTCCATCACCACAAAGAGCAGATAAAGAAAGCGAAGGAAGCTGTGAAGGAGAACCTGAAGAAGTTTTCAGATTCTATCAAATCAACTTTCCGACACTTCAAGCGTTCGGCTTCGACCTTCATCAACAAAGCCAGCGGGTTTTCTGATCAGAGGCAGGCTGAGAGGAACAGGAAAGAGTCATGGAAGCACAGATTCCACAAGTCTCATCACAAACACCAACGCAAACCTGACGATTCCTTCCACAACAATCCCGACGCGCAAAAATCAGAGTATAAAGATCATGACGGTCAAGACGCCGACAAGAGAAACTCGAAAGGATGCTCCGGCATCTTTGACTGCGCCTACCAGGAGTCCAAAGTCAGGGAGCCAATCAGAGCCGACGAATTTTATCCGCTGCTGCAAAGCTACGTGCACCAGGAGGCCGACCACTTCCACCACTGGAAAGAGCTGGAGTCGTTCATCAGCGACTTCTTCCACGACGGAGTCTTCATCCACGATCAGATGCTGTTCACAGACTTCGTCAGCGTCGTGGGAAACTATCTGACCGACATTCACCAGTCGGAGCATCGCGGCGCCGTATTCAGAGACCTCGGTGACTTTGTTGACCGGCACTTTGGAGAAGCTTCTAAAAAGAGCACTGGCCCAAAGTAAGTTATAAAGGATTTGACTTTATTATTGGGTAGGAATCCACACAGTATTATGCTGAAACTTTTTCCAATCCTTTACTAATACTTTCTGGTATTAAATAATATAACTTTCATGACCTAGAAGAGTCCCAACCAGACGTCTTTGAAAGGGCACGTAAAACGTTTTACAAGCCGGACCCTATTTTTCTGACTGTTGTCTCCAACAATCACTTGGACAGACAAGGGGATATACTGTATATGGTCCAGGTTTAAATAAAACACTCGAAATTGCAACGCCGAACTGTCATTTTAATTCTCAGGTTGTACATAAAGCATGTGGTCCTAATGCCACGTGCGTTTTGTGTTGTGACCCCACAGCGGGCCATTTGAAGGACCAGACTCCGACTCAAGGGGGTCGAGGGCGCCGCATCCACCGCGAAGGCAGCAGAGAGCCAGACCTCGACCGCACAGTGAACGCAAATGGAGCCGATACGGAAGAAACGCAGACAGACACACGGCCGACGTGAAAGTAGAACTGGGTCCGTTGCCGTTTGATCCAAAATACTGAAAATTTCCCCACTGATTTAATGTTTTGATTTGTGTTTAGATGCAATATCTCCTTTTTTTTGTAAGTTTGCACAATGTTAATTTGAAATGCTACTGAACCTCCTTGAACGGTTTTGTTTTTAGGGAATTGTTACTTTTTAGAAAAAGATGTGGTATACCAGAATCAAATTCACAAATGTGAAGGTAAGACACTTGTAAAAATGTAAATTTTAGAGATTTTATTACTCAAAGCAACATCGAAACCCATCTTCAACCACTGTACCTACATTTAGCAATACACATGAATTATCGAGCTGAAACATAGTTCGGTATTTTCTTTGATTTGAACAATTTGGATAAAGTGTAAATTCCACATTCTTGGATGCGTTTGTTTATAGCTGTTTCATACAGAGTGAGTGTGTGTTGTAATTTGCTCTCAGAGTTAAGATGCATTCTTCTAACATTCCACCTCTTGCTTATTTAAACGGGACTTGAATGTTTTGTTTGTTTTATTTGCACAAGTTGACAAAAGGTTACTGGAAGAAATAATCTCACCAAATGTATGTTTGAAAATAAAGTTGGTGGTATAAATCAGACATCTGACAAATGGTATTTCAAAATAACATTTAAAATATTTATTTCACGAAGCAAATCTATATTATTTGACATTCTGCAGAACAGACATTTTGCCATTAGTCCAGTGTTATCAATGCCTTTCATAAATAAAGATGCTTCCTCCAACTCTCCCCTCTGGAAAGTGAGTATGAAATATCTCGGCCGTCCTCACAAATTTATTCCCTTTCAAAAAAAAGGAGATTTCCTACAACAAAAAGCACAGATTTACATAAATATTACACCATTTTTTGAAAAATACATGGGAAAATATAATTTGTAAATATCTTACCTTCTCCAAAACATCAAACAAAACCAACATGGTCGGTATAGAAGATTTGTATGGAAAAGAAGTCCTGAGCCAGCGGAGAGGATCGCGGTAGAAGCGGTCCGCTTCATCGACGTAACCTTTCTCTCCGAGATCTGGAGGACACTCGAGGAACCTCATCTTCATCGGGCAGTGCACGTGGCTACGAAGTCGCACAGTCAAAGACAAAGGGTCAGACTTTCTTACTGTCTTCAGAAATGGACTTTAGCATTACTTACCTGATCTTTGGTCATATATTTTCTGCAAATCACAATTCTTAAATTTATATTGAATGCAGGCAACATTCTTCTGCTTCTATTAAAACAGTCACTGCTGAATTATGTGTATGTATTTAGCATACTCGGCTATTATGAACTACATCCCGTCCTAAGACATAATAATGCACATTAGTGTTAAGACTTCGATTTGATCAAGGTCCCTTGAATCGACGTAATTGAGCTAACCTGTAGTAAGGAGTCGAGTGGCAGGGCATGAGGAAGAGGACGTCTGGCAGCGGGGGGCTGGAGGGGCCGCTGACGTTGCACCGCGTCTGCAGGTGGCTCATGACGTCCAGGGGGCCTCTCTGGTGGATCAGGCCGGTGTACAGAGCTGCTGCCAGGTTGCTCACTAACAGGGCGACCGCCGCAGTTCGTCGCCACGCTTTTAAATTAACCAAAGATATCCCTGTAGTAAAAGAAGTATTAAGAGATACATCTGACTGTTGATTGCTGATATTTTACACATGAGATAAAAACTTACCGCAGAAGATCATGCAGAAAGGAAGCACCGGATAGATGAATCTGAACTCCTTGTGAGGAAGCAAACTGAAGGGAAGGATTCAAACATGTCAGTAAGCTGCCGGGTTTTGTTTTTAAAAGCTTCATGTGGAGTTTTTTAATATCATTATTTCAATATTATTTTAAATGACACAAACAAAACAAAACAAACTATACGAACATTTCAGTAAGAAAATAATGATCACATCAAAAAAAATAAAAGATGGCGTCTGTGGGATGAATCCTTGTTTCCGATTGGCTCTGCGTACCCTGGGCGTAGTTGTGCTTAGTCACGTGATCACACTAAAACTCTAACGATAAGCACTCTGATGAATACCGTTGCATGAATGTGAACACGGACATTTTTACCTGTAAACAGTGATTGTCCAGACGACCGCTGCCAACAGAACCTTGTACTTTTTGAAGGCGATGCTGCACCCGTGAAGGAAGAGCGGAAGGTGAGGGCCGATCACGACGGCAAAGCCCTGAGTGATGTACCAGTGCCAAGGATGAGAGCCGTAGAAGTCCGCCACACTGTGCAAGACGTTAAACTTCAGGAAGTTGAACTGCACCACGGTCCACTGAGAACCAGAGAGGAACTGTTACACCTGTAAAGTACTCGTATCAGCAGCTGTTACTGTATTCTAATGACCACATGATGGAGTTTTGGTTTTACCTTTTCATAAAATATGCAGTCGATTACTGTTGAAATCACAACCGCCAGAGCTCTAGAAATGAGGGCAGCAAGTCATTATGGAATAGAGGTGTGAGGATGAATCAGATTCAGTTGACGGGAGATTAAAAGTACAAACCCTATAGGAATCAAGCTCTGAGTGATGAGCCTCAGTTTGTTATCTTCCAACCAGAAGTGGTACATCACCAGAGGAAACCACACAATCAGGGCCGTCGGTCGAACGACGACAGCCAGGGCGACCAGGGTCAAATACATTTTGCTGGAAAATCATCAATAAAGTGTTCAATATATGATAATGATATGATATGATATGATGATATATCATATGATAATGATAATTGATAATCAATAAAATAATATACTTTAAGGAAGATGATAATCGAATATGAGAAACACGTTGAGACCTGTTGTGTGTTTTGGATCCAGGCAGTGGGAAGTAAGACAGAGCCAGACAGGTGATGGTGGTCTCCATGCTGTTGGTCAGAGTCCTGGTGCAGCAGTACCATGAGAACCACGAGCACATATGGCAGAAGAACTAGAGACCAAAACAAGAAGAGGCTGGAGGACGAGTCGTGTTGGGGCGATCCGAAAACAACGTGAAGCTCTGTTTGCAGAATGAACCTCGGTGAATCCCACAGTACTCCTTACCGTCCATTTTGCAACGTCACGACTTTCCAACGTTCGGATGAGAAAGAAGAATCTGACATCTGCAAACGCAGCAAAGAGTGCTTGAATTATTCGTGGAAGCCATATCTGCAGAGCAAAGCAGAACAGTATGAGTGAAACAAAGTGACTGTATGACCTGTACCTTTGTACAGATTTGTATACATTAGAAAATATATGAACTTGCCAGGAGATGAACTGAGTCGTAGTCAATGAAGTATAATATCTTGTATATGAATGCAAAGAGGAGCGGATAGGTGAATCCTCTTATTCCTTCCTTCCATTCCCAGGTCACGTAGCCATAGGTGACACAGTTAAGGTTAGAATAAGGTAAGAAGATACAGGTGTCCAATCTAAGGAGTCTCTTTACATGCAACTTCTCACTGATAAAAGATTTTTTAACAATCCAAAAAAGCAGAAGAAGTCTTCACACGCTAAAGTATGTCAATGTGTTGTTTAGTTTGGATGAAACCATCAAAGATTGTACCTCTCTCCCCTGTTCAATGTCTAGAATAAACCACAACAGAAGTGAACTCTTACATGGTGTCATTGATCCAGAGGTTTGATTGCAGCACCTTCTCACCAGCACAGCTCTCATACAGTCCCGATAGATGATTTTGAATAATAACTATAATCCACAACAGTCCGGGGACATAGTTGCAATGTCAAAAGGATATTTGAAGACCATGCGATGGGAAACCTCGAGAGACTGCCAGTACTCATCGGGGACGAAGCTGGTTTGAACCAGGAAGCAGTTGATGAGTCTGAAAACCACGGCGAACCCAACAACTCTGCTTCTCAGCTCCCCTGTGGAGTTCAAGATGAACCGCTTCATATTAGTGGAACTGCAGATTTGTTCTCATCACAGTAGCAGTTCTTTGGTCCCACTGCTGTATTTCAAGGATCACATAAAGGGAACCGACCGTGGTTTGGACTTTCATCTTCCTTTGAGTACAGTTGGGATTTTCTCTTCCTCAGCTTCACATCTTGGGGTTTATTTCCGAATTTAAGACGTGTTCGGATGTTCTCCATCAGGACATTGTGTCTCTCGGCTTGCTGCCTGTCACCACAGTGCACCTGTCAGAAGTATTACTAAGTTAGATGCAAGTATTAACGTTACATACCTATAACGTACCTGTACGTTCAGTCAGAAGCTGCTTCAAAACAACGATATCCTTTACTTAATTCAATTAACGGAATATACATTTGTACAGTTGTTTAACAGTCACATCTTCAACTAATACGATAACTCATTTATATCAACCTTTATATCACTTCAAGCTGGACTGGACTGGACTTCACTAGTGTGCTTCCGCACTCAAACATACTTCCGGCGGAAGTTACCTTTTTACTTCAAAGTAAAAGGGTAAAAACGCTAAAACAGAAAGTAAATATTAGACGTGATGAAATACAATAAAAATATACATATTGAATCAGTTGATTCACATGATGTAATAACTATTTAAGAGTATACCTTTCCGAATTATTAAATCTGAATAAAAAATACATGATGTACTTGTATCTTTTATCAGCTGTGGCGATGGCGATTAACGGTGACTGCACTGCGGAACAAGATAAAGAGTCATTATTAATGACTGTTCTGTTTTGGACATGAACCTAAACGTGTGGTACGGCAGCACATCCACCATGGACCGCAAACGCCTGCAGAGAGTGGTGAGGACAGCAGAAAAGATCATCAAGACCCCACTGCCCTCTCTGCAGAGCATCTACCACCGCAGTGTTCACAGGAGAGCTGCCTCCATTCACCCCCAACATGGTCTGTTCACGCTTCTACCCCCAGGCAGGAGGTACAGAAGTGCCAAATGCAGGACTACCAGACTAAAAAAGTATTTTTCCCCCACTGCCATTAGAGCCATCAACAGCTGAGAGGACTCTATAACCTAATTCACAACTGGTCTGCACTTTAGCTTATTAGGATTTCACTTACTGTTACTGTACTGCTAATTCATATTGCACACATTTAATTTAATTTAAGTTTTTTCTTTTACAACCTGCTCAGTTGTGCACTTTTTCTCCTTACCTCATTTCTGCCTTATCCTTACCTCATTTTTATTTTTATTTCATGTACATTTATGTATGTATTAATGTATTTTTATTTTTATTTCCAGAAAAGGCAAGCACAGGAATTTCAACACACAGGGCGTGTGTAACTTACAATAAAAATCTTTGAATCTTTAAATCGGGTGAGGAGCAATCAGGCGGCTGTTTACACCACCAGATGGCGCACTTCCGTTTCCGCTGTTCTGTCATATTCAAAGTAGAAGAAGAAGAAGGCTTCTCCTGCTGCAGCACGTAAGTCCCCTTGGTGCACGTCTGCACATCTGGTGTTTTGACCTCTGAGATACTTTTTGTCTGTCTGTATTTGGAGATTACCAGTAAAAGGTAAACGGCCTCCGCGGTGAGTTGTAAATATTTGCTATTCGTACACCAGGTACCTCGTCTGTTTGAGTTGTATTTAGCTGACTTAACGCCGTGTGGTTCGGAAACTGTCAAACTGGCAGACAGTGACAACATATCCGGTCTGTTTGTTTTAGATACAATACTTTAAAACGTTTTTAATTTTAGGTATCACTTTTCTATAACTGAATGTTTTGTATGACCATGAAATCATCGGCTGTCTAATGAGTCTAGTTTGACGTTTTTGGTTAAAGCTTTTATTCTAACATATTCTCATAACACCGGTCAACACTAGGATTATACTGCCATCTCACACAGGCTTATCTAACATAATTTGCCCTTTTCCAGATCCAAGCATATATTTGATGGATTTGAATATATACGAATGATATATTCCTAATAATGCCGGTGAAGAGCCCCTGTCCAGTTTTCAGCTTCAGTCCTGCTCACAAATGAATAAATAAAAACACAGTGCCTTGGATAACACCACTTCTCTCTTCTTCTAGGGTCACCCTGTGTCTCTACATTAGGATTTCACATTGAAAGAAGCCATGTTACGAAGGAGAGTGCCCTTCTCACAGATCGCCGTAGCAACACTGCTTGGAATCGCTGGTGGTTATTATATTTACAGACCCTATTTTGAGCCGGTGCAGAAGTCCTCAGATCAACAAAACCAGGATGTCCCAAAGACGGATAATAAAACGGACTGAAATCCAACAGAAGCCAGAAGAATACAGATGCTGCTGGACTATCAGAGCTGAAGGCCGTACCGACAGAAAGAACAGCATGGATACATTCATGCTTGTTTGGGGTTTTTTGTTTGATTTGTTTTTGTACAAAATAAAGTTTTTAATTTGATTCGATAATTTGACATTTTGAATTGTCATGTGTTTTTCAATGACTTTTGGCAAAGTTTGTATTCAATGTCATCTATCGAATATTCACATAAATGTTTCAAAATTGGCTTTGCAAACCAAAAATATGTCATTTAGATATTGATTCTAAGTGTGTTATCAAACATGACTTAATATACTGTAAAGTGTCCCAGAGAGTCTGATTTTACACAAACCTAGCATTAACCTAGTATTGTATTAACCTAGTATTGTATTAACCTAGTATTGTATTAACCTAGTATTGTAAGTATTTCTGACACAGTTTGCAACTCTGGACATACTTTACTTTTTGTTGTACACTGAAAAAATGTGATGCTCTACAGTTTATTTTATTAGAGCATAAATCCATTTGATCTGTGTGGGGTGAGAGAAGTATTCACATCGTTTACTCAAATGAAAGAATCACTGAAAAAATGTAGTACAAGCGAATGTAGCATATTACTTAACAAAGTTTACTTAATTCAGGTATGCACAGTATATATTTGAGGTCTTCAATACTGTATAGGCAACTTCTATACATTTCAAAGGCAAATATTGTCCTCTTTACTACACGACATTTACTTAACAGCTTTACCTGCAGACACAGATAATTACAAAATATAAATGAGGCCGAATCGTTATCGAGGCCTCGCGTGTAACAGCCACGTTAGAATGACGACGCCCCGCAGCGCAGTGATGCGATGCGTGATTCACAAACGAGGAGGGTGGCGTTTCCCCACCCGGCCCGACGTGAGGAGGAGCCGTTTCTGCACCGCCACGGAAACCACGCGAGCGGCCCCGTGTCCCCTGAAGCTGCTCTCGCGTCCGCTGAAGGCTTCTGGACGGAGAGAGAGAAGGAAGCACCGCCGTCGCGTCTCTGGTCTCTCGGCGTCGGGCCCGCGCGGACTCTTGGTGGCTTCGGATCCCGCAGCAGGACGCGGTGCGCGGAGAAGCGTCACGTCGCGTCACGGTAAAAAAAAAAAAACCCAAGGTTCTTCTCTTCAGGAAATAATCCGCCCGTCGCTTCTCACAGGAGGAAGCGAGCAAGTGTTTTTACTTTTAATTTGGTCCCCCCCCCCGGGTTGTCTGCGGTAGAAGGTGACCTAGTTTAGTAAAACTTTAACTTCTCCGGTTCATCATTTCCTCACGGAGCCTTTTTCACACTGTTTGTACAAGTTTACATTAAAAGTTAACTTTGCCGCAGAGTTTGGGTCCATATGTTTGCTGCGGGCTGTTTCACGGAGGAAGCTGGAAATTGGCTTCTTCTTCTTCTTCTTCTTCACGAAGTCGAGTAAAAAAAGGGGGGGGGGGTATTTCTTAACTAATATTCTTTGTTAGAGAATGAGTTTAATGAGCCGCTGTCACAAAGTCATTTAACAGGTCTAGCTGATAAGCTTTAGTGGCCATACGACCTGACGATCCATCCCATCTCATCTCACCCTGCGCTTCATAAGGTGCTAAACCCTGTGAAGTGTTCTTCATGTGCATGTGTGGGTTCCCCGCGGAGCTGCGGGGCCTCCGCGTTGGCCCGCGGCCCGAAGCGGGTCCTCCACTTGTCCCCGACGGACTATTACAGCTGCTTTTAGTTTGCTCCACATGGGCCACTTAACCCCCCAAAGTGCAGGGAGATTCAAGTTCATTTAAAGTGGATCTGTTTGAGCCTTAAAAATCACCTTTGCCCGCAGTCAATCGGTTTAATTTCCCTTCCCTGTTTTTGCATCATACTATCTGGTTAAACCTGAAGCGGTTTGGCAATACAATCATTTAACAGAAAAAGCCCAGCCCAGTGTGGCAATCTCTTCTACAAAGAAAGTAGCCAGCAGAGTAGTTGCTAAATCAAGTAAGAAAGTTTGTCACACTGACAGCTCATCCCTCCAGCCTACACCTCCACTTCCCCAAAACGATCATCATGAAACGTCAACCAATGGTACAACTCATCGCTGTTAAGCAAACAGTGGCTGCAGCAGCTAAACACGCACAGGTAGGCGCAGACATGCAGGTAGACTCACAGAGGCCTTTTTGGTCACAGCATTGGGTTCATCCTTGCTTGCTGTCGAGATGTAATGAGAATTTCTACAAAAAATATCTAAAATGTTTTGAAGAAGATTACTTGATTGGTTTTGATCAAATGGATCATTCTGTTAATTACAGCTTCTCTTTGAATAACATGGAAAATCCCTGTAAACTGTTCATTAAATTAAACAAATATACAACTCACTTGAGATAGATAGTCTTCTGTGTCAGCTGATAGATTGTGTTAGAGAACTCCTTGGGTAAGAGAGAAGAAGCATTGCATTCCTCCAATTTAAAAAACAACAAAAAAAAGACGTTCAACCCTTTTGTAATTATTAAGGTTAATGTTGACTTTTGCTACGCCAATAAACTGTTGCATCTCTTATCAATTAAGAATAATAACACTCTCCTGCCACAGATTGGCACATCGTTGTTTCAGAGAAGTGTGTTGTTTATGTTGGGCAGCAGTTATATAATATTTCCTGTGCTTTACTACACTGCGTGTTGCCAAACACAACGGAAGATCGCACTCTGCCGTCGCCGCCGGCTTCCTTCTCAGAGCCGTGACGGGTTTGGGAAGTCTACTTGAAAGTCTAAGCACAGTTTTGTGTAGCTGACACACTATGTACAAGCATTAGCGCACGTACTTGTTAACATGAGTTTACACTATTTGTGGTTTGCTCAAAAAGACTTCTGATTAGCTTGATAAGTCTGCAGAAATGTGCTGTGACAATCTGCATATGTGGTAGTGTGGTTTTGCTCAAATGTGTCACTGATGCAACCTGTTTTTGCTGAGGCCAGAATCATGCATTGACTCCAGTTTGTATGCTAGGGTTTTAAATGGTAAGGCCAACGATAACTGGGATATACAGTTACATATTTGTTGCTACAAGGAAGGAGAAGTTTAAGTAATATGCAAGAGAGCGAATCCCAATTCTGCAGCACCAGACGCTACGTGCTACCAAAGTGGAATCAACAGCTCTCTATAACGTTTAAAATCCTGAACGTTATGATCTGAGTATTATCAGCTGAACCAAAGAAGCCTTTGCGAGGGCGGGATACAATGCAGGATTGTTGTATTGGACTGGATGTACCCGATAGATTAATGCATATACGAAGGTGGATCTTTTGACTAAGTAAGAAAGACTTGTGTGATAAAATTAAATGTATCAGGAAGATGTGAGTTTTAAGAAGAGTAACTATGTTGCTCATATTTATGTGTGGATGTTGTCAACAATTTGATAAATAATAGCAGTCAAGTGTAAAATAAAACTACTTGAGTCGAAAAGCTCAACGGTCTTTGCTCGCTGTTCAGGGCTTCATCAGTGCTGCTCGCGTTTAGTTTCCACCACAGTGAATTTATCAGGGATCTTGATTTTGCACGAGACCTTAAGCGGCTTATGGCTGCAGATGAAAAGTTCAGTGGGGGTTAAACTCAAAGAATGCATGTCTTTTCTATGTATCATGTGACTGCACAATGGTCACATGATACATGTGCCCTTTTCTTTTGAGTGTTTTGACTGGAGTTGTTCGACCACGTCAAATGTTTGATCCAGGCAATATCACAGTGGGATTCTCATTGTGTATGAAAACATCTTGACTTAATTTAAATACATTTAAATAAATGCTACTCTAAAGGAAGGAGGGGAAGGAACAAGCTCCCTCTTGCCAGGAGATGGAGACCCAGAAATGAGAAAAGTAACATATAGACAGGGAGGATGTGTTTTATTATTATATAATCAGGCTGATATACACACTAACTGGTCATTGGGAGGTCAAAGGTCACTGGTACACATATATGTGTATATGTTAATTATGACCATTTCTGACAAATGTATAATATGATGTAATGATGACGTGATGGTAATTTGGAAGGAAAGGAGCAAACTAGAACTTAACTGGTTAAAGCAAAATAAATTCTATTCTATTTTTTGTTTTATTAATGTGATTTGCTAGCTATAAAACAATTATATAATAACGTCAGGCTTCTTGTTTAAATGTCAGGAGATTCGTTCCCTGATAGTTGGATTATGTGTAGATTTGTGCCACTGTGGATGTTTTCTACACTGAGGATAAGAAACAAATCACTATTTTGATTTAAGATAAATCTATTTTTGTGATAAGTTTGTCGACTGAGTTTTTCTTTTTTGTGTGTCTCAGAAACCAGCACTCACTATGTCTGATGGGGACTATGATTACCTCATTAAATTCCTAGCCCTGGGAGACTCTGGCGTGGGAAAAACCAGTTTCCTTTACCAATACACAGACAACAACTTTAACTCCAAGTTCATCACTACAGTTGGAATAGACTTCAGAGAAAAAAGAGTGGTAAGTGATCGCACGCTTAACGCTTACACTCTGTACTACTGAAATAACACGGAGCTTATATACATTCCTCCACTATTAAGCAACTCTTTTGTAACAAAAGGCTTCTGATCAACGTTACAACAGGCGTCTGAGTAATGACTCATGTTGGTGAACAGTAGGCAGAACCCACCTTAAGAATAAACACTTCATACCATTAGCAAACAGCAGGGCAGCGCTCCTGTTTACACAGTGTGGCGTCTTTAAGGCTTCTGACCTCAAGCTGAAGCCTGTGAAGTTTCATCAGCTGTACTTGAGGTTCAGTCAGTCCGGGACGATCTTTTTCACCATCTTTTATTAAAAGTATTTCCCTCACTTCTGGTATAAAGGACAAAGATACAGCAAGGAAATACAATTCAGAAATAACATTCAGTTAGACAGCTGTGACCGAACAAGTTTCACATACACAATGGACTAGTAAATGTCATAACTAGTCGTCATAATTTAGGCACAAAGCGTAATTCCAGCGTGTCCTCAAACAGACCTGTGCGTCCTGCCTTTGGCTGTTGGAAAGTGTTAACGTGAATAGTCTTGGTTTTCCTCAGCATGAGCATGCAGTTATTTATATATTATAAACCGTACCGGTCAAAGGTTGTGTGTGTGTGTGTGTGTGTGTGTGTGTGTGTGTGTGTGTGTGTGTGTGTGTGTGTGTGTGTGTGTGTGTGTGTGTGTGTGTGTGTGTGTGTGTGTGTGTGTGTGTGTGTGTGTGTATTTCACACTCATTGGTACTGTAGCTTCCTGTTCACTGGTCACGGTCATGCTGCTGAAAAGCGAACGCACAATCCAAGAGCTGACAAAGTGTTTACTGCAACTGACAAAAAGTGATCCGGGAAAGATCAGAGAAAATAAGTGGATACTATTTGGATGAATGAAATGTGCACTAGTGCAGAAATGTCTGTATCTGCCTCCAGTTTACCACAAATCGCCAGACTAATGCTGCTAATCTTTTATTATAAAATAATATCCACCAGATGTGTTTTCATCAGAAAGGAAGTTGACAGCTGTTTAATCAATGTCAATGATCAACAATCAAAAGAAATAAAAGTTACTACGAGAGATATAGTGTGGAATAAACAAATGGACAATACACAACGGAACTACTCCTTTTCTAAAACCATGACTTCATGTGATCACGGCACTCTTATTAAAAAGAACACATCTACATTGATGTTTAAATAATTTCAGTTTCCTGAAGTCAGACTGTTTCTTGGCACCACACCTCTGCAGCGAGCTGGACACAGTCAGCTACAGCACTAGTAACTATATTTAGATCATTTATTTGATTAATAAACAAGAATAGATGGTTGAGTGTTGCCAAGTCATTTCACTTTTATTTTATCTACTGGAGGCGAAGGTACAACTTCACAAAACAACATTGCAGTACTTAGTTTTATCTCTGCTTGCTTCACCCTTATGAGTCTGTTGAAGTTGGTGCAGAGATCACCGGTTTACCTTCACCTGTATCCGCCTCGCTCAGGTGTACAAATCAACAAATCCAGATGGATCTTCAGGCAGAGCGCAGAAGATCCACATGCAGCTGTGGGACACTGCGGGACAGGAGAGGTTCGTGAAGTACAAGTACTCTCTTCAGATCTGTTGGTCTCTTCTCTTGTTTATTTTTCACTAATTATCCTTTTTTTCCTGTTGTTTTTTTTGTCTGAATGGTGTCAGGTTTCGCAGTTTGACGACGGCGTTCTTCAGAGACGCGATGGGGTTCCTCCTTCTGTTTGACCTCACAAACGAGCAAAGTTTCCTCAACGTCAGAAACTGGATGAGTGCGTTCTGCATGTAACATGAAACCGTTAACATGAAACCTATTTCATGTTAAGAGACAAGTCGACTTAATATTCAATATTTCATTACTCTCCTTCATGTTGACAAAACCTGGTGTTGACGTTGATCGACACTTGGCTCTGTGTTGTACCTGTGCTGCTGAAATACGTGGTAACTTGCCGGATGTGTGTTTCAGGTCAGTTACAGATTCACGCGTACTGCGAGAGTCCAGACGTCATTTTATGTGGCAACAAGTGTGACCTGTCCGATCAGAGAGCGGTCCGCGAAGAAGAGGCCCGTGAGCTGGCAGAGAAATACGGGTACGTCTCAGTTTTGATCCATTCGGGACGTGAACCTCTCGGTTGTTTGCCAAGAAGGCCGTGGCTGCATTGTTTGCCAATATTTGTCCATGAGAACTTCACTTGAAGCGGTCCTCCTCGAAAATCAAATATTGGTCTACATGTCTGAAATATCCTGTTCTGACGCTGTTTGACACACCTTTACCTTTAATAACACACAGATTGTAGTGGAACTGCTCTGGCGTCAGCACTGTGATGCAAATACGTCTCAGATCTCCCCGTTGTATCATTTATCAGTTTAAGTATTAAGCAGTCTATTCCAATAGAGCTTTGTCTATATGGCAACAAATCCCTGAAAACGACCCGAACCAAGAAAACTGAGTATTTTGTGTCATAGATCTCCGTCAAACATGCGTACATTGGAGTGATCACAAACTGTCATTTTGTTGACCACCATCCTGCTGCAGGACATTTTCATTTCAGGCCCCACGTTTGATGGATATAACAACATAGAATAACTACAGCATTATTTATTTATTTTTTCTTCTAAAATGTCGTGTCACATTGTATTAGGCTGCATTAGTCCTATTTTAACCAATATTTTGTCCAATGCAGAGTCCCGTACTTTGAGACGAGCGCTGCAAACGGGCAGAACGTGAACCAGGCAGTGGACGTTCTGCTGGATCTCATCATGAAGAGGATGGAACGATGTGTCGACAAGTCCTGGATCCCTGATGGGACCGTTCGAGTTAATGGACCCACCAGCACAGACCTCTCAGAGGGCTCTGATCGGAGCAAATGTGCATGTTAGAGCGAACAACGGTCACGGTACATATCTGTGTCCATAATACTGGAGAGAAATATAGGAACACGTCACGGTTTAACATTGGGAATACATACAGTGTAATTGTATTATATGTTAGGTGGAACTTGACATTATTTGCGTCCATTGGCCCACAGAGCACTGCACAGATAAGCATGTATTATTTATCAGAACAGATAAAGTGCCTTTTGAATGTGTGCATTTCATTTCCATTCATTTAGTGGGTCTTTTGCAGATTAGTATTGGAGTATGGGATATTTTTTTTGTTATGATGCTTAGCTGAAACTTAAATAGCTGAAATAGTTGCAGTCATAGTTTAATGGGGATGTTGAATCTGCTACAAATGTATTTTAAGGAAACTTAAGTTATACGTGACTGATGAATGTCCTACTTAATATCTCACTGGTGCCATAGTCAGAAAACATGTCGCACATTGACCATCTAATTAAGTTGGATGGTCAATTATCACTCGATATTGCGCAGGTGAGACCCTAAATACCTCAGGCCCCACAGCACTTCCATACAATGCTGTATGCAAGTGCTGGAGTCTGCTGAAGTCCTAAAAAATTGATTCACTTTTAATTAAATCAAACATCCAACTTCAGAGAAAATTAGCGCAGGGGGCATTTCACACAGGTAATGCAAAGATTCTACCAGACAGTCAAGTTCTAAAATATGTATTATATCACGCCCGTATTTTAAGTGCTAGATGCAATGAAGGAACTGTAAAGTGTAAAAAGACAGTTCCATAGCTAAATGATCTGACCTTCATTAGACTAATGGACCTTTTGGATCTTTTGTTTCATTTCATTTGTTGATTTAAACATTAAAATTAAGATCAGGGCACATTTTTGAAGGGCCAGTTAAATAAGAAAGGCAGAAAGATCTGACCTGCATTTCAGTGAACTTTGAGTGTATATTTAAAATCCTAGCTCACTTTAATATAATAATACCACTAATATTTTAAAATGCTTTTACTCACAAACGCACATAATTTGTATTATACTGCCATTGTTTCCTGTGTAAAAGGAGTTAAGACACACCAGTATATTTCCCCCACTCCCACGTTTTCAATCAATAGATTAGAAAAACTACCACTAACATATCATTTGATTATATTAGTAAGACTACACTGAAATATTTTATATTTTCAATTGTGCCAAATGCAAAATATGTAAATCATGTCCAAAATAAACAATTTATTTATGTATTCATTGAAGCAGCATCTATTTTTATGCAATCAATCTTGAAAATGTTGACCAAGTACTGTGTAGGAGGGAGATTTATACCAGGCATTATTTAGAGGCTCTATTATACTGTTATGTGTGCCATTAATGACACATGTTAATCAGGTCATATATAATGTGTTCATATTTTAGCAGTATTGACAGAGGCACCAGAGCAGAGACCGACTGTGAGCTGGTAGCGTTTACAATCTCTTCATTCTAAGTCTCTAACGTGGAAATGCTGAGGTTGCAAACAGGCGACGTAATGACTTTGTTATTGTATTTAGTGGCTCCGAAGGTAAATCATTAAAAATATATATGTATTGATTTAAAATTCTCATACCAGCGCATTATAAATGTTGACCTCATCGATTACGCCGACTAATCACAGCCGGCATTGATACTAGATATAGAAAAATAAATTAAATCTGTGTGCTAATTTCAGAAAGTGAAACCTGTGGTCCTCATCACAGCTGAGAAAAGTACATCTACTCTCAAATAAGATCTTCTTGCTGTGGTGGGACAATATTTAAATCATCTTTTGATGAACGCAGGATTGTATAATTCCGCACCTTAAACACGACCATAAACCAGAAAACAAGCATGTCTGTGTGTCTTTTGTCGAGGGCAATTCACAGCCTACAACTGTTGTACAGCTGTCAATTTTAAATATTCTCTCTTTTTAATGTGATGCAAAGTCTTAACTATGAATTCTATAATTGTAGGCAGATTTTGAATCCTAATGCAAATAAATATATAATTTAACTCTTTCATATAATCTTAGCCCAATCTCATTAACATTGTATAATAATAAGACTTAGGTCCATGGCATGACATTACCATGTGTTGCATATTTTAATACCAGTTATTCGTTAGACACTTTTATAGACGCAGCGTCAAGAGGAACCTTAAACCGAGGCAAAAATTAAGATGTGAAGTAACTTTTTTTCTAGCTGCCTCGTGTAAAATATCGTGAAATATCGTTACATGACAAAATATTTGTTAATGTTTATAACTTTAAGTCTCAATAAAGTTCGACCTCGTTGAATGTGAGCGACCCACCATGACCAGCAGGGGGCGACAACCGCCCCGCTCGGCTCCTACTGACCAACGAAGAAGAAGAAGAAGAAGAAGCAGAAACAGCCTAACGAGGAGAACCAACGGAAAGGTAAAGTTGTATGTGACACATTTCACGTAAAACATTTGTTTTAACGTTACCCAGCTGACATTTTTACGTAAGGCCAAGACTCAAAACCGACAAGAAGGCGATACGTCATCGACATGTCGTTGAGCTAACGCTAGCCGCGTTTTATTCAGCAGAAGTTTGCTCCGGTAGGAACGTTGAGGCTGGCTAAGGTTAAAGGTCAGTCAGCCCGTTTACCTAATGAGCCCTTAACCTGCATTTGAGGTAGTGTTGAGACTCTGTTATTTTGCATATAATACTAATAATTAAAAATAATTTGACATTTCTCGGTTGAATTTCAAAAATAAGCATCCCATTTAATGATGTTAATATTAACGTTAGTTGATGCCATGTAAAGACGAGTCTGCCTGTAACGTCAGTAGCCGGTGTGTTTGAATTGTGTGGGAATGATCCCGCCCCCTCCAACCCGCAGAGACACGCAGCTTGTGGCTGTGAGAAGAGACGTGCAGTAACGTGTGTGTATTTACTCTTGCAGAATGCCTTTCCATTTCTGCCCCCAGTGTGGGACAAAGTTGCAGGCAGATTTCAAATTTTGTCCTCTGTGTGGGGAGAAGCTCCCCTGTCCCGTCGGTGAATCTGGATCTGTGAGCCTAATGCCGTCTTTAAGTCTCTCGCCACCCAAAAGGGACGAAGCAGCACTCAAATCAAGCCTTGTTTCAAGCTCCATTTGGAAGCCCACGGAAAGTTCAGGTAAATATCTCTAGACAATATCTAGTTACTTGGTGTCACTCGTACATATTAGGCAGTGTCTAGTTATTCATAAATATAAATTCTCTTTTTATATAGTCTGTGCGGCCAACACCTCAACCCTAGTTACAAATCGCCCCCCATTGCGAAAGACCCGTAACTCCCTTCGTCTAGACAAAGAAGTTACATTCAACATTAAAGATGCCACTCCACCTGTGGGGCCCTCTACTTGTCCTGTTGGAGAAGACAGGATCAAAGGTACTTAAAATGGCCTGGAAGCAGTTAGAACGTCGCTGCTCCGAAGGAGATAATTTCCTTGGATTTCTGCTGTGGCATAAACCATCATTGTGACTTAAGCTTCCTCCTTCAGGCAACACATGCTGGTGGTGCAATTTGACAGCCTATGCCTTTTCTTTTGAACAACTCTTCTATGATTTGTATCAACAGATAATAATGTCGGATTGGTTACAACTCCACCAAAGAAGCCCACAGTCTTTAAGCTCAACACCCGGGCTGCGGCAGCTGCAGAGACTTCTCCCGTCCTGAAATTCGCTCGACCTGGTGCGCTGAAAAATCAAACAAGACCTTTCTGTCTCTTCTCTGTCATAATCTGATTCATATTGATTGTTGCTGGCTCTCCATACAGTCAGAGGAAAGGGGAAACTCTCCATCCCAGCTGAGGCGGTAGAAGAGGGACAGAGGCTGACTGCGGCGGACGCCTCTCCTGTGGCCGTCTTGTCCCCCGTATCTTCAGCAATGTCCAGGTCGTCTCCAAAAGGTCGGCCGTTACCACGCAACATGACAATCTTATTTATCTGGTCAATTAATATACTATGTTGTTATTACTAGTCTCCCACTAAAGGCTGACATAAGTAAGACGGTGAGAAGGAAAAAAAAGAGAACCCAGCATACAGTTTTTAAAGTGACTCATTTATGTATCTGGGTGTGTCATCTTACTTTGCATCTGAAGGAAAAAGCAAAGCCAAGAAGACAAAGCATGCGCCCGCCGTGGAGCCGCTTCAGGAAGGCGAAGAGGTGACGGACACAACGGGCAAGAAGTGGAAACTGGTGAAACTCCTCAGTCAGAGTGTGACAGAGCTCCTCTACGAAGGTGAGACTGTGTCCACGACATCAGGGGAACACCTGGGAAGTTAAAGAAAGAAAGAAAGACGATTGCATATTAATAATGATAATATATCATTCATTATTAAATATCTCCGTATAAAAAACAGAATAGTTGTTCATGTCTGTAGAACTTTATGGAAGCAGATTTCGTACCAGTTGTTTAGGAGGTGATGGCTAACCTAGTTTAGCACAGCTGCAGCGACTGAAGGGTCTAACAATTAACTGTAAGGGGAAATACACATGGATGTTAGGAAAACGCCTTTATTGTTGCAAATAAGTAATATTTTGTCTTTATTTAGTTGGGCATATAGGCTCTCGATCCAATTCCAAGGAATCCTATGACATCCTCAAACTGGTAAGGCCTGCGTTTTTTAGTTCTCCATGCAAAAGTAGAATTATCACAGAGGTTCCATTAAAAAAGAAAACTATCCTACTTATGTATTCATCAAAACATTATTCTCTATTTCCTGTAGCGCAATCAATAAAGTTACTTAATTTTTCTTCACCTTAGGGAGCTAAAGACGGAAGAATCTTCAATGAGCAGAACTTTCTGCAGAGAGCCGCTAAACCTGCGTCAGGTGAGGATTTGCTGTGTTTCTAGATCTCCAAATCCCATCCGTTGCCTACAGATCTCTGGCTGCACTCACACCACAGCTCTGATAACTACTTTAACGTTTAGTTAAAACAGAGGCCGTAGCATCATTTTGTCACAAGACCCAGTTTCACAATATCCCTTAAAAATATCTGCCTTTTATTTCATAATCCATTCAGAGGAAAAGCAGAATTGGACAGTAAGTTATTCACCAAGATCAATGCTGATGGGACAAATTAAACATTTAACCCTTTTAGGTGAAATCCTGGTTTGTCAGGCATGTAACGCCACACATATTATAATATATATATTAATGTGTTGATTTGTTTCTCTTTAGTGGACAAATGGATCAAACAAAACAAAATGGACTTCCTGGGAATTCCTTCCTGTGTTGGCTTTGGTCTTCATGCAGAGTCCTACAGGTGTGAAAATGTGCAGATATCTATGATAGGGAACATTAAACATGTTCTCCTTTTTGAATTGTTCCTTCTTCCTTTTTTTGTGAACAGGTTTCTGATTTTTCCCAACATGGGCCAGTCTCTCCAGTCCGCCATCGAGAAAGAAGCCGAGCTTCCGTCGGAGAAAGCTGTCCTCCAGCTGGCCTGCAGAATAGTGAGCAGAAACTTGATGCGTCGTTCATTCTTGTCCACCCCCCCCCCCCCCCCCCCCCCCCCGTTTAACTTTTTTTTTTTTTGAATGTTGCCTTGTTGGATAAAAGCCGACGCACTAAGACAAAAGCAGTGAGGTCGGAGGTCGCAGGTCGTCGAGGGCTCGTCGCGAGGAGCGCGGCCCCGCGCGCGCAGGAGGGGGCGTCACAGCGGTGGGCCGCAACATGGGACGCTCCGGAGTGTGCTGCGGCCTGTGGACACTGTGGGGCACCTGTCTTTAGATACAGACAACCAGATAGCCAAAAGGGGGCGAAGGTGAACAGGTCACCAGGTATGAAGCCTGGTAAGTGCCCAGGTGTCCCCACTGACAGGATCATGATGCCCATCAGCCATTACCCCTACAGAAGGCACTCCTGGATATGGTGAGTTAGTGCAAGTGGGGGACGGTTCCACGATACGTGTGAAGTTGTAACTTTGAGTGTGTGTGTGTTGCTTTCCTATTCTCCAGGAGAGTGTGTTTGATTGTGGGCGAGTGTGTGATTTTTCGTGCTATGGCTACCGGGCTCTCCTAACCCAGCCTCTTGTGGTTTTTGTTTCCAACTGAGCTCGCCGCCCGCCTTCAGGGGAGATTTCTGTCAAATAGTCCATTTCCTGTCAGTTTCTCCCACACTAAGTTCCGAGGTCGATCCGGTCGACGGCTTGTCATGAACGGCAATTTACACCAT